GAGCTGCGTTGGCTCACCTACCTGCTGACCGACCTGGGCGAGGCGCCTCATTCTCCTCCAATCCTGTACATCGACAACAAGGCAATGCTTGCCTTGTGTTGCGAACAGAGACCGGAGCACAGAACGAAGCACACCGCTCTTCGCTACTTCCTTGCTCGAGAGTTGCAGCAGCGTGGTCAGCTTCGTCTTGTTTACGTGGCCACTCGGGCCAACACTGCTGATATCTTTACCAAGGCACTTCAGCCTTGTGATCATCAGCGTTTTTGTACTATGTTAGGTCTTGTGCCTACCTGGCCTCACTTGCTCACTACGTGACTTTGCTTGTACTGTGATCTATATATACCTGCACCTGCATGCTTACACTTGCTAGGTTGTGATCACTGTACTACTTGTTCTCCTCTTTATATATAACTCTTCATGTGAACTGGCCTTGTGGCCTTTTGCTTGTGCTCAGAATGCGTGGTGACGTCGTGATCCACCCTGAGCTTGACCTTTGCTTTGTTCTTTTGCTTGTCCCCCACTTTGCCTATGGGGGTGTGTCAGAGTTATACTCTAGGCTGTAGTGGGGCACTCCTTATGGGGTACAGCCTTGTTCGGTTTTGCCCATACAAACCTTGTACTGTTCTCATTCTCATCGTTCCTACCGTCAGGCCCCGGATAGTAGCGCCCCTGGGGGTATAAAAAAACACTGTTTTTTAGGGGGTGCGCTTATAATCGAGGAAATTTATAAGCGCCGGCGTTTATAAAATGGCAAAAATGAAATGTATTGTTTTAACATGAAATTGAAGCATTTTCAAAAGAGGATTCGACGGACATCTAGAACGTTCGCTTCCGTGCATGAAAACTGCGTGACATGGCCAACAAGGCGTGGAATCACGCCCATCACGCCTTGCTGGCCTGGCCAGATTCATCGAACATGAATCTGGCCCATGCTAGCGCACACGTAGTTTCGGGTGCGACTGCCCAATCAGGGTCGCATGCCGTGCCAGGCACGACTCTGTACAACCACGCAATTGGCATCCCCGGCAAGATTCCACTCCACCGAGGCAGTGACCTCACCACCTCAGCTCCTCTGCGGGGGGATCTTGACAGTTTTCCCCCTTTCCCTGCAGAGGAACCCGGGCCGCGAAGTTGGAGGGGTCTCTTGCGAGGGTTTCAAACGAGGCTCATTCGCTTCGTTTTGTTCAGTTTTATTGTTTTCCCTCGGCCTGCCTAGGCCATGGCGGGCCTTCCAGGCACTCACTTCCTATTTAGCCGTCGACCTGTTGTTGGCAACACTCGCGATTACTCTCAGTGGCAGAGTCGTCGCCCAGCGCCTCCTGCTCCTCCAGCGCCTCCTGCTCCTCCTGCTCCTCCTGCGCCTCCTGCTCCTCCAGCACCTCCTGCTCCTCCCGCTCCGCCTATCGTTGTCGTCAACGGTCGGCCCGTTCTACAGCTCCTCCCTCGCGGTTACTCAGCTTTCGACGCGTACATCTCCGAGCCCGAGCGCAGCGGCGACGATGAACCCGGCCCCAGTCTGTCGCCACGATGGGGAGACGCGGAAGACTGCCCGTACGACGAATCCGCCACTGGTGCCGAAGACGATGTTGAGTGGTGGGCGGCCGACGGTCTTCCCGAGGACCTGCCCGTCCCTAGTTTCCCCCCGCCGAATAAAAAACGGCCCCACCCCTCCAAACAGAATCGTGATGCTCGCCCCCCGTCCCCCAGGAGCAAGCCTTCAACGCACAAGCGCAACTCCTACACTTCCCAGGAGAAGCTGCAGTGGATTGCAAAGTTGGAGTCCGGAGCTGTGAGTGTGCGGAGAATGTCCCGCGACACTGGTATCTCCCGAAAGTCCCTGTCAGAGTGGAAGTCGCGGAAGGGTGAGCTGGAAGGTGCGCATGGGGCTCGCAAGCGCCTTCACGGGCGTGGTCGGGCGTCGTGGTACCGCGACATGGAGATCGAGGTGTACTCACGTGTTCTTGCCCACCGGAAAAGGTGTCTCGCCGTGTCCGTCGGCCGATTGAAGAAGTGGTCACATGATGTGATGAAGATCCTGCATCCTGAGGTAAAGTGGGCTGGATCTCAGAGGTGGACTGAGCGTTTTCGACGGCGCTGGAACCTCACTACCCGAGCGAAGACCAGAGTCGGCCAGAAGTTGTCGTCTGGTGAGACGGTGTTTGTGCTGTCGCTCTCGTTTATGGCTGCTTACGACCTTCGAAATTTTAATTATTTCTTTTGTTTGTCTCTCCCACCTTTCCCTTGCAGAGTGTGAGACACAGGTGCAGAACTTCTGGAAGTTCGTGCGACACTCCCGCCGTCAGTACGGCATTGACAACCGCTGGATTATTAATGCCGATCAAACGCCACTCTGGCTCGAGATGCCAGCTGAACGCACAGTCGAGGAGGTGGGGATCCGCTCCGTGCCCATCCGCAGCGGCGGCTATCAAAAAGAACGCGTGACGTGATGCTCGCCTGCACCGCCAGCGGCGAGAAGCTCAAGCCTTGGGTCTTCTTTAAGCGCAAGACAATTCCTAAGGGGAATTTCCCCTCCGGTAAGCCGAGCAGCTTGTGCAGTGACGGTGTCATTTACATGTGATATATTTTTTTTAATGTCCGATGCTAATCTGTCCATGCGCCTTGCTCGGATGTGCAGATGTTGTGGTTGCCGTACATCCCAACGGTTGGATGGACGCTGACGGCGTCCTCGCGTGGCTCGACGGGACGGTGAACCCGTATGTCAACCCCAGGTTCGGAGTACGCCCCAGGAAAGTGATGTTGGTCCTTGACTCCTACCGCGGGCACCTCACTGATGCAGTGAAGGCGAAATTCGGGGAGCTGAACATCGTCCCCGCCGTCATACCAGCTGGCTGCACCTCTGAGATCCAGCCTCTTGACGTCGCGGTGAACCGCTCATTCAAAGCAGCAGTCCGCCAACTGTACCAGGAGTGGTTCGAGAGCGAGGGGGTCGACTGCCTGACCGAAAGAGGTGAGCTCAATCTCAACGTGTACGATGTGTCTTCTTAGACTGTTTCCACCCTGTTCTGATTGCTGTAGTGTTTCCATGTGTGGCAGGCAACATCCGCAAGCCACCTCCAGAGCTGACGCTCAAGTGGATCTCCAAGGCCTGGAAGGCCGTGCCCAAGGAGTTGATTCAGCGTTCGTTTCTCACCTGTGGCATCAGCAACGCCCTGGATGGGTCCCAGGACAATCTCTGCATGCAGCACCGGCGGGACGCCGTCAAGGGTGAAGTAGAACTTGACGACGAGATTGCAGCAGATGGATTCTGCTGCAACAACGTAGAGGAGCCAGAGTCGGATGGGGAGACCGACCAAGATGGCTCCGCCACTGTTGATAGTGATGCCTAGGATGCTAGGAAGAAAAGAATGCATAGGGTGGTAGAGAAGATTAGTGAATGTTGCGGTAAACTATCAGTAGGATTTAGTACCGTAGTAAAATTGGAAAAATATTATGTTGTAGTGAAAATAGCTTGTAAAAGATAGGATAAAATAAAAAAGCGAGGCGCTTATAATGTGGTGCGCTTATAATCCGTAAGCCTTCAGGGGTGCGCTTATAATCCGTAAGCCTTCAGGGGTGCGCTTATAATCGAGGACCGGATATAAGCGCCATCACCCTTTTACAACCGCCGGCGCTTATCCGAGGCCTGCGCTTCTATCCGGGGCCTTACGGTAGTTCTAATTCTCACATGGAGGGCGCGTAGGGGAAGGCTAGGCGCAGAGGGCGCGTTACAAAGGGCGCGGAGGCGCGCGACGGGAAGTTAGGGCGCGGAGGACGCTAAGGCGCGGAGGGCGCTAGGGCGCGGAGGGCGCTAGGGTGCGTGACGAAGGGCGCGTAAGGCGCGGAGGCGCCGCGGAGGGCGTAAGGTAGGCTAGGCTAGGCAAGGATTCTGAACCTACTCGTGATACCATCTCATAAATAGAATGCTACGGAATGCTAAGACCAGGAAAGCAAGGCAGTACAAATATGAAACCCTAACTGAGCTGTACTCACTAAGGGGCACCTCATTACAGCATATAACAGATAATAACATTTGACACAAATGATGAATACAATGTGAGCGAAGGCATGAGCAAACATTTATACGAAATGTGTCAATGGTGACAAGGGCTTGTGACCTAGCCAGCGCAATGCTGACGGGTAGGATCGGGCGAGTCCTGGAGCGTAGGCTGACTCAGCCAACTACAGCAGTGATAGGGTTTATGGCCAAATAAGCGCACCATCATGACGCGCACAGCACCTGACCGTTCTTCGCCCTTTAGTAGCGTTTGCCATTTGGCGCGTCACTTATACACTATCCAAATAAATATTTGTCCCCTGCCTAAGAAACTCATGATGAGTTTATTCACATGTTTGGAGCGATCCATCCAAACCAAACACGTACTACGGTATGTAAGGCAATGTGTCTATGACCATTGACTGTACGTTCATCTCCCCTCCCCCCCTCCCAACTCCCCCCCACTCACTAGACTAGACCCACGCACTACACTCACACACTAGTTACTTCCACGCTCTCAATAACTACACGTTTTCTTAGACTGTCCTAGCAACCACCACTTCGACTACATCATCATCACTATCAGAGTCCTCTTCCTTCTGGAGATGCCTCAACTGTGCCTTATCTTCTTCCACTTCTTCTCTGCCCCCCCTCTTCTCCATCCCCTTTACAGCGCTCCTCATTACCAGCTTAAGGCCCGACTTTGTCCCCTTTTTACTATCCCCAACTGCAGCAGCAACCCCCTTTCCCATTCCTGCTCTTCCTCCTCCTGCTGCTGCTCCTCCTGTCTGTGGTACATGTATTGTACGAGGCCGCAGCACCCGGCCATGAGCCGCCTTCAACTTGGCAGCTTCAGCCTCCATTCTTGCCGCGGCTCTCCTTGTCATGATCCCACTTTCTCGCTTCACCTCTCTTTCCTCTCGCTTCACCTCGCTCCCTGCACCTGCTCCTGTGGCTATCTCAACAAGTGACCCTCCCTTGATACCCCATATACTTGAACCGCCAAATGTCTTCTTCCCACAAGTCGCTGTTGTATTTTCCGTCTTGACTTTCACCTGCCCTTTCCGCCTTACGCCTTGTTCCTCTTTTCTCTCCACCTCTCCCTCTTCCACACCCTCCTCCTCTACTGCAGTCATCTTGGTCCACTCGATCTCCGATACTCCCTCCACCTCCCCCTCCTCCCTCTCCTCTTTCACTTGCACCACCGTTCTGCACACCTGAATCTCCACAACATCCTCATCGTCCTCCTCTTTCTCCTTCTCGTCTTCCTCCTCTCCCTTCATGATCACACATTCCTTCTTCCTCCCGAGTCCCTGTTTCCGTCCCCTCGTCTCCACCGCACTCCTCTCAACCTCCCGCTTCCTCTTCCGCGCCTTCTCATTCCCATCCTTACACTCTTCTATCAACGTCACCTCACTCCCATCCTGCCCCCCCTCCACCTCACATCCTCCCTCTTCATCATTCTCCCCACTCTCTCCTCCTGCTCCGTCACTCCCTCCCTCCGCTTCACCCCCCTCCTCACTGCCACTTCCCCCCTCCACCCCTCCATCCGCCCGTGCTCCTGTGCTCTCCCCATCTTTGACCATCCTAGTGAGCATGAGATAGTGTGCAACCGACTGGTAACCCGCACCCCACACCTGCAGGGCGGGAGAGCACGAGGCGCAAGGAGGGACGGGTGGAATGGGATGGGAGGAGCAAGGATGAGCGGGTGGGTGGGCGAGGGAGCGCGGCAGAAAACATATCACATCCGTGAGGTGAGCGAGGGAGCGCGGCAGAAAACATATCACATCCGTGAGGTGAGCGAGGGAGCGCGGCAGAAAACATATCACATCCGTGAGGTGAGCGAGGGAGCGCGGCAGAAAACATATCACATCCGTGAGGTGAGCGAGGGAGCGCGGCAGAAAACATATCACATCCGTGAGGTGAGCGAGGGAGCGCGGCAGAAAACATATCACATCCGTGAGGTGAGCGAGGGAGCGCGGCAGAAAACATATCACATCCGTGAGGTGAGCGAGGGAGCGCGGCAGAAAACATATCACATCCGTGAGGTGAGCGAGGGAGCGCGGCAGAAAACATATCACATCCGTGAGGTGAGCGAGGGAGCGCGGCAGAAAACATATCACATCCGCGAGGTGAGCGAGGGAGCGCGGCAGAAAACATATCACATCCGTGAGGTGAGCGAGGGAGCGCGGCAGAAAACATATCACATCCGTGAGGTGAGCGAGGGAGCGCGGCAGAAAACATATCACATCCGTGAGGTGAGCGAGGGAGCGCGGCAGAAAACATATCACATCCGTGAGGTGAGCGAGGGAGCGCGGCAGAAAACATATCAAATCCGCGAGGTGAGCGAGGGAGCGCGGCAGAAAACATATCACATCCGTGAGGTGAGCGAGGGAGCGCGGCAGAAAACATATCACATCCGTGAGGTGAGCGAGGGAGCGCGGCAGAAAACATATCACATCCGTGAGGTGAGCGAGGGAGCGCGGCAGAAAACATATCACATCCGTGAGGTGAGCGAGGGAGCGCGGCAGAAAACATATCACATCCGTGAGGTGAGCGAGGGAGCGCGGCAGAAAACATATCACATCCGTGAGGTGAGCGAGGGAGCGCGGCAGAAAACATATCAAATCCGCGAGGTGAGCGAGGGAGCGCGGCAGAAAACATATCACATCCGTGAGGTGAGCGAGGGAGCGCGGCAGAAAACATATCACATCCGTGAGGTGAGCGAGGGAGCGCGGCAGAAAACATATCACATCCGTGAGGTGAGCGAGGGAGCGCGGCAGAAAACATATCACATCCGTGAGGTGAGCGAGGGAGCGCGGCAGAAAACATATCACATCCGTGAGGTGAGCGAGGGAGCGCGGCAGAAAACATATCACATCCGTGAGGTGAGCGAGGGAGCGCGGCAGAAAACATATCACATCCGTGAGGTGAGCGAGGGAGCGCGGCAGAAAACATATCACATCCGTGAGGTGAGCGAGGGAGCGCGGCAGAAAACAAATCACATCCGCGAGGTGAGCGAGGGAGCGCGGCAGAAAACATATCACATCCGTGAGGTGAGCGAGGGAGCGCGGCAGAAAACATATCACATCCGTGAGGTGAGCGAGGGAGCGCGGCAGAAAACATATCACATCCGTGAGGTGAGCGAGGGAGCGCGGCAGAAAACATATCACATCCGTGAGGTGAGCGAGGGAGCGCGGCAGAAAACATATCACATCCGTGAGGTGAGCGAGGGAGCGCGGCAGAAAACATATCACATCCGTGAGGTGAGCGAGGGAGGGAGGCAGAAAACATATCACATCCGTGAGGTGAGCGAGGGAGCGCGGCAGAAAACATATCACATCCGTGAGGTGAGCGAGGGAGCGCGGCAGAAAACATATCACATCCGTGAGGTGAGCGAGGGAGGGAGGCACATATCACATCCGTGTGAACTGTCCCATTTCATCCGAGTGAGCTGCCCCATCCCATCCGAGTGAGCTGTAGCAGTACCTTCAGAAAGAACGGTGTGGTGAACACCCATCCCTTGCGGTCGACTCCAAGCCCACCTTTGTGCTGTAAGCAGAAGCTTACCACGTATATGGTTACCACTAGAGAGATGTAGCGTTACCTTGTGAAAGAGCGGTCCAGTGGGTCTCCATCCCTTGCGGTTTCTGCAGATGGAGCAGTTGCAGATGTTCCGACACACCGGACACTCGCACGCGGGGTTGAAAGGAAGTAGGGTAACTAGAAGGCTGTTAGACCTTGTGGTGATGCTACCCGGTGAAAGGGAACCCGAGGGACAGTACCTTGTGAAAGAGCGGTCCAGTGGGTCCCCATCCCTTGCGGTTTCTGCAGATGGAGCAGTTGCAGATGTCCCTACACACCGGACATTCCCACGTGGGGTCAGCTAGCGCCTCCTCTATGTTCTCGCCGTACCTGGAAGGGAAGGGGGACGGGAATGGAATAAAGGAGAGATAGATTGGTTGGTCGATGTGCACAGGGCATAGCAAAGAGACACTTTTGAAATCTCTCAAAAGCTCCACATGGGGCCTCCGGGTCACCTAGGACGTCTTCTTTGTTCTCAAATAGTCCCACCTCATTTGTTCATCTTTGAGACGTCTCAAAAATACACATTTATCAGCAGCTGCCTCCGGGTCACCTTGGACGTCTTCTGTGTTTTCAAATAGTCCCACCTCATTTGTTCATCTCATGTAGTCGCATGCTGACTCTTTCATCAGAATGTTCTGCTTTTGAGTCGACTCATTTAAAAGCAGACTCATTTAGTCGCATGCTGACTCTTACATCAGAATGTTCTGCTTTTGAGTCGACTCATTTAAAAGCAGACTCATTTAGTCGCATGCTGACTCTTACATCAGATTGTTTCACCTCGTCTCACCTCATATAGTCTCAACCACATATCGTCTCACCTCATATAGTCTCAACCACATATCGTCTCACCTCATATAGTCTCAACCACATATCGTCTCATCTCATATAGTCTCAACCACATATCGTCTCACCTCACAAAGAGACAGTCAAGGTAACAACACCCAAGGTGTCACCACCCGCTCACCTAACGAACAGGCAGTCTCCGCAGAACTGCCCGCACACAGAGCGATCCTTGCACGCCGCACACTCGGTGCGCAGCCCCAACGTCTTTTGCCTGTAAGGAAAGGGGGAGGTGCAGAGGAGGAAAAGAGGAGGTGCAGAGGAAGGCAATGCGGTGGAGAGGCTAAATATGGGCTTGCAGGTTAAGCCTTGCACGACGCACACCCGGTGCGCAGCCCCAGCGTCTTCTGCCTGTAAGGAAAGGGGGAGGTGCAGAGGAGGAAAAGAGGAGGTGCAGAGGAAGGCAATGCGGTGGAGTATATCGGCTTGCAGGTTAATCCTTGCACGGCGCACAATCGGTGCACAGCCCCAACGTCTTCTGCCTGAGAAAAGGCAGAGCAGAAGGGGACGGGTAGGGTTTTAGGGGAGGAAGCTAGGAGAATGAAACGGAGACATTTTTTTGAGACGCCTCAAGACTACTAGTGGTACCATTTCCAGTCGATACCTGCATTGGTGGCATGTGTTTCCGTTAACAGGGTCATACACCCTCGTCTTGAACCGCTCAACGTTGATGTCTTACAGCTTCCATTCCATGATCTTCCATTCCTGATCCGATTACTTGCATTGGTGATACGTCTTTTCATTAACCGGGTCACAAGTCCATTCAAAGGATTTCCTTCTTGTTCCATGCCTGCATTTGTGACAAGTCTTCCTATTTACAGGGTCATAGATCCTCATCTTGTATCACTCAACGTTGATGTCATAAGGCTTCAAGTGGCGATTATCACTCTGTGCTCATATTCATTGGTGACCGCCTTCCCATTACCATGGTGATAAAGCCAATCAAGGGGTTTCCTTCCTGTTCCGTACCTGCATTGGTGGCATGTCTTCCCATTCACAGGGTCATAGACCCTGTTCTTGAATCGCTCAACGCTGATGTCATACGGCTTCACATGCCCTCGAAGCTTCCTCAGGTCTTCCTCCGTGTACACCTCCTTCCCGCACCGAACCACCATCCCAGCCTCGGCCGAGCCTGCCGAGCCCATGGGACGAAGCTGCCAGGCTCGGGTTCGGCGTGTAGTGCTGCGCTCTGGCGTTTTGTCGTCCAGCTCGACGTATTGGGTTACAGGGGAGTTCTGAAGCCTGGTGGATGGTGGGAGTGGGGGAAGGGGGATGATGGAGCAGAAGAAAGGGGAGACGGGAAAAGCTATTTAGTGCTGCGCTCTGGCGTTCTCTTGCCCAGCTCGATGCATTGCATAGCAGGGGAGTTCTGAAGCCTGGTGAGAGGGGCGCGGGGCGATGGGGGAGGGACAGTGACAAGGTAGGCAGAAGGGGGAAGACAAGGCAGAGCGGTTCGGTGCTGCACTCTGGCGTTCTGTCGTCCAGCTCGAGGTATTGCGTAGCAGGGGAGTTCTGAAGCCTGTTGAGAGAAGGGGGGGTTGGGAGTTTGTGTGGAAGGGGGAGGGGACAAGTGGGGGGGGTGGGAGATTGGGGAGGAGGGCGGAAGGAGGAAGATGGGGGTTGTGTGCGGTGCTGCGCTCTGGCGTTCTTTCGTTCAGATCGAGGTACAGGGTAGCAGGGGAGAAGGGGAGCGGCGGAGAAAGTGGGGGAGAAGAAAGGGGGTAGACTGGGCCCGAGGGGCACAGAAGGGGGAAGACAGGGCAGAGGCGTTCAGTGCTGTGCTGCTTTGCTCTCCTCTCTAGCTCGTGGTATTGGGCAGCGGGGGGGGTCTGTAGTATGGTGAGAACGGCGTTGTCGAAACGTATTAGAATCTAGGCGGACGTGCGCGGTACAACTTTTAAAACGCCTCAAAATACTTCTGCGCGGCACGTGCAAAAACAGCTCATGACTGGCGGCGATGATGAGGAGTCTCGAAGCCGCGTTTGGAAATGTGCGAAGGAGTCACATGCTGGATCGACGAACTTCCGCGAAGAGCTTTCGCCGCGTCCACAACCAGCGAGGGTATCGCTGATGCGCTGCTTCTGCGACGCTTCTCAAGCTTCGAGTTTCTTCAAGTTTATAGATGCCTCAAGTTTTCAGACGCCTGGAGAGTAAAAATGCGCGAAAGAATCACCTGCCGGATCGGCGAACTTTGTCGAAGAGCTTTCGCCGCGTCCACGTCCGTCGGGGCTGCTTCTGCTGCTGATTCTCGCCGGCCTGCCGGCGGGTCTCCTGGGTTAAATCCGCCGACAGGCTCTGCAGCTCCGCGAACGCGCGCTGCGTCGCCTGCATTTTCGCCTGCCGCAGCTGCTCGTACGTCATCACGCTGCCTGCAGGCGGCGGTTCGACGGGAGCCATTCGAAAGGAGTCTGGTGGTGCAGCAACGAGAAGCAGGAGCTGTCTTTGAATCTGAAAACTACTCGAAAATGGTGGGGGGAAGAGAGGATTTGTAAGTTGGAGTGGTGAAAGGGGGAGGTGCGGGAAGGGAGAGGGGGGGAGGGATGTGGTTGGCGGGTGGTGGGTGGCGCGGCGAAAGCATCTTTGGATTCAGAATTTCCGGAGGATCGTGACAATCTCCTGGTTGTCTTGGGATTCTGCTCTTTGGGACTGGGACTTCGCAAGTCAAAAGAATGAGCCCAAATGTTCTGTATGTGTAATTTGAGACTTGATTACGCCCTCAAGTGATGAGGTCGATTTGGGATTTGAAGTGGATAGCTCGAACTGGAATTCAGGGTCGTGGGGAGGGCTCAACGTCTGCGCAGGAATATTTGCGGTAAGGGGGAGGAGGGAAAGATCCATTCTTTTGTGGAGGGAAATCACGTGGTTGGTTTGTCAAGGATTTCGAAGCGTCTCCCACATTTCAAAACAATTCTGTACGAGATGCCCATACCTGCCCGACATCATCAAGTCGCGTGAGAGATGCCGCAGTACCACCATGACGAAGGAATTTGGGTTGGGTGTACTGTACTGGAAAGGCAAGACCAACCACACACACGATAAAATGTTTGCACTGCCCATAACAGGCTTTCGGAAGGATGTGCGGAGCGGAGGAGCACGTAGTTCCCTTTGATTTTGTGGCGCGAAACTGACGTGGCTGGTTTGTCAGAGATCGATAGGCTCTAAAGGTCAAAGTGATTGGCCGAGGACAAACTCTTTGCCCTTCCCAACAACACATCATCAAACACGATGGAGGAATTTGGGTGCAGTAACGCTATCAACAAAGCACACCACACAGCGAACGGTTCTGCTTGTGGCGAAAACCATTCACGAAGATAACAGCAGCGACACCACCACCAACGCCAACCATGAAACCAACAGGATGACTTCCACCCCAATGGGCTTCGCAAACTAAGAATCCACCACAGAGAACGCCGGCCCTGTTCGGTAGCCTCCCAGTGGCACTGGACCCACTCGAACTGGGGAACCTTGCGACGGGCAAGTTCGATTTGTTTTTGTTTTCCTCTTTGAACAGCAGGGTAACCTTGTCCTCTTTGAATAGCAGGGTAACCTTGCGACGGGCAAGTTCGATTTCTGGATTTCTTCAGCTTGACGACTGCTGCTCTATGGGTGGTTTCAGAAGGAAACGAAGAGTGTGCAAGCGGGTGCACGGGATAGGAGAACTGAATACTAGAGAAGCTGATCCCTCTCACAGTGCTGCAAACTTCACTTGATTCAATCGTTTTTTGCCAGTGATTGAACATGGCTTCCTTTCATACCATGCAGCAGGCAGTTCTTAAACTAACGGACTGGTTGCAAGTCAAAGGACAATTTAACGGTCTTCTGGAAAGACTTTTACGCGGAGAATCCGTTCTTCCTGTCCCCGTAGACGGCATGGAGCTCGCTGATTGGTCCCTGGGAACCGCGATTCTGCTTCTTTCGGACGTCCGATCGATTTCGACTTTCCTTTCCGAACATTTCCTCGTCGTCCTGTCTGGAACGGACGTAAAGAAGGAAGAAGAAGGGTTTCCGCCAGAGAAGGACAGACCTCGTATCCGATCTCGTGCCTTGCTTCTGATCCGATTTACTACGGCTCCGATTCCGAATCTGACGGTCGAGGAGGCCTGGATTGCCAAGATCCATCTGGGACCGTCAAATCAGCTCGTTCGCATCCATGGCGTGGTTTACTTTGCGTCGTTAACACGAAAGATATCCAACCCCTGCTCTATTAATCAAGCCAGAATGGAGTGAGCATGAGTGAGCGACAGCTGCAATTACTTGAGTGAGCTTGCTGTACAGGAAGGCTGGCACACCTGGATTTTGCATCTGGGAAACATGCTTCAGATACAGTCCTCTTCTCTTCTTTCATATTTTTTTCTGTCTTGTAAAATGTTTTCCTTGACCGTTTTTATTTTCGTCCATGGAATAATATCCTACCACATTATCTTCATGAGGAGGATTCAGTGCCAGACATGCGGGCGAGTGAAGGACGTGTGGTGGACAGATGACGTTGCATCCCAAGTCCTGTGTTGCCCTTCGAATTCCTTCAGTGAAGACCTGTCACGGCGAATCGAAGCGGAGTTGCAGGTAAGTCATAAATGATTTGCTTCAGTCGTTTCATTTGACATAAGTCACATTTGTCGCATCTACTGACGTGTGAAAAGCTTTCAGGATATCGTATTGGGGCCTATACCCACTCTTAGAAAAAGCGATCAACGCTTTTCAAGGCCTCCACTATTTCACGTGCTTCTGCTTCATGATCTAGCTGGCAGGCTCCACGTGGGTGCTCTCTGCGATGTGATTGGACACACGTGGAGTCCAGGTTCATCTTATCAGCTACCTCCCAATACCCAGATCTTTGATGCTACAAGAATCATTGCTAACAATCTGATTTCAGGCGAAGAAACGGTCCGGTCCAAGCCAAAATTTGCTAACCCCATGGGGAAATTGTTTGGGATTCATGACATGAAAAAAATTCCTTCCAGCCCGAAAGTTTCTTCCAGCCAGTTGGCTTCTAGCAGCCCGACTTGCTCCCAGTCTGACAGCCTCCTTTCCCAGAATCCCTTCCTATCTCAGTCCCAATTTGTTTCGCAAACCCAGGACTGGCACAGCATCCCAAATCCTGTCTCATCACCACCAGATGAGGGTTTGTCTATCCTCATCCGACTAGCAGATTCCTTGAAGAGAGAAATTGTCATCAATCTCGCTGGAAGTGCTCTGGGAATCACAAGCCCTGAGGGAATTGCAGGGCTCTCAGATTCAGATGCATTTGCAATCCCAGAGCTTCTCCCTCTTGCTCTCCTCCTCAGCCTGGTCTCAGCTCCTGGTAGCACCCCTCTCCCGTCCCAGTCCCACACTCCACTCCAAGCCATTTTAGGGAAAACCGCCACTTCAAATCTCCACCACCACAACCCCCAGAACTCCGCCCATCACCGACGTTCCAAGATCAACATCCTCTTGACATCCAACGGCCGATGTCCGATCCTGGAGAGGTCCCTAGAAGTTGCCACTCAGCTAGCCAGGCGAAGCATCCGGCATGTCATGGGCTTGCAACCCCCAAGAGGCCGCCACCTCCTAGGAAAGAAACTCTCTGCAAAATCCGACGAGCATTTCCTTCCCAATTCCGGGATGGATGGCTTGTCTGCTGGAAGCTTAGCCCTGGGGAGCTCTGGGATTGTTCTGACGGATGTTTCCAGGGGGTTGGTGCGGTTGGATGCGGCTGTGCTACTGAGCCAGGCCATGGACCGGCATAAGATCGTCGCGGGAGCTGCTGGGATGGCTGTGGGCTGCGGGACGGTATGGGCGACGTATTTTGGTGAGGAGAACTGGTCAGGAGGAGGGCAGCACGCCTGTTTGACCTCCAACAGTGGGACAAAGGAAACAGCTGCTCGGCTGGCATCAGGGCTGCCTGGGCCTGTGCTTGCAGATCTGATCACTGCAAAGAAAGACGCTCCTCTGGCTAGAATTATGCCGAAATTCGACATTGTGCTGTCGCCTGCGAATTCCTCTGGCGGTGCTCCCGTCATTGGTGGTATCGCTGGCGTTGGCGGTGCTGCTGGGATAAAACGGAAAAAAGGTGGCAGGAAAGCAGGCGGAAATTCCTTCCTGGATGGAGCAGAGGAGGTGGATTCATGGGATACGGAGCTGCCTGCGTTGATGACTATGGCTGAGATGCAGAAGCACGTGGAGGCTGCTAGCAGAGTGGCAGTGTCGCCTTGCTTCTCAGAGGAGGCATGCAGTGTGCTGCATGCTTACTACCTTGTGATTCGCCAGGCCAAGGTGGACCAGGATGTTGGGGACGTGTCGCTGCTGACTCTGGAGAGCCTCATTCGAGTTGCCATCTCGTGTGCCAAGCTATGCATGAGGTACGATATTGCTCTTGACACATGAATCACCCCGCGGATGCACTTCCGTGCACCCACTGTTAAGGCCCCTCTCATTAGCTGCTGCTGTTCGCTTCTTTCCTGTTCGCACTTTTGTTTCAATGCTCATTACACTTCAGGCAGAGTGTGACGAAGAGTCTATTTGTGCTGGTTGCCACTCTACTATCCCCACACTATGCACTTCAAATAAAACCCTGCTGCTGTTCCTAACTTCATGTCCGTACTTCTCTTTGATATCCATCACACTTCAGGCAGAGCGTGGTGAAGAACCCAGACGTGCTAGTTGCCATTCTACTATCTGAGCATACCTTCATGGCAAAGGTATGCTGTGCTTCACGTTTTTCTGCCCTGAAACAAAGGTGTCCCTCGGTCCAATTTTCACTTTTCATTAGGTAGTGGTGCAGATATAGTTTGTTTTAGACGGTGATGCTTATTCTAACGTTTTGTGGTGTCTCTGTTTCCTGATGGCAGCATGGTTTTCCCCTCGTGCCTTCGCTTGCATCCAAGCTGCGACACCAGCCACTGGATGTGGTGCTGGAGGCCTTTCAGAGCGACCTGGAGCACGTCATGCCTCACATGGACACAGAGGAATGAGAAGCAGAAGCACGAGGAACAGACGATGAGGATTAGACATCCGCATATCAGACAGCCAGTCACCAGCCACTGGATGTGGTGCTGGAGGCCTTTCTGAGCGATCTCGAACATGTCATGCCTCACATGGACACGGAAGAATGAGGACGAGAGGAATGTGTTATTGAGAATCACGTTCCTGTGCGTTGCCTCCAGCCATTCAATGTGGTGCTGGAGGCCTTCCAGATCGACCTGGAGCATGTCATGCCTCACATGGACTCGGAGGAATGAGGATGAGATGCACGAGGAACAGAAGAAAGAGAAGAAGTTACATTTTCATGCTCTCCCACCAGCCAACCACACTGGCCACTGGATGTGCTGCTGCTGGAGGCCTTCCAAAGTGACTTGCAGCATGTCATGCATGCCTCACATGGATGCCAAAGAATGAGAAAGAGAAGTATGTGCGCATGGAGGTGGTTTTATGCATTGCATCGCCTTGGTATGTCATGGCCAATATGCACATGAAATAACGAGGACCAGAAGATTGTGAGGGGGCAGGTAGAGCGAAATGCACTTTCTCCATGCTGGTCCTGTCTTGCATTTCATGCTCTTTTCTGGAAAACGTGCTATGAGACGAATGTGTGCTTCTAGTCCATCCGCCACCTCTACAGTGAATGCAAACGTACCACTTTGATATCGAACACGAGCGGTGCTCCATACACACAACAATTACAAGCGTGTGCCTCATTGCGAGGACAGAGTTACCATGTGATAAATTCAGGAATGACGGTTGTCCACACCGCATCAGATCAGATGCCGGAAGCTCCTCGAGCTGCTCCTAGATTTTCCTCCTCGCTTCGCGCTCGAGCATAGTAGCTATCTCGAATGTCGATGACGCCTGGAATTCCCGCTTTCCTACTCAATGTCTCCTCGCTTCCCGCTACAGCAGCGAGTGAGCCTCCGTTGCTCCTCCGCGGTCACCGTTCGAGTCCGCTGTCAAGAAAAGCCAATGTGACTCTAACTAAGGAAAAGCGCGATTGCAGCAGATGTGCTAGAAAAGGGAGATTTACTGTTCGGTCGATGCAGTACAATCGGCTTGGCGAGTCGGACCTGGTGGTGTCGCGCATTTGCCTCGGCACCATGCTTTTTGGAGAAGCGCTGAGGTGAGAGTGCCTATAACGTGAAAATAAGGTCTTTAATGAGCGTGTGCAGGCAATTCGTTAGGCGTATATGGTCTGCTTTGGGATCAACGCTGTTTGGAGAAGTGCTGCGTTTAACGTGACTGTAACGCGAGTGACTGTAGCGCGCTCTCTTAGTGTGTCAGTAAACTAATTGGTTAGCGAGTGTGGTTGCAAGGCGGGTGGTAAGTAATGTGGCACGTCTTAACTCTTCAACCCTCTACCGCTCCCCCTCTCCCCCCAACCCCCAGCTACCAGGATGCATCGGCACAGCTAAGCAGGGCTGTGGAGGGAGGGGTGAACTTCTTTGACACGGCTGAGATGTACCCTGTGCCACAGCGGGCAGAGACGCAGGTGACTTGCTTTAAACTGGTTTGACTTTCTTTGACTTGGTTTGACCTGGTGAGTCAATGCATATGGCAGGTAAAGGGGGAGGGAGGGGTGAACTTCTTTGATACGGCTGAGATGTACCCTGTGCCGCAACGGGCAGAGACTCAGGTGAATTTCTTGACTGGGATTGACGTTATTGACCTGGCTCTAATGTATTGACCCAGTTTGATTCGGTGAGTCGGTGTAAAGGTGGAGGGAGGGGTGAACTTTGTTGACACGGCTGAGATGTACCCTGTGCCTCAAAGAGAAGAGACACAGGAAAAATTGACCTGGTTTGACTTTCTTGACTTGAAAAGTTAGCACCCAAGGCAGGGAAAGGGGGAGGGAGGGGTGAACTTCGTTGACTCAGCTGAGATGTACCCTGTGCCGCAACGAGCAGACACACAGGTGAACTGCTTTGATTCGACTGACTTTCTTTGATTTGGTGAGCTAGTGCAGAAGGCGGGCAGAAGGGAAGGGAGGGTTGAACTTCTTTGATACGGCTGAGACGTACCCTGTGCCGCAAAGGGCAGAAAGGCGGGTGACCCTGACTTTCTTGACTTAGTTTGCCATTGCTTGACTTAATGATCGTCCTCAAGGCAGCTAGAGGGGGAGGGAGCAGTGAAACGTTTTTGAAACGGCTGAGATGTGCCCTGCGCCGCAAAGGGCGGCGACACAGGGGACTTTCTTGACTTGCGTTGACTCTCCTGCCCAGTTTCCAATCACACACCACCACCACGTCACCACCAGGGTATTTGATGTCGGTTCACGCGTGCTTTCCCCACTCATATGAGAGCCAAAGGGCCACCATTAGGGCCAAAGCGAAGAGTACCCGAAGCGGTGACTCACTGCTTCTGTCATTTCGAAAGGCAATTTCTCACCATTCAATACCATCACTCGGAAATTGCCCTACATGGCAATTTCCCAACCCCTTTCCTCTCTTTTTGTTTTCCTCCGTCTGCCTCTCCCCTCACGTGTCCCCACACACACCCCAGTCTCAGTGAGGAGTATCTGGGTCGGTGGATGGCTGCTTCTGGCATTTTAAGAGATACGCCCTCACCACCACCCCAGCACCATGTCCTCGTTTTCCCTCGCATGTGTCCTACACACACCGAGGGTTGAAGCGAGGAGTATCTGGGTTGCGAAGCGAGGAGTATCTGGGTTGCGAAGCGAGGAGTGGCGGCCTTTGGAATTCCGAGAAGCAAGCCCTCCCTCCCAACCACCATGTTCTCTTTTCCCCCCTCCGCGCTCCTGCTCGCCCTTCTCCTGTTCTCCCTCCCTCCACGTGTCCCCACACACACCCAGGGCCGAAGTGAGGAGTATCTGGGGCGGTGGATGGCTGCTTCTGACATTTCAAGAGACAAACTCGTGGTCGCCACCAAGGTGGGCTTTAAGAGGCTTTCATCTGGGTTTTATGAGAAATTACGGGTTACAAATGGGTCACTACAGTGGGCTTTAACGCTTTCCAGCTGACGTGTGGCATTTGGAACGCGTTAAAGCCCACCGTATCTCCTCAGTTCAGATGATGGGGGGCTCATCCCCCCTTCTCGCAAGGTGGATACAAGAAGGGGGGACTATTGCGACGTCTCAAACGTCCTCCCTTCCCCCCTCCCCTTCCCCCCTTCAGAAATGCTTCAGGTGGCAGGCCCATCTACGCAGATATCGTGGATAAGAGGGGGGCCTTGTGCCTAGACCCCGGTTAACATCACATCCGCCATACACTCCAGCCTGCAGCAGCGCCTGCACTGTGACTATATCGATCTGCTGCAGCTGCACTGGCCGGATAAACCCTAAATGCCTACATTCAAGTACTGCGAATGATCCCCCTCCCTCATCTCCACTCTCCCCTCCATCTCTCACTTCTCTGTGCACCTCCCCATTCAGGGTTCCCTCAGGTGGTGGGTCCATCAGCTCAAATGACGTGGATAAAAGGGGGGGCCTTGTGCCCTAGACCCCGTTAACATGGCTGCTCTCCTCCCTCCCCTCCCCTCCCCTCCCCTCCCCTCCCCTCTCCCCCCCCTTCAGGGACCTTTCAGGTAGCGGGCCCATCGGCTCAAATGACGTGGATAAGAGGGGGCCCTTTTGCCCTGGACCCCGTTAATATCACATCCGCTATAGACACCAGTCTGCAGCGCCTGCAGTGTGACTATATCGATTTGCTGCAGCTCCACTGGCCCGATCGCTACGTGCCCATGTTTGGCGACTGGGAGTTTGACCCCCGATGTGACTATAACGAGTACAGCTCGTTTGAAGCACAGCTGGAGGCTCTAGGAAGGGCAGTGGACGCAGGTAGATCTGAGTGTCCAGGGGTTTGGGTTTTGGGTCTCCTCCTCTGCTCTTGTTCCCTCCAGCCATTTCCATCCAGAACGCCTATTCCCTGCTCTGCCGCACATTTGACTCCACCCTAGCTGAATCGTGTCACCACGAGCACCTTCCCCCACTGTTGTGTTTTGAGACGTCTCAAAAGACTCCAAGGGCTCACTCTCCGCCGCTAACCTTAACTCCCCCCCACTCCCCCACTCCCCCCACATCCCCCCACTCCCCCACTCCCCCCACATCCCCCCACTTCCCCTCACTCAACCCCTCCCGCTTCCCCCTTATCCCAGGGAAAGTGCGGTACATTGGACTCAGCAACGAGACAGCATGGGGATTGGGAAAGTTTCTGGAAGCTGCCAGCCAGCCTGCAACTCCCTCCTCCTCGTCTCCTCTCTGCCCTCGCCCGATCGCCCTGCAGAACGCCTATTCCCTGCTCTGCCGCACATTTGACTCCACCCTAGCTGAGTCGTGCCACCACGAGCACATTCCCCTGCTCGCATACAGCCCTCTGGCCATGGGGCTGCTCTCGGGTAAATACCACTGCAGCCCCCAAATGTTGTCGGGTAAACACCGCTCTAGCCCATCAGCAGACCCTGCCACGTCAGCCAACGCTGACACATCAGCAGACGCTGCCACGTCAGCATCGATTGACACAGTACTACTCCTGGCCCAATCTCTGGATCTCCACCAAAGCTCTGATCCAACCGACACCAACAACAGAATCTTTCAGGATCCTTCCTGGCGCTTAGTTAAATACCGGAACCGATACGCAGAGGCAGAGGGCCGGTACCCAATCAGCAACCCCCGGGTGGCGACAGCTGTCAGGGCGTACGCTGATGTGGCGAGGCGGTTCCACGTGTCACCCGTACAACTGGCACTGGCGTTTGTGCTGGCTCATCCCCTGGTGGGGGCTGCGGTTGTGGGGGCATCATGTTTGCAGCAGTTGGAGGAAATTCTGTCAGTTGTGGGGGAGGGGGGAGGGGGCGGGAGTGGGAGGGGAGAGGGGATAGAGTTTACTGAGGAGATGCGTGCTGCAGTTGACGCGGTTCATTCTGTGCTGCCAAACCCCACCCCTTAATTTTGGCGACTGTAAGGTTAAATCAGAGATCAGATCTCATTGTCTCTGCTCGCACATCCCTTGGTTGGAGCTGCGGTTGTTGAATCTCTTCGTGTTTGGATGGAGCAGCTAGAAGAGGTAGTGTAGGTTGTGAGGGAAGGGAGAGGGGGAAATGGAGGGGGCGGCGAAGGGGGAAAGGGAAAAGAGGGGATAGAGTTTACAGGGGAAATGAGGGCTACCGCTGACGCCATTCATGCCATGCTGCCAAACTTCACCCCGTAATTGTGGCTATGAGCAATCCTACAGAACCTCTTTGTCGCTGTTGCTGCTGCTGCTGCCAGCTCAAACCGCCACTCCTATCCTTGGCGCGGTGTGGTGTCGTGTAGAGTGGTGGCCTCACTTGTAATCAGAAGAGCAAGGGAGGTCGGGTGCAGTGCAGCGAATTGGACGCTGCACCTTGCTTGCGTCCTTCGTCTCCTTTGTGTTATTGAGTGGTTCAATGTACAGTTACCATACCAAGCCAGAGCTTTGAAACCGCCTTCTCGTGTGGTTACATTCAATCTCAAGGCAACCAGCCAGGGCTGATCTGCCAGCAATATTACCATTGTATACTATACCCGTTATGATGTTCACCATTATTCTCTAATGCTCTTGTAATGAGTGCGCTACTGCCAGCATGGCCACTGCAGCGGTCTCCTCTCCACCTGCAGCCTTCGTTGATTCGATTACAGCAAGTCAACTTCCTTGCTCTTGTAGTGAATGTGCTAGTAGCGAGACCCCTGCCAGCATGGCCACTGCAGCGGTCTCAACTCTCAGCCTCTGCAGCCCCAAGCTCACTGCCCTTGCCCCTGCTGCTTTCAGAGCCTCTAGTTCTGATGGGGTGAAATCTGCAGGATAGGTGGAAGGGGGAGTGTGGAGGGAGCGTTTGGTAGTTGAGTGGTTAAAGAGAACATAAATAGGCAAATGAGAAAGGTCTCCGCAGCCCCAAGCTCACGAGGTGCCTTTTGAGTCGACTCAAAAGTCACTTTGTGTGGGGGGGGTTTGGTCGTTGAGTGGTTAAAGAGAACATAAACAGGCACATGAGAAAGGTTTTGAGACGTCTCAAAACCCTTCTTTTGAGACGTCTCAAAACCCTTCTTTTGAGACGTCTCAAAACCCTTCTTCAATCACGTGAGTGGTTTAAGAGAACCTAAACAGGCAAATGAGAAAGGTCTCTGCAGCCCTAAGCTCACTTCCCGTGCCCCTGCGACTTTCAGAGCCTCTACTTATGATGGGGTAAAGCCTGCAGAGTGGCAGGAGGTGTGGGAGAAAGGAGTTTGGTGGTTTGGTGGTTGGAGAGAAAATAGGTCTCCACCCTCGGCCTCTGCAGCCCCAAGCTCACTGCCCGTGGCCCCGCTGCCTTGAGTGCATTCGATACCGATTGGGTGAAATATGAAGAGGAGAGAGTGGGGAGAGAACGGGGAGGGTTCTTGGTGGGAGGAGATGGACGGACAGATGATTCTAATGGTGCGCGTATGGTCTGACGAAGGCGACCAACCGCTGCCTCGTAATGTCTCCCACCACAAAGTGGTGTTCCTTGGTGGGAGGAGATGGACGGACAGATGATTCTAATGGTGCGCGTATGGGCGCACAAAGCAAACCAGGGTGGCCACTGCAGCGGTTTCTAAACCTCAGCCTCTGTCTGCCACCCCAAGCCTTTTTTGAGACGTCTCAAAACAGCATGGCCACTGCAGTGGTCTCCAACCTCAGCCTCTGCCTGCCACCCCAAGCCTTTTTTGAGACGTCTCAAAACAGCATGGCCACTGCAGCGGTCTCCAACCTCAGCCTCTGCCTGCCACCCCAAGCCTACTGGCCGTGCCCCTGCTGCCCTCAGAGCCTCTATTTTCGATGGGTTAAAATCTGTAGCAGGGAGGGTGGGTGGAGAGAGTTGTGGTTGTTTCTTAGGCCGACCCAGCAGCCTCTGCAGCCCCAAGCTCACTGCCCATGCTCCCGCTGCCTCGAGAGCATTCGACTTCTGATGAGGTAATGTCCGCAGGTTTGATGGGAGGCGTGGAGGGGGTGGGGTGGGTGGGAAGGGTTTTGGAACTTTGGGGGTTGGAGAGAGAGCAATGGCACATGGGTGTATGAGGTCACGTGCCTTTGCTCTCTCTCCAACTAAGTTGGGTCCGTACGTTTTTGGACAAGCGTAATCGTAATATTACTCGTAAACGTAAACGTACGCGTACATACGAGTAAATACGCGTAACATCTATCCGGGCAGGGAAAATTTTTGCCAAGAAGGGCCGTCGACTAGAGGAGTGGGACAAGAGGCATGACGCGAGACAACAAATGTGGCAATATGTGAAAAACCAACACACATGAAACCCGTCACCACATGAAAAACCACCTTTTGGTTGTGCAAGAAACAACCGGATCTACAGCAAAAACGAGGGCATGAGTTTGTTGGGCAGCCCAAAAAAAAGTTGTAATCTGCCCGCAAACGTAAACATTTCAGCTCCGCAAACGAAACATAAAACGTACGTAAACGTAAACGCAAAACGTATGTAAACGTAAGCGTAATATCCAACTTAGCTCTCCAACTTTGGGGGTTGGAGAGAGAGCAAAGGCACATGGGTGTATGAGGTCACGGGGCATGAAGGCACATGGGTGTATGAGGTCACGGGGCATGAAGGCACATGGGTGTATGAGGTCACGGGGCATGAAGGCACATGGGTGTATGAGGTCACGGGGCATGAAGGCACATGGGTGTATGAGGTCACGGGGCATGAAGGCACATGGGTGTATGAGGTCACGGGGCATGAAGGCACATGGGTGTATGAGGTCACGGGGCATGAAGGCACATGGGTGTATGAGGTCACGGGGCATGAAGGCACATGGGTGTATGAGGTCACGGGGCATGAAGGCACATGGGTGTATGAGGTCACGGGGCATGAAGGCACATGGGTGTATGAGGTCACGGGGCATGAAGGCACATGGGTGTATGAGGTCACGGGGCATGAAGGCACATGGGTGTATGAGGTCACGGGGCATGAAGGCACATGGGTGTATGAGGTCACGGGGCATGAAGGCACATGGGTGTATGAGGTCACGGGGCATGAAGGCACATGGGTGTATGAGGTCACGGGGCATGAAGGCACATGGGTGTATGAGGTCACGGGGCATGAAGGCACATGGGTGTATGAGGTCACGGGGCATGAAGGCACATGGGTGTATGAGGTCACGGGGCATGAAGGCACATGGGTGTATGAGGTCACGGGGCATGAAGGCACATGGGTGTATGAGGTCACGGGGCATGAAGGCACATGGGTGTATGAGGTCACGGGGCATGAAGGCACATGGGTGTATGAGGTCACGGGGCATGAAGGCACATGGGTGTATGAGGTCACGGGGCATGAAGGCACATGGGTGTATGAGGTCACGGGGCATGAAGGCACATGGGTGTATGAGGTCACGGGGCATGAAGGCACATGGGTGTATGAGGTCACGGGGCATGAAGGCACATGGGTGTATGAGGTCACGGGGCATGAAGGCACATGGGTGTATGAGGTCACGGGGCATGAAGGCACATGGGTGTATGAGGTCACGGGGCATGAAGGCACATGGGTGTATGAGGTCACGGGGCATGAAGGCACATGGGTGTATGAGGTCACGGGGCATGAAGGCACATGGGTGTATGAGGTCACGGGGCATGAAGGCACATGGGTGTATGAGGTCACGGGGCCTTCATGGACGTCACTGCCCGTGACCTTCATGCACGCTGCTGCCGTCAGCCCCAATACTTGCAACCCATTGGTTCCTTCCACCCGCGGAGCGGACCGCCCGTGACCGGTGTCATACTCTAACCACTTGCTGCCACGTGTTGAACCATGGCCTCTAAATGGGGTTCGATTGCCCAATACTTGCAACCCATTGGTTCCTTCCACCCGCGGAGCGGACCGCCCGTGACTGGTGTCATACTCTAACCACTTGCTGCCACGTGTTGAACCATGGCCTCTAAATGGGGTTCGATTGGCCAATACTTGCAACCCATTGGTTCCTTCCACCCGCGGAGTGGACTGCCCGTGACCCTGCTGCTGCCCTCAGCCCCAATAGTTGCAACGTGGGGGTGGAGCGTGGTTGCGGGTGGTGGAGAACAGTCGGGCGGGTGGAGAACAGTCGGGCAGGCATCTCAAACGAAACTCGCATCTCACCTCCTTCAGGCCCCACTATAAGCAGCCCGCCCTTTTGCAGCAAAGAAGGATCCATCGCCCCGACTGCTGCCAGCAGGGGAGGCGAGTTGGGCGCTCCCAGCAGAGCGAAAGGGGCCTGCTGAATCTGCAGGGGAAGTAGGAGTGGGATGCAGTGGAAAGGGGTTGGTGATTTTTCAAAAGATCCTTCGCCCTGACTGCTGCCAGCAGGGGAGGCGAGTTGGGCGCTCCCAGCAGAGCGAAAGGGGCCTGCTGAATCTGCAGGGGAAGGCAGGAGAAACAAGGAAGAGGTAGACAAGAGTGGGTGGGATGCGGCGAGGAGGAGTTGGCGCGGCTCTTTAAACGAATCCATCATCCAACTGCTGCCAGCAGTGGCAAAGCATTGGGTGCTCCCAAAACAGCCAAAGGGGCCTGCTGGATACACAGGGAGGAAGGACAGGGACGAGGTAGGAGTGGAATGCGGTGAGAAGGAGCTGGTGATTTTCTCAAGGATGGTGAGCAGGGGTAATAAGTCGGGCACTCCCAGCAGAGCCGAATGGGCCTGCTGGATCCGCAGGGAGGAAAGGAAGGACAGAAACAGAAAGGGGGAAATAAAAACGAATTAGGAGTAAAGGTGACGGGAGAGAGGAGCAGAAGAGAGAGAGGAGCAGAAGGGAGAGAGGCGCAGAAGGGAGAGAGGCGCAGAAGGGAGAGAGGCGCAGAAGGGAGAGAGGCGCAGAAGGGAGAGAGGCGCAGAAGGGAGAGAGGCGCAGAAGGGAGAGAGGCGCAGAAGGGAGAGCAGAAGGGAGAGAGGCGATCACATACCTGCTTTGTGAGGTCTTTGAGAGAGGTGAAGTCGTGGATGTGTTTTGAGACGTCTCAAAACCCTTGTTTTATCACGAGACGTCTCAAAACACTTGTTTTATCACGAGACGTCTCAAAACACTTGTTTTATCACGAGACGTCTCAAAACACTTGTTTTATCACGAGACGTCTCAAAAAACTTGTTTTATCACGAGACGTCTCAAAACACTTGTTTTATCACGAGACGTCTCAAAACCCTTGTTTTATCACGAGACGTCTCAAAACACTTGTTTTATCACGAGACGTCTCAAAACACTTGTTTTATCACGAGACGTCTCAAAACACTTGTTTTATCACGAGACGTCTCAAAACACTTGTTTTATCACGAGACGTCTCAAAACACTTGTTTTATCACGAGACGTCTCAAAACACTTGTTTTATCACGAGACGTCTCAAAACACTTGTTTTATCACGAGACGTCTCAAAACACTTGTTTTATCACGAGACGTCTCAAAACACTTGTTTTATCACGAGACGTCTCAAAACACTTGTTTTATCACGAGACGTCTCAAAACCCTTGTTTTATCACGAGACGTCTCAAAACACTTGTTTTATCACGAGACGTCTCAAAACACTTGTTTTATCACGAGACGTCTCAAAACCCTTGTTTTATCATGAGACGTCTCAAAACACTTGTTTTATCACGACACGTCTCAAAACACTTCTTTTATCACGAGACGTCTCAAAACAATTGTTTTATCATGAGACGTCTCAGAACACTTATTTTATCACGAGACGTCTCAAAACACTTCTTTTATCACGAGACGTCTCAAAACACTTCTTTTATCACGAGACGTATCAAAACACTTCTTTTATCACGAGCCGACCACATACCTGCGTTGTGAGGTCGTTGAGAGAGGTGAAATGGTGGATGCAAGGTCGATGGATGGAGTTTTGGACGACTCAAATGTTGTATACTCACAGCGTGCACTGTGAAACGCGGGATTCTCAACGTACCTGCTTTGTGAGGTCGTTGAGAGAGATGAAGTCGTGGATGCAAGGTCGATGGATGGACTGGCCTGAGGGGAGAGACAAGGAAATGGAGAGAGGCGAGAAAGTGGAGAGAAGCGAGAGGACTGTTGAGTCAAGTTGGAAGTCGAAAGGATGGATGGACTGGCCAGAGGGGCAGATGGGAGAGTGGGGGAAGGGCGAAAGGGAGAGAGGAGAGGAACGTCAGGAAAAGGCAAAAACATGGATGAAAGTGGAGGGGAAAACGTATGTATGTGTGTGCGCGCACTCGTGCATGTGTGTGTGCGTGTGTGCGTGTGTGTGTCGGGGTGTGCGTTCACCCACACAAGCACATGCCTCTCACTCTCCCCCACTCACTCTGCTTACCAGCAACCAACGCCACTCGCTCCCTCATGCTAATCAAGCTGTTTTGAGAATTCTCAAAAAACACGTTTTGAGACGTCTCAAAAGAGATTTATTATCGCCCCCTCTTTCTCTCCCCATGCACTCACTCTGCTTACCAGCAACCAACGCCACTTTCTCCCGTCTACCCACCTGCCCCCCCCCCCCCCTGACCGCTCCGTGACCAGCGGAATGAACGCCACTGCAGCAATGCTCCCAGGTCATGCATGCACACACCCACACCCTCTCTCCCCTTCCCATGCACTCACTCTGCTTGGCAGCAGCCAGCGCCACTCGCTCCCATCTGTCCACCCGCCCCTCTCCCTTCCCCCCTGACCGCTCCGTGACCAGTGGGATGAATCCTACTGCTCCCAGCTCCTGCAGGCGAGCACACAGTGAGAAGGGGAACAGGGAAGATGCTGGGTTGGGGAAGGGATGTACTATGCGGTACTATGCAAACAGTGTCCAGTGGGATGAACCCGGCTCCTCCCAGTCACGTGTATGAAGACTGGTTTTGAGACGCCTCAAAACCAATCTTCATACATGCTGGGTTGGGGAAGGGATGTACTATGCGGTACTATGCAAACAGTGTCCAGTGGGATGATCCTCGCTCCTCCCAGCCACGTGTATGAAGACTGGTTTTGAGACGCCTCAAAACCAATCTTCATGCATGCTGGGTTGGGGAAGGGAGGTAGTATGCGGATACAAACAGTGTCCAGTGGGATGATCCTCGCTCCTCCCAGCCACGTGTATGAAGACTGGTTTTGAGACGCCTCAAAACCAATCTTCATGCATGCTGGGTTGGGGAAGGGAGGTAGTATGCGGATACAAACAGTGTCCAGTGGGATAAACCCCGCTCCTCCCAGCTCCTGCAAGAAAGGAAAAAGCCAGGGGACTGGGGAGGGGGAAAATTGGAACGGGGGTTGAAAGGGGAGCATATGGTAATTATTCCCCCAAACAGAGGAGGGGAAGAAGGGGCGACGGATGGTGACAGAGAGGGAAGGGAGGTGCAGCGGGTGGACAACACAACCCCCCACGTTCTGGTCGTGCATTTTCCAATCAGCCAAACGTGACCGTGCATTTCTCAACGAGCAATTATGACGTGGATGTATTCATTATCTTTGTGTATTTCTCGATCAGCCAATTGTCGTGAATCCCCTCTGCTGTCCCTTCCTTCTCACTCTCCCTTGCATCCCTGCCTGACTTCCTCACTCCCTCTCCCTCCACCTCTCATCCAGGTGACCGGCTCATCCCTTCTTCCTCCTGGCGTATGTAATCACTCTGTTCTGATCCCCTCCTCGTATCTCAGGCAACTCCTCACATTTCTCCTTGCAGATGGCTGCATCCTCCGCATTCATTCGCCTCCTGCGTTGGTATGTAGGTAGCTCAGTCGTGAGGTTCAGCTCCAGCTCTCTCCCCTTGTATCTCCCCAATTCCTGCAGGTTATAGGCGAAGGTGCCCCTATGCTGCTGCAACACCTCCCTGATTGCTTCGGCTGCTTGCTCCCCTATACCTGCCCCCAGCTCCCAGGTTTTGCCCGGCTCTGCTTCCGTCCCTACTGGTGGTGCAGTTTTGATCTCCTTCTCGTCTGTGAGCTTGCTGACAGCGGCGTAAGCAGCCTGCTTGCTGCCCCTGCACTTCTCCTCTTCCGTCTTTCCCTTTTTCTCGGCTGGCCCCTTTCTCATCTCACTAATTAGCCATCGCAGTGAGTGCTGGTCTATGGCTCGGCCCAAGGCAGCTTTGCGCACCTCCTCCCCTACTCCATCTGCTGCAGTTGCCCCCGGCAGGTACCCCATGGCTAATTCCCTCTCCAAAGCAGTCGGCTCCTCCCATCTTTTCTTACGGTGATCATACACCATCCCTGGACCTGGAGTCCCTTCCACTTCGACAAATCCCCGTGCCTTTGCATAGGCCACCAGTGTCGGCCAGGCCCTCCTCGCTTCCCCCACTCGGTTACACTGATACTGTCGCGGATGATCTGGCTTTACCACTGGGGCGGCCACTCTCCCTGGTTCCAGAATGTCTTCCACGATTCGGCTCTCATCTCTCTCCACCCTTGCTAATCTCGCCCTCAGTTCTCCTTCTGGCAGGACGTTCTGCCAGTACTGCCGCACTCTATGACACCTTGCCCCCAGCTGTGCCCCGTCACAACTCACTCCCCTTCCCAATTCTGCTTCCACCAGTTCGCGTACGGCTCGGACCGGCTCCCTGCTATCACTCCTCATATCCACATGTTCTAGGATGTACGCATATTCCCCGCCAGATTCTCTCGCCCACCTCATAATCGTCAGCAGTGTTGTCACCATCGCCGTGCGGTCATCCTGCATTCCTCTTCCCTTCCCCGCTCGGGAAGTACCCTGGCACTCCCACCCTGCTACCAACAGGTCCACCTTTCCCCAGCGGTTCACGTCTTCCTTGGTAAGCTGTCCCACATCCCACTTCTCATTCTGCATGGCCTCCCGTATCACTTCCTTCGCCAGTTGAGCTGGGTACCGCTGCTGCAGTATTTGTGCATGCTTCCAAGCCATCCTCCTCACCTCCGGGTCTATTTCCACATACACCCATCTTTTCACCTTCAGCCCTGCTTCCAGTGCCGCCGCTAAGCCTGCCCCCAGCCCTCCAAACAGCTCCACTAAGGTAACGCTATACTGGTTCAGGTTAGCTCCGACCTTGCCCTCTTTGGTACTCCCCCTCCTTACGCTCTCTCTTCTCATGCCCTCCGCCCTCCAAGCCTTCTTCGGTTCTGTCTTGACAAACCGCACTGGCAGCTCACTCAACTCCTTTCCCTCAATCCAGAAATCCGAGCGGTAGAGCACCTGTTCCTGCCAGGTACAAATTGTTGTACCTATCTTGAATAGCAGCTCCATCCCCAGCAGAACATCATAATCCTCCGATTCCGTCAGCCCACATTGCACTCTTATCGTCGTTTCTCCCTTCTCTCCCGGCTGCAGAGTAATCTCGATGGGGTCCTTAGTACAGGGCATCCACTTTGGTGCCCCTCCCTCGGCTGTCATGATCAGTATGCCTCTGTTTACTATTTCCAAGTCCCCTTTCTCCCGTAACTGTTCTGTCAGCTTCCTTCCCAGCAGGACACTCTGTGCGCCTGTATCCACCACGGCGTTCTCCACTAATATGCCCCTGACAGCCACTGCCTTAGGTTCTACCACCAGGGCCGTGGGTTGGCAGACGAGTCTCTCCTCAGGATGCCGTCGAGCCGTCCTCGGCTTATGGCTTTCTTCTTGTTGCCGAGGGGTTCTCCTTTCAGGCTGCTTCTGCTCTGTCCTGCCATCCTTCCCGCCGCTGCGCAGCCCCAACTCCTCTCGGTCTCTAGGTGGTATGGCCATGGCCCCGTACTCTGCCTCCTCTCTCTCATACTCCTCCTCTTCATCGTCCTCCCAAGCCAGCAATGCCTTCTCAGGGTCCTCACTAATCTCAGTCTTCTCCAACTGTCCCTTCAGCTTCGCCACCTCTCTCTCTAACTGTAACTCCCTTGCCGATTTTCCTCGCATTCTCTCTCCCTTGCTGTAGCACCTGTCTTCAGTATGCCCCCTTTTCCCACACCCGGTGCAGATAGGTGCCTTGGGGCAGTCACGTCTGAAATGTCCTTTCATCTTGCATGTGTCGCACACTATGTCTATGGCGCAGTCCTCCGCACGTGCCCCTTTTCGCCGCACTTGTAACACCTGCGTCTATCTTCAGACGGCCTCTCTCTTCGTTCCTCTTCCCCCTGTCTCCCTTCCACCGCTGCCCAAGCAGGCCTCCGACGTTCGCTCGGCCGACTGGAGCTTGACCCCCTCATTCCTTCGAAAAACCTCTTTCCATCCTCCACTTCTTTCGCCACCTGGTACACCTGTCGCAGCTTCGCCCGTACCCCCAAGGAGTATAGTCGGCTTCTCATGTCTCGTATCAAGTCCCCATCCAGTCCGTTGACGAACTTGGTCACTAGGATGCGCTCCTCCACGCAGCCCATATCCTCTGCCAGCTCCAGTAAACGGTTATAGTAGGCCAACATCGACTCTGCCGGCGCTCTTCTGAAGTCTTGAAACTCCGCCATCCGGTCAGCCGAATGCCCCGGGAACTGCTCCTGCAGGCTTTCCAAGAAACGGTCCGTAATATCTGCCGGTAAGATATCTCCTCTGTTGCTCCGCATCAGCAGCCCCTGCCTCTCCACGCGGTAATGAGTCAACACCTCTCCTTTGAGAGTCCTCCCCAAGCCTCTGAAAAATTCAATAGGATCCAGTCGCTCCCTATCCCAGCAGTAGCGAATGTCTTCAATCATCATCAGGTAGTTTTTCAGCGTGGGCTCCTCTCCGGGTGCCCCCGAGAAGCGGTCTGGTACCTCAATTTTGGGGGGTGTAGTACTCATCGACCTGCCTGTCCCCCAGCTTGTGTTCCCTCCTTCTCCACTCCCTGCAGGTCGCCCTGCTCTCCCGGCCTCCATGGCTTCGTATCCTCCAGCAGAGAATCCGTGATATGCTTCCTTGCCTCGCTGACTTCGTCGTTCCACCGATTGATCGTCTCCTCCCCTCAGACTACGCCTTTCTTCACGTTGATCTTCTTCTCCTCTCTGACTCCGCCGTTCTTCTCGATGATCTTCCCCTCCCTTCTGACTTCGTCGATCTTCATGTTGATCGTCTCCTCCCAGATCTGGATTTCCTCGGCGAGATCCACTCCCCACAGGTCGCCCTCCACTCCTCTCCGCGGGCGAGTCGCATGCAGAGCTCGACTGTTGTTCTCCGTGTACACCTCGTTCTTCCTCCCGATCCCCGCCTTGGTTACCGCGCGAGATCGTCCCTCCTTCGCCCGCCCGAAATCCAGGCATCCTGACCGGCGGATCACGTCCCTCCATCATCCTCGCCGGGAATCGGTGTCCAGAGCGCAGTTGATGAGTGTGAAGCTCACGGTCGAAATTACTCATTCCTCACGGTGCATCACCGTGGGCAACTCCAGGCAGTAGATCCTGCCACCTCTTCTCTCAACAATCGTAATCCTGACTACCCTTTTTGCTTGTATGAAACAAGACTTAACTCCCTCGCAAGGGCTCCGCCGATTTGCTTCAGCTCCTCTCTACTGCTAGTTCCCCGTGGTTTAGGAAATCACAATTGCAGTAAACGAGAAACATACAAGCAAAAAGCAACGAGTCTGAGCGCTACCCCAGTCTACATCCCCTCCTGCCTAGGTGCCTTGTCCCGCAAGCTACCTCTACTCCTAAGCGCGAGTCAGCCGAGCTGATCGCGTAGGCTTCAAGGTGCTAGCTGGGTCCCACTCGGCCCACTAGGCATGCACCGCCTTCCAGCCTGGTGAATGGCGAATTGAATTCCCAGGCTGGCTGGAATCGAATTCGCCACCAACCTCCCCCCTAACCACCTCGAAATCCTCAGCAGCTCGACTCTGTATAGTACAGTAACATTCCAAAAGAGCAAACAAAGTAAAATGCAAAAAGCAGTAAACTATAGTACACCTCACCTTGGCTGCTGTGTAATTCACACTTAGTTGCCAGCTAAGTGTTAATCACGCGACACAATCCTGACCGTGCATTTCTCGATCAGCCAATCAGAGCGGCCACCCTTGAGCATGCCACAAGCTGCCACCACCGTCCACTGGGGGCCGGAGAAAGGAACCTTCCGGGCAGCTTCCGTGGCCACAAGAACAATGCCCTGCTGGCGGTCGATCGACTCCAATCGGACGGTCACGATGGATCCCTGGCCATCAAACAACTCGGCTCTGTTTAGGATGTGGGATTCAAAAGGATGTGGGGGATGGGGGAGGGGAGAGAGAGACGGGGGTGGGGGATACATTTGAGGATGGATTGGTGGAAGGAGGGATGCATGGCAGTCAGACTGTGCTTCGTGAAAACCCGCAAAAGCAGACTCAAGCACACTATTCAAATTACCACCAATGCGACTGAAACAGACATTGATGCGAATACTCCCACTGAAAGAAAGCTCTGCAAAACCAGACTAAAAGCACATTAACCACCACCAATCCTACTGAATGTTACAGAAAACGATACTACAAAGAAAATGTGGAAGAAGAAATACGCACAGGTCACCGGGTCTGAGGCGCAGCGAGCGACTCATGTGCGACGCCTCGGAGCCCACCAATCGCACAGCACTGCCCTGCCAACATGGCACATTGCCACGTCATCAGATGCTTGCCTGGACGTGACACGTACACGATGATATCTCCCACAGCAAATGAAGGAAGGCAGAATTGGAACAGCAATCGTATCCTCGATATTGGGCTCCTCACCATTAGCAGGGGCAGGCTTTCGGAGAAGAAACGCGGAAGGCCCGAGGAGGAAGGGGAGTAAGAGGCAGAGGTGGAGGAAGAGGGGGAGGACGAGGAAGGGGAAGAGGAGGAGGGAGGGGAAGGTGAGGAGGGATGATGGGAAGGGGATGTTGGGGAGGATTGTAACGAGGATGGATTCCCTGATGTTGCAGCGAGCGTAGCCGTTTTTCTCCGTGGTGGAAGTGACACGTGGCGGGCTACCACTCGCTGCTGTTGCCAGCGCTGTAAGAGGCCGAAGCCAGAGCTTTCTTCCTGGCGATCATATTGACACCCGGGATGAACGAAACTGCAGTTACCAGCGTTAGCTGAACTGGCGAAGCCTGAACTCGTCGCTCGGTTTCGCCGCTGAGCTGCGAAAGACCCGGCGAAACGGCCCAGGAGATCAGCATTAGCCACTGGATCAAAACTCCTTCGCGTGGAGGCTTCGCCGTACGTAATAAAACGCGCCTCGGCTGACCGACGACCGATCACTACTAAGCTCGGACTCACTACCAAGCTGGGCCTCGCGGCGCTCCTGGTGCTGCCGATGGTACGCGACGGCAGCGACGGCCCCCGTCGCAAAATGCGTGTTTCGACCGATCGAGCCAGTGCCGCTGCGGCGGACATTGCGAGGCTGTACGGACTCGGGGCTGTGGTGAGCGCCGAGACTTAGCGTGAATCAAGGAACAGTACTCGAACGAGGTACCACATGTGTTTTTAGTAGACTAGAGGGCATTCACGGTTGGCCCCTAGCACATATTAAGAGTGACAATAGGATATTGAGCGAAATATAATAATAATAATGAAAGCAGAGCTCACTATTGATCGCATGAAACCGTTCTGGAACCATCCTCACCATTTTCTGCGCAGTCCGTGAATTTGTGCATGAAGTTTTTGGAGGGGATCGAGATGGGCATTTTCAAGGAACCCATGTCGTATTCAGAAATGCGGCACATAAATATCGTTCAAACAGAAAACGAACCGCCCTTTTGGCTTATGAAAATCAGGTACCAGACAGCTTGGACCTTTCAGCGAAAACTATATGTACCGAAGTCTGAAGCTCGAAGGGATTGCGCCCCCAAACTCGTCTGTCACTGCAGCCAAACCATTTGATTTGACACTCTCACAGTTCCTGGGAGGGTGGACCTGACCAAAACCAGCATTTTCTGGTCAAGTATCACGGTTTCCTTCGGTCTATTGCGACCGAAAGCGGTTGTTACCTAGAACCGCGTACAATCCCGAGGAAACCATCCGAACCGCATGGGTAGTGGAAAACCGAAGTTCCAGTGTGTTTCAGATTTCAGGACCAAGCCAGACCATTCAGAGAGCATTTGAAGAGTCACCGTAATTTCCGGAGCCGACCAGCGATTCGTGAGGTCGTGAGCCGAGCTCAGGATAGGCGGCTGCTGTGATACTTAGCTGGGCGTTATGTAAGCTGCACTTAGGCTGGCTCTTTTTGTTCCACGCCGTCGCCATTCCTACTGCATTGTGGTCGTTCTCCACGCATCTTGCTGGCAGCGCAGCGCACGAATAAATCGGCTCAAACCAAGCTCATACCGCACTGCAGCGGAAAAACGAAACTTGGCGTGTATTTATTATCCTTCCTCGACGTCAGTCAAGAGAGCATTGAGCGGCTAGTGTACCCGTCAGCCCCTGCACGAAAGCCTCTGCGCGCGCTGATAAGCTATCACCGTTCCGCCTCCAGCATGGCAATGCGGCTGCTGCTCCAGCATGCCGCCCCTCTCGCGTCGTTTCCGCCTGCGCCAGCGCAGCCCGCGCGGGCGCGGAGAACCATCAGCGCAATCCTCCTCGCGCGGGGAACTGTTCCGCGCGCTAATTCGCAAAGCATCAGAATCAGCGGATCAGCCTTGTTCGGCGTTCCGCAAGCGCTTAGTTGTGCCAGGCGCATTTCTGGAGCGCCTGAAAGCAGGCGCAATGCGACCGTTGCAAGCAGGGCCGTCCGCGGACCGGTCCGCGCGGAGGCTTCCGCTTACGCTGGCGGAGGCGGCGGTGAGGCTCAGCGCGCGGAAGCGGAGTGGCGCAACGAGGCGGAGCGTCGGGCGACGTCGCCTATAATGGTAGGGACATAGCAGAGGGAAGGAGACCGCGCATTCATGATAAAAGGCATGCTGTAGATGTATATTATGTGTATACATGCATGTTCTCTGCGATGTCACAACTTTCAGCCAAATACCTCTTGCTTGTGGTGTCTAGGTGAATACTGTGAGCAGAGCAATGGGGCTCTTAACGTGTGAGTGTAAGCAATGGGAGTGAAAGATGTGAAATGCGCCCCACCTCCTTTCTTCCCCCTGCACCCTCTGCCTCTCTCCATACTCCCCCGTTCCGCACTCTCCCCACCCACCCACCACTTACTTTTCCCTGGTCATATTTAGCCGTCTACATACCCTCCGTCCTCGGGACTGCTGTTTATGGCAGCAGCGTTGCTCGCTGCATCAGCAGCGGAGCATTCCATTCCATGTAGCCTCCTTCACCCCACCGCCTCTTTCCCTCTCCCTCTCGCCCACTCCCCTTCAGTCCCCCTTCTTTCCCCTTGGTCCCATCCCATCCAACCCTCTGCCCTCCGGCCTCTCATTCTAGCAGCAGCGCTGGTGGCAGCATCAGCAGCAGCGCTGGTGGCAGCATCAGCAGCAGCGCTGGTGGCAGCATCAGCAGCAGCGCTGCTCGGACGGGCCCCCTTCGCCCCACCGCCTCTTTCCCTCTCCCATTCCTCGTTCCCACTACCTTCTCCGCTTTTGAGGCGCCTCAAAACTCTTTCCCTCTCCCATTCCTCGTTCCCGCTACCTTCTCCGCCTCTCATTCCCTCTATTTCCCCCCCTGTCGCCTTCACCCTGTCCCATCCAGCCATCCGCCTTCCGTCCGCTAATCCTAGCAGCAGCGCTGGTCGCAGCATCAGCAGCTGCGCTGCTCGGCTGGAATCCCCTTCGCCCCACCGCCTCCCTCCCTCCGCCTGCTTCCGCCGCTGCTGTTCAGGTGTTTTGATGGTTGTGCTGGGTGGTGGTGGTGATGGTGATGGTGGTGGTGGTGGTGGTGGTGGTGGTGGTGGTGGTGGTGGTGGTGGTGGTGGTGGTGGTGGTGGTGGTGATGGTGGTGGTGGTGGTGATGGTGGTGGTGGTGATGGTGGTGGTGGTGATGGTGGTGTGGTGATGCTGCTGCTGCTCGTTAGGTGCGCTCATGTGGCTTCTTCTACTGCCCTTTTCTGCTTCTATTTCCTTTGATGTTGCTTCTGCTTTCCCCCAACCTTTTGCCTCCCAGCCCCCCTCTCCCCCACTTTTTGTTGCCCGATTCCTTCAAGCGTGCAAGCAAGAGACACCCTATCCTGAAACGTCTGAATTTTGAATCTTCTAAAATCTCTTGAAACCCTCCACCTCCTTCTTCCCCACTCCTCCTCCCACCGACCCCTCCTCCTCGGCACATCCCTCTGGGCGTGCAGACCGACCTCTGGGCCAAACCTCTGGGTTGAAATGGTTCAACCCCCCCCTCCCCCACCCTCCCCGACCGACCCCCCACACCACACACTCATTCGCTCCCTCCCACGCACACTTGGCCTTCTCAGATCCCTCTGGCCGTGCAGGAGGCCAAGCCCCTAGGACACCACTCCAAGTGCCTCTTGAGTTGACCCAGACAGACGCCATCCCTTTTCCCAACCACCCCACACACATTTCGCCCCCCTTCCTCCCCCCTTGGCCTTCTCAGATCCCTCTGGCCGTGCAGGAGGCCAAGCCCCTAGGCCGCCTGTCCAAGCGCGCTCGCCTGCTGTACTGGCTGGACAACCTCTTTGCCACGGAGCCCAACAGCAAGGTGGGTTTCAGAGGAGAGTTTAATTGCGGAGCGGTGACTCTTGAGTCGAGATGTAAGTAACACACACAGGACTTGCCTGCTCTTTTTTAGGATTCTCAAAAACCAATTTAATTGCAGAGCGGTGACACTTGAGTCAAGAGGTAAGTAACGCACACAGGACTTGCCTGCCCTGCGCTACTGGCTGGACAACCGGTTTGCTACCGAGCCCAACAGCAAGGTGAGCGTCAGAGGAGAGTTTAATAGCAGAGCGGTGACTCTTGAGTCAAGATGTAAGTAACACACACAGGACTTGCCTGCTCTGCTCTGCTGGCTGGACAACCTGTTTGCTACCGAGCCCAACAGCAAGGTGGGTGGGGGACAGGGGAGAGCTTGTAACGCAGCAGGGAGACGACGGGGTGAGTTGAGGCAGGTAACGCACACAGGACTTGCCTGCCCTGCTCTGCTGGCTTTTGAGGCGCCTCAAAAGTTGAGGCAGGTAACGCACACAGGACTTGCCTGCCCTGCTCTGCTGGCTGGACAACCTGTTTGCTACCGAGCCCAACAGCAAGGTGGGTGGGGGAGGGGAGAGAGAGAGCCTAAAGTGCATGATGTGTGCTCTACCGTTTTCCACCTCTTCAAACCCCTTTCAACCCCCCTTTCTTCTCAACCCCTCCAGGCACACACGCTGCTGGCCATCTGCATGCTCCTGACCTGGCTGCTGTGGGCGGGGTGCTGTACAAGGCAGCAGCAGTGTTTAGTACCCTTTCCCACCTCCTCTACAACCCAAACCCATTTCCACGCCTTGACCAATCTATCCTCAGGCACACACGCTGCTGGCCATCTGCATGCTGCTGACTGCCGTGGACGGGGTGCTGTACAAGGCAGCAGCCGTGGCGTCCAATGACTCAACGCCCTTTCTCACCTCTTCAAACCCCTCTCTACCCTCCTGGTTTCCCTCCTCCAGGCCCTCACACTGCTGGCGATCTGCATGTTGCTCACAGCAGTGGGTGGTGTGTGCTGTACAAGGCAGCAGCCGACGACCTGCCATCTCCACCACATGAAACCCCTTTCCCATTTCTTCAAACCCCTTACAACCCCTTTCAACCCGTTTCGCCCCCCCTTTCTTCTCAACCCCTCCAGGCACTGACGCTGCTGGCCATCTGCATGCTGCTGACAGCAGTGGGCGGGGTGCTGTACAAGGCAGCAGCTGCTCTAGTGTTTGGTGTTATTGATTTCTACCTCTTGACACCCCTCTCAACCCCTTTCTTCTCACCCCTTAGGCCCTCACACTGCTGGCGATCTGCATGTTGCTGACTGCAGTGGGCGGGGTGCTGTACAAGGCAGCAGCCGTGGCGTCCAATGACGACCTGCCACTTGGCGAGTCCGTGTGGGTGTCGTGGACGTTTGTGTCCAACCCCAGCGAGCACGTCAATGAGGTGAGTGGCCCCCTCCTCCCCCCTCTCTCCCCCCAACCACACACACAGAGAGGGCGAGAGAGCAGATGAGTTAGCTAGGTGGTTACGAGGCCGTGTGGGTGTCGTGGGCGTTTGTGTCCAACCCCAGCGAGCATGTCAATGAGGTGAGTGGGCAGCAGAGGGAGAGGGTGATATAGGTGAGAGAGCAGGCGAAGGAGTTGGGGCCAAAGCCAACCCAACCCACACACGGGCGAGGTATGCAAAGAGTGGAAGTGCTTGCTTGAGGTTTGTTGAAGCCCAGCCCAGCAAGCTCGTCAACGAGGTGGGTGGGTGGGCAACAGAGAGAGGCATAGGCGAAGGAGTTGGGGCCAACCCAACTCACACACAGACAGACAACCCAGAGAGAGCACGTGACCAGGTGAGGTAAGGTGCGATAAGCAGCGAGTGCAAGTGCTTTCTATGATGAGCTTTGTAAAATGGCTGTGGCCTTTGAATTGTTGTTACAGGGGAGGGTGGAGGGCACACACGTGCTGTGGAAGGGTGGCGAGTGCAGAAGGGAGGAGGGAGTGTGTGCAGGAAAGACGACTTGTCGGTTGAGTCGACTTGTCTTGCAAGAGTTTATTTTATTTTATTTTATTTTCTTGTGTATCACTCTAATGTTTTGCTTGCTACTTCTTTCCCCTCGCTTTTCTTCTCACCCACCCTCCACCTCAATACCGCTGCCGCTCCACCCTATACAGGGGCATACGAGTCGAGTTCTTACTCGACTCGTTTTGTTTTGAGTCGACTCAAGCCTTTTTTTAGCCTTGTTTTGAGTCCACTCAAAAAACTGCCGCTCCACCATATACAGGGGCATACAAGTCGAGTTCTTACTCGACTCGTTTCAGTGATTCGTTGCCCATGCATTGCCCTAACCCCTTGTCTGCCAATCCCACACAGGTTGTTGCATTTTCACCCCACCTCCCTCCCCTTTTCCCCGACTCCCTCCTGTTAATGTTAGCCCTCAATCTCACATTTGTACTTGTACTTTTTATATCCTAACTCAGTGTAGTTTGCACTTTGTGTTTGGTTGGGTGTACACCCACATCCCAACCAAACCTAAATGTAATCTCTAAGCAATCTCCAACCCACCAATTGGAGATTGCCTTATGATTACCCCCAATCCCCTAGGATTGCCCCTGATTCTCTCCCCACTCTTACCTTGCCCATTTCCAATGTACAGTCTTGAGCTCATTACTAAAGCATGGATTCTAAGCCCAAGTTCTGACATGGTATCAAAGCAATTCAATCGCACACGCGTATCATGATCCTCTTATCTCAACGGGCTTTTGTCCCACTTTCTTCGGCATAGCCACCATCAATCCCGTCGCCGGTGATTCGCGAATTCTTTGGCCGGAAATTATCCTGCGCCACTCTCCCTTCCTTCTCGACGACTTTGCAATTTCTCTGGTAACCGCATCGTTGGCGCTTGAAATCACACTTTTCTCGTCAATCGTCTTCACTCCATTTCTTCTCGTCGGGCCGCCGCCCGTCGCCCTGCAGCTTCTCGTCGGGCCGCCGCACGTTGCCGTGCATCTTCTCGTCGGGCTGCCGCCCGCCGCCCCGCAACGGCACTCCGCAGCTGAACAGGTGCAGCTGCGCAGCTGAGCAGCCGTGTAGCAGCGAAGCTGAGCAGCAGCGTAGCCGCGAAGCTGAGGGTGGTGTGTGGGGGGGTGTGTGGGAATATAGTTAGCTACCAAAATCGGCCGATTTGACCTACTTTCATCGGCCTTAAAATTCCTTCTACGAGATATTCCGAAGCGGCAGACACTGAAGCTTTTCGCTCTTCTCATCCCTCGGATTTTTCCTTCGGAAACCATAAACCTCACAATTCTCTTTCATAAACCCAAAACCCCAAGTTCTTCAAATTCTCCTTCAAAAACCCTAAACCTCAAGTTCCTCGGTGACTCAAGAACGACTTTTCACGCGATACCTAAAGGGTTCTTCGCCATGGCCTTCGCCTCGGCCACTCTCGCCAACCGCATCACCCCACTCCGCCTTGAAGCCGACGGCACTAGCTCCAACTTCAAGGCATGGAGCTACGGGGTTGACAAGCTCCTCCTGAGTCGTGAAGTGGGTGGACTTGACCTCAAGGACGTTCTTCTCAATCATGGCAAGGGAAAACAACCCCCATTCCCAAGGAGCCGTCTGATCCATCCGATGCTGTGGCAACCCAGGAGTAGGGATGAGCAAGGTGGCGAACACCTGTTCGGTTCGCCTCGAACACGTTCGAGGCGAACCGAACAGGTTTTGTTTTTTAGCTCAAATCGTTCGCCGAACAGTGTTCGATGTTCGCCCGAACACGTTCGTGTTCGGGCCGCTGCTGAAATTTGCCCGCGACGAACACGAACAGTGTTCGAGGTTCGCCCGAACACACCTCCACAGGCGAACAGCGAACACCTGTTTTTTCCTAAACTGTTCGCCGAACCGAACACTGTTCGGTTCGGCAAAAGAGGGTGTTCGACAAGGGGCGAAGACGAACATGTTCGTGTTCGCCCTTTGCTCATCCCTACCCAGGAGTACGAGGACTCCGTTGCCAAGTACCGCAAGTGGGAGAAGGCCGATGCGCCTATCATTAGTGTCTTTATCGGCTCCACTCCTCCCGAACTTGTCAACACGTTCCACAACTACCCCACTTCCAACGCCATCTGGAAGCATCTCCAGGACAGGTTCATGAATAAGACAGCGGTCGGGGTGGCCATCCACATTCCTGGTATGTTTCAAATCCGCCTTGAGGACTGCCCGGGTATGGCCGACTGCATCGCCAAGGTGCAAACCATCCATGGCGAGCTCAAGGAGCTGGGTATCATCTTCCCCGAACAATCTCCTGCGGCCGCCCTTCTTGTTGGCCTCACCTCGGCATACGAAGTCACAAGGAAAATGCTCCTCACGTCCTCGGCGGAAAACCTCACCTTTGCCAATTTCTCCTCCGCTCTCCTCTCCGCCGAGAAAGACTCCTCGGCCCAAGCTAAGGCCTACGCCCTCCGTGCTCCCGTGCCTCAAGCAAGTGTCACATCAGCACTCGCCTCGGCGTCTTTACAACGCAACCGCTTCCCTCCATGCACCTATATCATCAAGTATGGCAACCGCAAGGGACAAGTGTGTGGTGGCACCAACCACCCCCTCGCCACGTGCTTCAAGTAGAAAGACGACGAATGGTATGCCATCTATGCCTCACAATTCTCTTTCATAAACCCAAAACCCCAAGTTCTTCAAATTCTCCTTCAAAAACCCTAAACCTCAAGTTCCTCGGTGACTCAAGAACGACTTTTCACGCGATACCTAAAGGGTTCTTCGCCATGGCCTTCGCCTCGGCCACTCTCGCCAACCGCATCACCCCACTCCGCCTTGAAGCCGACGGCACTAGCTCCAACTTCAAGGCATGGAGCTACGGGGTTGACAAGCTCCTCCTGAGTCGTGAAGTGGGTGGACTTGACCTCAAGGACGTTCTTCTCAATCATGGCAAGGGAAAACAACCCCCATTCCCAAGGAGCCGTCTGATCCATCCGATGCTGTGGCAACCCAGGAGTAGGGATGAGCAAGGTGGCGAACACCTGTTCGGTTCGCCTCGAACACGTTCGAGGCGAACCGAACAGGTTTTGTTTTTTAGCTCAAATCGTTCGCCGAACAGTGTTCGATGTTCGCCCGAACACGTTCGTGTTCGGGCCGCTGCTGAAATTTGCCCGCGACGAACACGAACAGTGTTCGAGGTTCGCCCGAACACACCTCCACAGGCGAACAGCGAACACCTGTTTTTTCCTAAACTGTTCGCCGAACCGAACACTGTTCGGTTCGGCAAAAGAGGGTGTTCGACAAGGGGCGAAGACGAACATGTTCGTGTTCGCCCTTTGCTCATCCCTACCCAGGAGTACGAGGACTCCGTTGCCAAGTACCGCAAGTGGGAGAAGGCCGATGCGCCTATCATTAGTGTCTTTATCGGCTCCACTCCTCCCGAACTTGTCAACACGTTCCACAACTACCCCACTTCCAACGCCATCTGGAAGCATCTCCAGGACAGGTTCATGAATAAGACAGCGGTCGGGGTGGCCATCCACATTCCTGGTATGTTTCAAATCCGCCTTGAGGACTGCCCGGGTATGGCCGACTGCATCGCCAAGGTGCAAACCATCCATGGCGAGCTCAAGGAGCTGGGTATCATCTTCCCCGAACAATCTCCTGCGGCCGCCCTTCTTGTTGGCCTCACCTCGGCATACGAAGTCACAAGGAAAATGCTCCTCACGTCCTCGGCGGAAAACCTCACCTTTGCCAATTTCTCCTCCGCTCTCCTCTCCGCCGAGAAAGACTCCTCGGCCCAAGCTAAGGCCTACGCCCTCCGTGCTCCCGTGCCTCAAGCAAGTGTCACATCAGCACTCGCCTCGGCGTCTTTACAACGCAACCGCTTCCCTCCATGCACCTATATCATCAAGTATGGCAACCGCAAGGGACAAGTGTGTGGTGGCACCAACCACCCCCTCGCCACGTGCTTCAAGTAGAAAGACGACGAATGGTATGCCATCTATGGAGACGACAAGAAGCCGCCGAATTGGATGTGTTCTCGTAAGGCCAACGTAGTTGAAACACCGGACCCCGCTCAGGCTAGTGCTAGTGATAGTGCCTCTGCTGATGTGCGCATCAACTTGTTGTTCCCTGGCACTGCTATGATAAATGAAGCAACTTCGCAGTACACCGGCTCATCACAGGCACCACAATAGATAGAATTCACACTCGACAGCGGGGCCACTCACACAGTGCTCAAGGAGACACTCTCCTTCAAACCCTACGCAACACCCATTCCTCTTCTGGGAGCTGATTCAAGCTTCACCACTCTTGCCAAGGGTTCATCCACAGTCCCATGCCCCGCCTTCCCATCCGGCACTGTCACTGGCATGTGCGTGCCCTCACTACGCCACAGTCTAGTGGCTCAAACAGAAATTCAGGAGGCGGGGTTACGCACCATCTTCTCGGAGAACGAAAACTATTGTGACATCATCTTCTTGGCTCGCCTCACCTCCAATAGCAGCAGTCTTTACATGCTGCGAGTACCTATCCCACAGGTATCAACCACCCAAGCACAGGCTACTATCACACCATGCTCATGTCGCAGCTTCTCCAACCTGACCATCCTCTACCACCATCGGCTCGGGCACCCAAACTTCCGCACGCTCGCTGACATGGCCTCCAAGAAGCTTCTTCTCGGCTTGCCAGCCTCACTTCCTCAACCACTTGACTCGCCCGCTCCCACTTGCCTTGACTGTACCAAGAGCAAGCTTTGCCAACAGCCCCACCCTACCTCACCCTCAGTAGCAGCAGCCCCACTGGACCTAGTGCACATGCACGTTTGGGGCCCTGGCCTGGTTGCCGCACAAGGTGGCCATCGCTATTTCCTTATGATAGTTGATGACCACACTCGCTATATCTTTGGTGGTGAATTTTGCAACGACAAGCTCAAAGCCTTCTGCTCCTCCCTTGGCATCATGCAAAACTTCACCCTTCCTGACAGCCCGCAGCAGAACGGCATAGCAGAAAGCCGCAATCACACACTGACGCAGATCACTCGCTGCCTCCTCAGCCACTCCAACGCACCACTCTCACTCTGGGGGTATGCCCTCTAACTTGCCGCCCTCCTCTACAACCTCTATCCCCACCCGCATCTTCCCGACACCACTCCTACCACACTCTGGCTTGGGAAAACACCCACTGCTCGCCCCCTTCGCGTCTGGGGGTGCACCGCCTATGTACTCCTCAACCCCAAGGCTCGACGGCGGCAAGGTGGCAAGCTTGGTCCCAAAACTCAAACGTGCATATACCTCGGGCATAACGCTGACTTACCCTGACTACCTCTTCCTCAATCCCTCCACTCAACAACTCGTCCGGAGCCGAGATGTCGCCTTTGATGAGACTCGCCCCTTCTACTCCGCCTCGGGGGGAGATCCCCTTTCCGGACCACCCTCTCTTGTGTGGGCTGAATTTGATGCTCCTTCTGAACCTCCGCCTGCACCAACCCCCTCACCTCCTGCCTCTCCTGCCATCGCACCATCCCCGTCTGCGGTCTCTAACCCGATCTCTCCGGTGTCCTCGGCAGCTGCTCCTCCATCTCCCCCTTCTACCACTCTGCCAACTGCGCCCTCACCACAAAGCGCACCAATCAAATACCATCAGCGGTCGAACCCTCCCGCCCCCCCTCCTCCCTTCGTTCCCTCCTCCACTCAGGAACCTACTCTCCCACAGCCGAGCAAACTAATCACGTACCAACGTCGGCCAATCCCTCCCCCCAAGCCCCCTAAGCCGTCCCCTCCAGGAACGCCTGCTCCACCCTCATCTCCGGTGGCTCATGGCACTCGATCGCATGGGGCTGCTCCTCCACTGGCATTTGCTATTCGATGCTCAGTGATCACTCCGACTCCTCTTGCTGGGGGGGATGTGCCCTCTACCCTTCTGGAAGACAAGCATGAGGAGCTATGTGATCTCCACGCTGTCATTCCTTAGCTTTCGCACATCTTTCCCGATATCACTGAATCCCCCTCGCTCAACTTCTCGGAGAACCCGGCCATTCTTATCCCTCTCACCGTCCAAGAGGCTCTTTCGGGTCCCCATGCTGCCGAGTGGCGCGCTGCCATGGAAGCTGAGTGTGAAGCCTTCACCCGCAACCACTCCTTTGACAATGAAACTCCACCTCCAGGAGTTAACATTGTTGGGGGCAAGTGGCTGTTTCGAGTGAAGCAGCTTCCGGACGAGGCACCTGTGTTCAAAGCACGCTATGTGGCCAAGGGATTCACTCAACAGCAGTACTTTGACTTCTTCAAAACCTTCTCTCCCACATCCAAACCACCCACAGTTCGCATGCTCTTGGATGTAGCCGCACGAGACGACTTTGAGATCAAATCGATGGACGCCTCTTCGGCTTTCCTGCAAGGACACCTCAAGGAGACTGTGTTCATGAACCGACCTGAAGGCTTTCCGGGAGAGTTCCCTCCCAACACTGTCTGGAAGCTGAATCGCCCAGTGTACAGCCTCAAACAAGCCCCTCGTGAATGGCACAACAAAGTGAAAGAAGTTCTTCTCTCGCTGGACTTTCACCCATCATCTGCTGACCCGGCTCTCTTCATTCGCCGTCGCTCTGAGCCATTCTACATCTTTGTCTACGTCGATGACTTCATCCTCGTTGCCAAGGACTCAGCCCAGATGACCTTCGTCTAGGCGGCCCTAAGCAAGGCCCTCCTAATGAAAGACATCGGTGACCTCAAACACTACCTGGGAATGGAGATTACTCGCGATCGCCAGGCTCACACCATTTCACTCTCCCAGGAGTTCTACATCAACAATGTACTCAAGCGCTTTGAGATGGAGTTGTGCACACCCATGGCCACCCCGCTGCCACTACAGCACCTCCTCACCGCTCCAGTTGTCCCCACATCAGAGGCCTGCACTGAGCCATACCCAGAGTTTGTTGGGTCCCTCATGTACGCCATGATGTGCACCCGGCCTGATCTTGCATACCCTGTCAACGTCCTCTCTCGATATGTGGCTCCTGGACGCTCCACCGACCTTCACTGGAAAGCGGCAAAGCGGGTGCTGCGCTATGCAGGGAACCAAGTCTCATGTCCTCACCCTTGGTGGGGTTTTTCCTTCTCGACTGGAAGGGTATACCGACTCCTCCTGGGCTGATGACCAGACCGACCGACGCTCCTCCCAAGGCTACTACTTCACCCTTGGAAGCGGAATTGTTAGCTGGTGCTTCACCCGGTCGCTTGGAGTCTCCCTCTCACCCTGTGAGGCAGAGCTCTATGCTGGCACCATGGCAGCTCAGGAGGCCCGCTAGCTCACCTTCCTACTTCAGGAGCTTGGCTACCCTCAGCCCACTCCCACCCTCTGGTGTGACAACAAGAGCACCATCCACCTCTCCCAGGATCCCGTATACCACACTCGCACCAAGCACATCGAACTTCGGCACTTCTTCATCCGTGACCTTGTCCAGCGGGAGCAACTCAATGTGGAGTATGTGGCCTCTGACTGCAACTTGGCTGATCTGTTCACCAAGCCCCTTGGGAAGGTTGCTCACCATCGCCTTCTAGGCACCATGGGGCTCTGCGCTCCACCTTCTCTGCCATGAGTTCGATTGATGCCTATGGGGGGTGTTAATGTTAGCCCTCAATCTCACATTTGTACTTGTACTTTTTATATCCTAGCTCAGTGTAGTTTGCACTTTGTGTTTGGTTGGGTGTACACCCACATCCCAACCAAACCCAAATGTGATCTCCAAGCAATCTCCAACCCACCAATTGGAGATTGCCTTATGATTACCCCCAATCCCCTAGGATTGCCCCTGATTCTCTCCCCACTCTTACCTTGCCCATTTCCAATGTACTTAAAGAGCCTTGAGCTCATTACTAATGCATGGATTCTAAGCTCAAGTTCTGACACCTCCCACCACCCCCTACCCTTTTCCCCCTTGCAATGCAACCACCACACCACAGGCCTCGGGGCCAAAGCGTGTGGTGAGCGCAGTGGTGTCGGTGGGCGAAATGCTCTTTTTTGCGTTGCTGGTGGGTCCGGAAACGGACCTGGTGGACAACCCCCTTGCTCCAACCCTCTCCCCCCTCATTTCACACCTCCACCACCGCCCTCTCGTCCCTTTTCCCCTCTTCTACAGGCCTCGGGGCCAAAGCGTGTGGTGAGCGCGGCGGTGTCGGTGGGGGGGATGCTTTTCTTTGCGTTGCTGGTGGGTCTGGCAACGGATCTGGTGGCGAGCAAGGTGGATCAGCTGGAGCAGGGCAACGGGGCGGTCATCGAGAGCAACCACACTCTCGTGTGTGGTGAGTTGATGAAGGGATAGGTGTAGCGAGTGAGTGTGAGTGTGGAGTGAAGAGTGTTTCTGCGTGCAGCCCACAGTGCGCCTCAAGGGAGGGTGTCTGGCAACGGATCTGGTGGCGAGCAAGGTGGATCAGCTGGAGCAGGGCAACGGGGCGGTCATCGAGAGCAACCATACCCTTGTGTGCGGTGAGTCAGAAATGGTGCTTCGCCTGAGAATCCTTTTCTTCCCTTCTAACTCCCCACCCTGCTCCCATCCCACTCCTTATCTGCCCCACCGCCACCGGTGGTGGAGCTGGCAAATGCTTGACTCGACTCTGTTCCCTCTTTCTTCCCCTGTTTCCCGTCATGAGTCATGACTCATGACCATCCCTCCCTCCCGCCTGCAGGCTGGACCCCCAAGAACATTCCCCTGGTGAAAGCGCTGGTGGAAGCTGGAGAGCATTTGAACGACCTCTGTTTCCCTCTGTTGCCCCAATCCCAATCCTCATCCCCACCTCCCCTCCAGGCTGGACCCCCAAGACCATTCCCCTGGTGAAAGCGCTGGTGGAAGCGGGGAAGCGCTTGAGTCGACCCTTTCTCCTCGTTGCTCCGTGTTTATAAACCCTCCCTCCCTCCTTCTGTCTTGACTGCTCAGGCTGGACCCCCAAGACCATTCCTCCGGTGAAGGCTCTGGTGGAAGCGGGGGAGCGGCCGTCAGTGGTGGTGGTATTCCGATTTCTGATTACTTCCCCCGCTGCCCACCCCCTTCCCTGCTTAGGCTGGACCCCCAAGACCATTCCCCTAGTGAAGGCGCTGGTGGAAGCGGGGGAGCGGTCGTCAGTGTTGGTGGTTCTGGCAGGAAGGCAGATGCTTGAGTCACCTCAAGAATAATCTCTGTTCCCTCTCTCTTCCCCTATTCACCTTTATGCTCCTTCTCTCCCTTTCAGGCTGGACCCCCAAGACCATTCCCCTGGTGAAGGCGCTGGTGGAAGCGGGGGAGCGGCCGTCAGTGGTGGTTCTGGCAGAGAGGGAGAGTGTGGATATGGATGGAGAATTGCTGGAGGCTGTACCGGTTGAAGAGCGAGGAGGGATGCGGGTGAGTGATTGAGCGAGGGAGGTAGGGGGTGAGTGAGTGAGGGAGTGAGTGGGTCAAGGAGTGAGGGGGCGAGGGCGAGAGATGAATGGAGAACTGCTGGAGGCTGTACCGATTGAAGAGCGAGGAGGGATGAGGGTGAGTGAGAAAGGGAGTGAGGTAAGGAGTGAGGGAGTGAGTGGGTCAAGGAGAAAGGTGGTGAGAGAACGAGGGAGTGAAAGGGCAGGCAGTGGCCGTCAGTGGTGGTACTGGCAGAGAGGGAGAGTGTGGAGATGGATGGAGAACTGCTGGAGGCTGTACCCATTGAAGAGCGAGGAGTGATGAGGGTGAGTGAGTGAGGGAGGGGGGGGAGGGAGGGAGGGAGGGAGGGAGAGAGGGAGGGAGGGAGGGAGGGAGCGCCTCCATCCCCTTACCCCCATCTGTTTTGGTTTTCTCACCTCAGCTCAGCAGTCTCCCTCCCTTCCTTCAGGCGATGACTCGCCGAGGCGATCCCCTGAAAGCAGCAGACCTCAACCGCTGCTCCGCCTCACAAGCAGCCCCTGTTACTCTCTTGGTTCCTACCCCTTCTCACTCCCAACCATCCCTTGTCCATCCCTCCCTCCCCACCTCCTCTCACTCCTCTCACCAGGCCATGACTCGCCGCAGCGACCCCCTGAAAGCCGCCGTCTTTTGAGGCGCCTCAGAAGCTTCAAAAAGGAGGACGGGAGAAAGGGCGCCTCTCGAGCGGCTCTCGAGCGGCTCTTGAGTGACGGTGTAGCGGCTCTTTTGAGGCGCCTCAAAAGCCAGGACTCGCCGCAGCGACCCTCTGAAAGCCGCCGGCCTCAATCGTTTCTCCGCCTCCCAGGCAGCCTCCATGGTCATCCTCTCGCCCCAGCTGCTCCGCCTCATTGCCCCATCTCTTCTTCTTACCCGCATCTTTCTTACACCAGGTCATGACTCGTCGCGGTGATCTTCTGAAGGCAGCCGATCTCAACCGCTGCCCTGCCTCGCAGGCCGCCTCCATAGTCATTCTCTCGCCCCAGCTGGCCCTGACAGCTTCTGCTTATTGAACCTCGTTCCTCCCTCCTCTCTTTCAGGTCATGACTCGTCGCGGTGATCCCCTGAAAGCAGCCGATCTCAACCGCTGCTCCACCTCACAAGCAGCCGATCTCAACCGCTGCTCTGCCTCCCAGGCTGCCTCCATCGTCATCCTCTCGCCCCAGCTGCCCTCCCTCTTGTGCTCATTGCACCTTGCTTCTCCCTCCCCTTTTTCAGGTCATGACTCGTCGTGGTGACCCCTTGAAAGCAGCCGATCTCAACCGCTGCTCTGCCTCCCAGGCTGCCTCCATCGTCATCCTCTCGCCCCAGCTGCCCTCCCTCTTGTGCTCATTGCACCTTGCTTCTCCCTCCCCTTTTTCAGGTCATGACTCGTCGTGGTGACCCCTTGAAATCAGCCGATCTCAACCGCTGCTCCACCTCACAAGCAGCCGATCTCAACCGCTGCTCTGCCTCCCAGGCTGCCTCCATCGTCATCCTCTCGCCCCAGCTGCCCTCCCTCTTGTGCTCATTGCACCTTGCTTCTCCCTCCCCTTTTTCAGGTCATGACTCGTCGTGGTGACCCCTTGAAATCAGCTGATCTCAACCGCTGCTCCACCTCACAAGCAGCCGATCTCAACCGCTGCTCTGCCTCCCAGGCTGCCTCCATCGTCATCCTCTCGCCCCAGCTGCCCTCCCTCTTGTGCTTATTGCACCTTGCTTCTCCCTCCCCTTTTTCAGGTCATGACTCGTCGTGGTGACCCCTTGAAAGCAGCTGATCTCAACCGCTGCTCTGCCTCCCAGGCCGCCTCCATTGTCATTCTCTCGCCGCAGCTACCGTCGCGTCAGCAGGCGGATGCTCAGGTGAAAACAACAGACGGTCAGGTCAGGTGAAAGCGACAGACAGTCAGGTCAGGAGCAAACAACAGACGGTCAGGTCAGGTCAGGTGCAAACAACAGACGGTCAGGTCAGGTGCAAACTACAGACGGTCAGGTCAGGTGCAAACAACAGACGGTCAGGTCAGGTACAAACAACAGACGGTCAGGTCAGGTGCAAGCAACAGACGTTCAAGTGACAAGCTTGGGTTCAAGCCTTAGGATTGTAGACTGTTGTTGGTCAAGTCAGGGTAAGTGGTCAACACTCTGTTGTAGAAAGAGACGATTTTTTAGGCGCCTAAAAAAAAAAGAAAAAGATGTTGACTCGGACTGAGCGATGCCAAGTTAACATGCTCGTTGCTCCTTGCTCATTGCTGCCCAATGCTCGTCGCTCAAGCCCTAAATGCTCAATCAATGCTCTCTCCTCCATATTTCACGTCACACACACCAGGTGCTCCAAACCGCCACGGTGCTTGATGCTCACTGCTCAATGCTCACTGCTTGATGCTCATTGCTCAATGCTCACTGCTCAATGCTCACTCCTCCATGTTCCATGTTCCACGCCACACACACCAGGTGCTGCAAACCGCCATGGCTCTGGCCGTGCTTCCTGAAATCCAGGGTGACGTGGTTGCTGAGCTGGCATGCCCCGAGAACACAATGCTGCTGGGGAAACTGCATGCGAGTCTCATGATGCGATTGAATAAGGCCAGACAGAAGCACATGCTGGGGTGAGTGAGTGAGTTGATGGGTTGTCTGGTTAGGCTTTCCGAGAGTACCCCTCACTTGGCTTGTCCATGCCAAGAGCATGAACACGATGCTGCTGGGGAAGCTGGGGTTAGTGGATGGGGTGGGTGGGATAGCTTGTTTTGCATTGTGATCTCACACACCTGACTTGGCTTTGTCCCGCCCGAGAACACGATGCTGCTGGGGAAGCTGCACGCGAGCCTGATGAAGCGAATGGATAAGGCTAGGTAGCAGCACATGCTAGGGTGAGTGGATGGGGTGGGTGGGATAACTTGTTTTGCAATGTGAGCTCACACCTGACTTGGCTTTGTCCCGCCCGAGAACACGATCCTGCTGGGGAAACTGCACGCGAGCCTGATGAAGCGATTGGATCGGGCCAGGCCAGGCAGCAGCACATGCTGGGGTGAGTGATTGGGATGACCTGCGTTGACTTGGGCTGACTTGCTATGTCGCAATTCAATTGCACTGATCATGCTGGGGAAACTGCATGTGAGCCTGATGAAGTGACTGGATCGGGCCAGGCAGCAGCACATGCTGGGGTGAATGAGTGGGATGACCGCGGTTGTTGTGTGTGAGGCGATGTTTTGAGTCGACTCAAAACACACCTGCACATGCTGGGGTGAATGAGTGGGATGACCTCGGTTGTTGTGTGTGAGGCGATGTTTTGAGTCGACTCAAAACACACCTGGACATGCTGGGGTGAATGAGTGGGATGACCGCGGTTGTTGTGTGTGAGGCGATGTTTTGAGTCGACTCAAAACACACCTGGACATGCTGGGGTGAATGAGTGGGATGACCTCGGTTGTTGTGTGTGAGGCGATGTTTTGAGTCGACTCAAAACACACCTGGACATGCTGGGGTGAATGAGTGGGATGACCTCGGTTGTTGTGTGTGAGGCGATGTTTTGAGTCGACTCAAAACACACCTGGACATGCTGGGGTGAATGAGTGGGATGACCTCGGTTGTTGTGTGTGAGGCGATTCGGCAGTACACATCTGACCTGGCGTGCGATGAGACGATTTTTGAGTCGACTAAAAAATGGCCAGGCAGCAGCACATGCTGGGGTGAGTGAGTGGGATGACCTCGGTTGTTGTGTGTGAGGCGATGTTTTGAGTCGACTCAAAACACACCTGGACATGCTGGGGTGAATGAGTGGGATGACCTCGGTTGTTGTGTGTGAGGCGATGTTTTGAGTCGACTCAAAACACACCTGGACATGCTGGGGTGAATGAGTGGGATGACCTCGGTTGTTGTGTGTGAGGCGATTCGGCAGTACACATCTGACCTGGCGTGCGATGAGACGATTTTTGAGTCGACTAAAAAATGGCCAGGCAGCAGCACATGCTGGGGTGAGTGAGTGGGTGGGTGGGATGACCTCGGTTGTTGCGTGTCAGGCGATTGGGGAGTACACATCTGACCTGGCGTGCCCCGAAAACATGCAGTTGCGCGCAAGTCTTGTATATCGAGTTTAGACCAAAGTTCGCGGCACGTGCTGGGGTGTGAGGTGAGTCGGTGATTCAGTGAGTCAGTATGTCAGTGAGACCACTATAAGATTCTGAGGCACCTTAAAAACTAGTCAATGCGCCCCATTCACATCCCCCATCCCCATCCCCATCCCCATCCCCATCCCCATTCCCATTCCCATCCCCATCCCCATCCCCATCCCCATCCCCACCCCCATCCCCATCCCCATCCCCATCCCCATCCCCATCCCCATCCCCATCCCCATCCCCATTCCCATCCCCATCCCCATCCCCATCCCCATCCCCATCCCCATCCCCACCCCCATCCCCATCACCATCCCCATCCCCATCCCCATCACCATCCCCATCCCCATCACCATCCCCATCCCCATCACCATCCCCATCCCCATCCCCACCCCCATCCCCATCCCCATCCCCATCCCCATCACCATCCCCATCACCATCCCCATCCCCATCCCCATCCCCATCCCCATCCCCATCCCCATCCCCATCCCCATCCCCATCCCCATCCCCATCCCCATCACCATCCCCATCACCATCCCCATCCCCATCCCCATTTGCCTTCAGGTCAGCATCATTTGAGACTGCTCGCCTCGTCACCCATGCGAGATCAGCATCTCCGGTTACTCGGCATCCCCCCATTCACAGTACCATTGACATCCCAGCCCATTCACATCCTCTCATCCCCATCCCCATCCCCATCCCCATCCCCATCCCCATCCCCATTCGTACTCCTCTCCAGGTCAACATCATCTGAGGCTGCTCGCGTCGTCACCCATGCGGGATCAGCAGCAACAGCCATCACCACAGCACCATCTCCCTCTGATGCCACTACCACCACTGCCACTGGTGCTACTGCTGCTGCCACGGGCACAACAGCCTCCTCCTCTATCACCACCGCTGAAAGCACTGCAGCTGCTGCCTCTGCTACTACCAGCCACGCTTCGCCGGCCGGCCAAGCCAGGACCGCCTCGCGTGGTTCGTCCTCTTCTGCGGGGCAGAGGCGGCGCAAGCTGGTGCCTGTGGAGACGGGCGGCATGGCCCTGAGAGGGCTGGTGGACCTGGCGCTACAGCCGGCCAGCCATGCTGTGATGGCTGAGCTGCTGGGGTTTCAGGGGGCGGAATTTCACTTCAAAGAATGGTGGGAATGAAGGGAGAATGGGCAGAATGAAGGGAGAATGGGGAGAATGAAGGGAGAATGGGCAGAATGAAGGGAGAATGGGGAGAATGGTGAGAATGGGGAGAATGGTGACTGACTGGTGGACGTTGTGCTATAACCAGCCTGGCACTACAGCCGGCCAGCCATGCTGTGACGGCTGAGCTGCTGGGGTTTCAGGGAGCCGAATTTCACTTCAAAGAATGGTGAGAGAATGAAGGGAGAATAGGGAGAAAAGGGAGAATGGTGAGAGATGGGAACTGTTACGCTACAGCCAGCTGGCTCTGAGGGGGCTGGTGGACCTAGCGCTACAGCCCGCTAGCCATGCTGTGACGGCTGAGCTGCTGGGGTTCCAGGGAGCGGAATTTCACTTCGAGGAATGGTGAGGATGAAGGGAGATGGGATGGCATGGGATGGGATGTGATGAGATAGGATAGCACAGAAAACCACTTCCCAGCACCCTTCCCTTCTGTCTATGCTCTCTCTCTTTTTTCACAGGAAGGAGCTGGAGGGTCGCACCTTTGCAGAGGCGGTGTTTATGTTTGAGGACGCCGTGCCGTGCGGCGTGCAGCAGATGGTTGGCACGGAGGATGAGCGGACTATCATTAACCCACCTGGTGACACCGTGATTGAGGTGAGTGTGATTGAATCGAAGGGATGTAGTGTGACTGTAAGGGAGTGAGATTGGTTGGATGAAAGGAGAGTGATGGAAGGGAGTGTGCCGTGTGGGATTGTACGGGGCGTGACGGATTGGATTGTGATTGAAGGGAGTGTGCTGTAGTGGGCATGGAGGATGAGAGGACGCTCATCAACCCTACTAGCTGTATTCCCCCCTTCACACTCTTCCCCACTCCCTCCTCACCCTCCTTTTCCTCACCTCTCGTCCGCGCCACATCAGCCCGGGGACCGTTTGCTGGTCATCGCTGAGTCAGCAGACAGCTACGCGCCACGTAAGCCGACCGCTGAGTCAGCAAAGGAGCGCGAGCTGGCGGAGAAGCGGCTGGCGTCGTTCGCGACGCCGTGGCACTACGACAGCCTGCCACGTGGCAACGTGAGGCGCCGCCACAACGTGCTGATTGCGGGCGAGTGGAGGGATGACGTGGCCGAGGCTCTCCTGCTTCTCAGTTCCAAGCTGGCTCCCCGTGAGTCTCGACTTTCAATACAGTCACACAGGTTTCGAGACTAGGTAGTTAGAAGTTTGAGAGGTTAGGTAGCTTCATTCTCTCCTTATGATGACGTAGCAGAGGCCCTCCTGATGCTCGGTGCCAAGCCAAGCTGGCTCCCCGAAAGTCTTAACTCGTTCATTCTGTGATAGATACAACATGTAGGTAGGAGCCTACGAAGTCAAGAGGCTAGTAGGTTTATTCTCTCCTCATGGCGTGGCACAGACAGACGTGAAAGAAGGAGTGTTTTGAGACGTCTCAAAACACTCCTTCTTTCACGAGCCTACGAGGTCAAGAGGCTAGTAGGTTTATTCTCTCCTCATGGCGTGGCACAGACAGACGTGAAAGAAGGAGTGTTTTGAGACGTCTCAAAACACTCCTTCTTTCACGAGCCTACGAGGTCAAGAGGCTAGTGGCTTTATTCTCTCCTCATGGCGTGGCACAGACAGACCCTCCTGCTGCTCGGTGCCAAGCTGGCTGGCTCCCCGTGAGTTTCCTTCTTTCAATACAGTCACAGTCCGAGAGTCCCTATCCTATTAATCTCTTTTGGTAACATATGACATGCCAGAGGTTCCCTTTTCCTGCCCACCTTCCCCACACCTTGCCCTTCCCCTCCACACCCTTCCTCCACCCCCCCACTCCCTTCTATTCACCTCTCTGTCCCCCTCTGCCGCTCTCTACCCCCCATCTACCCCTGTCTAACCCCTTGTACCCCGTCTTTCGCCAAGCAGGCAGTCAGGTGGCAGTGATGGTCGCCTCTCCATCCCTCTCAGCGGCACAGCAGCGCCTCAACCCCTTTATCAAATCAGGCAGCCTCAACCTCAACCTCTCGCTCTGTGAGTCAGTCATTCATCGTGAGAGGGAGGGAGATAGCACAATCCGTGCCCGTTCTCAACCGACTTGTGTGAGTGATAGTGGAAACTTCAACACAAACCCTAGCATGTGTAGTCGAGTCAAGCAACCCTTCATCAAATCGAGCAACATCAAACCCCTCTGCACACCGGACGAGGGCCACCTGGGCTGCATGGCCGATCTGGAGAGGGTTCCTTCCTCTAGAGGCCTTCGACACTCTCATCGTGCTCGCCTCCCGCTCACACCACTCCCAATGTGTTCTCCCCCCTCTTCCCCCACCCCCTCCCCAACACGCCAGACCACGGGCACCTGGGCTCAATGGCCGATCTGGAGAGGGTTCCTCTAGAAGCCTTCAACACTGTTATCGTGCTTGCCCCCTGCTCGCACCACGCCTCACCCTTTCCCATTCCCCCTTCCCTTTCCTCCCCTTCTCCATCCAGACCACGGGCACCTGGGCTCAATGGCCGATCTGGAGAGGGTTCCTCTAGAGGCCTTTGATACTGTCATCGTGCTCGCCCCTCGCTCTCACCACGCCTCACCCACCGACCAGCCGCAGACGCGGGACGACGAGGGGGGAGCGGAGCGAGGGGAGGGTGGTGCTAGTGGTGGGGGTGAGGGGGGCGAGGGGGTGCTCATGCCGTCTGCTTCTGTCACTGCTATGATGATTCGGACGATTCAGCGGGAGCGGGGACAGGCGGGAGCAACAGTGCTTGCAGAGAGTGATTTTGCGGTGGAGGGGAGGGGAGAGGGAGGGGAGGAGGGCGGGGGAGAGGGGGAGGGGGAAGGGGAGGGAGGGACGGCGGCAGCGGCGGCGGCAGTGGAAGGGGATATAGTGAAGGAGGTGCAGGGGAGGTGGCTGACTGACAGTATTGATACGAATGCAGTGCACGCGAGGATTTTGGCTCAAACTGCCATGGACCCAGGTGGGTGTGGGTGGGTGCTGCTGCTGATGTGTGAATGAAGCCGTGTTGGGAAGGGGGAGGTGGAAGGGGATATGATGGGAGGAGGTGCAGGGGAGGTGGCTGACTGATAGTGTTGATACGAATGCAGTGCACGCAAGGATTCTGGCTCAAACTGCCATGGACCCAGGTGGGTGGGTGGGTGCTGCTACTGATGTGTGAATGGACCCAGGTGGGGGATGTAATGAAGGAGGTGCAGGGGAGGTGGCTGATTGACAGTGTTGATACGAATGCAGTGCACGCAAGGATTCTGGCTCAAACTGCCATGGACCCAGGTGGGTGGGTGGGTGCTGCTACTGATGTGTGAATGGACCCAGGTGGGGGATGTAATGAAGGAGGTGCAGGGGAGGTGGCTGATTGACAGTGTTGATACGAATGCAGTGCACGCAAGGATTCTGGCTCAAACTGCCATGGACCCAGGTGGGTGTGTGTGGGTGGGTGGGTGGGTGGGTGTGTGGGTGGGTGGGTGGGTGGTGCTGCTGATGTGTGAATGAAGCAGCGTTGGCGGTCAGGGGACAGAGGAGGTGCGAGAGAGGTGGTTGACTGACTGTGTTGATAGACAAGTGGTGCATGCGAGGATTCTGGTGCAACCTGCATATTGGACGAGATCGTGAGCGCGACCGTATAAGACGTCTCAAAACTCACACCCATCCCCTACCGGCGCCTCAACACGCAAACCCACCCTTTCCTTGCCATGCCAGATGTCGGCGGCGTATTGGACGAGATCGTGAGCGGGGCAGGTTCATCGCTCTCTTTGGAGGATGCCACTTCTTTCCTTGTGGACGGCGAAGCCCTCTCCTTCTTCGACCTGCAGGTTTGCGTGCATGGCCACGTTGTGCATACACACACGTCCACGCACACGCGCACACACTCACATCACATGGGCACACGCACACAGACATGCGAGCGCACCCCCACAGGCACGCACTCACACACACATACACATAAACAAACACGCACACAAACAAGCATACACACACACACACATACACACACACACACATACACACACACACACACACAAACACACACACATACGCACACTCACACAAAATCACACACACGCACGCACGCACGCACGCACTCACGCTCGCACGCATGCACGCGCGTACGTGCGTAAGAACCACCCACATACACACACATGCGCTCATCCATTTGTTTGGCCATATACCTCTACCCATTTGAATCCTTAAGTCGGTTTTTAGCCGACTCAAGGCTCATCATTCTAGTCAATAGTTTTCCTCCATCTTCTCTTCGTCGAATACACCTTCCTCTTACGGTATTGCAGAGTCGGGTTTTGCGCCGGCGGAAGCTGATGATTGCATACAACTGTGCTAATAATGGGGGCAAGTGGCAGCTAAACCCCCAGGATAAGAACAAGCCGGTGGTTTGGCGAGCCGGTGACCGTCTAGTTGTGCTGTCTTCATGATGCATGCTTGAACCGAACTGGTCTTTTTAGGGCTGGATGAATGAAACAAGGCAATATTGATGTTGTAGCAACTTGATCGCTGATATGTTTACCAGATACATACATGCTCAAAGGTGTGCTCTACCAAATTTGCAGGTACTATGGCTTGAATTGTCACTTCATGCTATGGCGTGTCTCAAAATTTTTGAAATCTGAGATTTGCGAACGAGCTCATGCGCTATATCGAGGAGGTTTTCAGTGAGACGTACCTTTCCAGCCTTCCCCTCCCCTTACTTCATCCCTTGACTGTATTTCGACTATCCAATCCATGCCATACGTGAAGTGAAGCATGCATGATTCGCCGTTGATGCCCCGCCGAATTTACCACCGTCTCCGTGCTCGCCTCGCGACGCGAATCTCCACCGCGAGCGGTTTAGATTCATCGTGCAACGCGCCAGTTTCGCAACTCCCTTGGGATTGTGGGATTGTTTCAAGAGGAATCGCCTTATCTGCTTAGCGGATTCTTTTGTGAGGTGAATTCTGATTTCATCCGTTTTTCGCTGTGCGGATTTTCTTTTAGAGTACATCAGCTGAGGTGATCGATAATTGTTTTCGCCGAGAACCTTTCGCATGATGGCTGCGGCAGTGACGGCGCGGTCCCCGTCGCACGCGTCGGCGTCAGGCGCTTCGGCGGGATGGTTGTGGCCGTTGATCGGCACGGCGGCGTCGATCGCGTTCGCCTCCGCCTTCTCGCTCACTCTCCGCATCCTGCGGGGACTCTCCGCGTCGCGAACCGCCGCGCTGCATCCTCCGCAGGTACGCGGTAGTTCTTTCTGATGCTTAGAGCCTTCCCAGGTCCGTCTTCAGCTCGCGGTTACCCCACGCTACGGCCTCCGCGTCCCGCACTGTTGCGCCACAGCCCCCCGCCCGCGCTACAGCCTCCGTGACCCGCGCTACAGCTTTCGCAGGTCGTGAGTGCTTGGCTTGCTGCTATTTCATGTGTTTCTCCCCGACCCATCCTCGTGCTGGGAGGGGTAAGGACATTGCCTGTGTGAACGACCTTGTGAGAAATTCCCCTCCCCTCCTGGTTCCCTCCCCCACTTAAATTTCAAGAAGTATTTTTAATCGACTCAAATACTCCTCCTGGCTCCCTCCCGCCACTTCCATTTTCTTTCCCGAGCGTTACTGTCACATTCCGCACATCCGATCCTTGTTCTGCTATTCCATTCGTATTCCACCGCCCAATCCTAGTGCTGGAGGGAGACGGTATCGACTGTGCGATATACCTGCCGCTTTACATGACGCAAACTTGGTGCTGTTTCCCTGGATTCTTGTTGAAATTTTCAAGCCATTTTTGTGTTGCCTGGGAGAATTGTTACCTTGAACGACTGGCAGGAAATTCCATTCCCTCTCTTTGCTCTCCCTTCTCTTCCATTCCCTCTTCCTCACTTCCATTACTTTTGGCTTCCCTCCTGACCATTTTTGTGCTGGGAGGGGATTGCCAGCAGTGGGACGGGGGCGCTCATTCCTCTCCTTGCTCTCTCTCCTCCTTTATTTCCTCTTCTCACTATCTCCTGCCAGGCCATTCTTTTGTTGGGAGGGAATCGCTATCGGGAACGACTGGCAGGGAGATTCGCTGCCCTGTTGGCTAGCCCTGAGACAGGGAGTTCAAGTTGTGTCAGCAGCAACCACAGCGGTAACACAGGGGTGACTCAGGATAAAAGCACCGGCAGAAGAGATATTGCTTGCAGCAGCAGCGGCAGCGGCAGCGGCAGCAGCAGCAGCAGTGCTGCTAGCAGCCTTGCGTTTGATCCCATCTTCACCTCTTCTCCCAAGCCTCTAGCCAACGGCACGCTCGACCCCCTCCCTCCCGCTCACGCCGCAGCATCCGGGAAGCTTCCGGTGTTCATCTCGTCGGGGAACGACGACGCTGCTGACGTCATGATGCGGGAGGGAGTGGCTGCCGGACGGTTACGGGTGGATAACCACGCGTTGGACACGGTTACCAACTTCACGGAAATGTTACGCACGTTTCAACGGCTGAAAATCACGCATGTGCTGGTGGTTACGTCGGATTATCACATGCCGCGCGCGGCTATGATGGCCAGAATTGTGCTTCAAACGCATGGGATTGCGTTCTCTACAGTCACGCTTCCGAGTAGACCAGAAATCTGCAAGAAAGGAGGGGCAAGCGCAACAACAGTCAAGGATGGGGCAAGGGACAGAAGCGGTGCTGGTACAGGGGTTAAGGGAGGAGGAGGGGAGGAAGAGGAGGTTGAAGAAATCGAAGAGGAATCAAAGTTGAGGTTGGAGAGGGACAGATTACGAGGATTATTCTGGTTGGTTACTGGCTGCCACGGCGCAGAGTTTCTGAGGTTCACTCGCCCGGAGCGATACAGGTTGCACAAGCAAAAACCTCTTGTCGTGTGCCCGGTATCAAGGGAGCAGCTATGAGGGGAGGGGATCGCTGTGGTTGGTAACTGGGTGGCATGGCGCGGAGTTTTTTAGGTTCACTCGTCCGGATTGACACAGGTTACACAAGCAAAAACCTCTTACTGTATGCGTGGCCGGTGTCAAGATAGAAGTGAATGTAGGGACTAGTACCGTACGAATGTACCACCTGTCAGTATGTAGCTTCTCATTGTACAGTTGTGTGGATGTGTTCTTGTATTATCTCCTAGCACAAAGAACCCATGAATCCATAGCGAGGTTGTCTTGTCTAACTACACCATTTGTGCCGTCTAAATTGCAATGCTTACTCTATTGGAGACTGAAACACCTGATTTACTTTGCTCAATATCTCAGAAAGCCGAAGCACCCCGGTATGTCTGTATCGGGGAGTGGATGTCTCCTTGACTAGCATGAAGGGGCGACGCGATGCGATGTCCTCCGTCGTGCAGATCGAGGAACTGTAGCAGAGTGGCAGGATACCGTTCTACTCTAGCGGCATATCGTGTCAAGCTAGTAGCGCGTATCGCACCATGACACTCTTTAGATGTCTCCGTGTTTCACGCAGGTAGGCTAGTTTCGCATAATCGCATACTACGACCGGCCTTCTTGTTTTGTGGCTGGTGTTCGTTTGCAAGAATCATCGCTCCGCGCCTGCTTCGTAACCAGACACACGGCATTTCGCCGCCTGAGTTTTTCCTCGTTGTAGACTTCCCACACTATCGTAGCAGCCGTTTCTTCTTTGAATCGAGTTATGATTCATTATGTCTTCCTCGCGTGCGTGCTGGTCGTTGCGTCTCCGCAATTCGCGGCGGCGCGCACCACGGCATCAGCCGTGGCGATGGGTGACGTGGCAGAAGAGACAAAACGCGCCGCCCTAACCGTTCCACGCCACGTGTCAGCCGAACCCGTGGCCACCGCGCCGGGCCAGGCTCCGGAATTCTCGCTGATGCGATCCGACGTGGCGGCCAACGCGTCGTTTGCTTACGCGGCAATCCTGTACATGGGCACGCCACGTGACTACGAGTATTACGTGGCGACACGTGTCATGCTGCAGACCGTTCGACGCACGGGGACCGTCGCGGATCTCGTCGTGCTGGCATCTGAGGACGTGCCTGCCACGTGGACCAATACGCTGTGAGCGAACCCTCATCGTTCATTAGACTTCAACCTGGAAAATGTGATGCACGGAGTAAAGTAAATCAGATCGAATCTCGTCATTAATCGGTAGAAGCATCGCTCTCCTCTTCCTCTCCCCCGCCTCCCCCTCTGCCAGCAAGAAGGAGGGCGTGCGGGTGGTGCGGGTGAGCAACATCCCCAACCCTTACCGGGGCAGTGCTGCCTTCAACCCGCGCTTCCCCTTCGCCCTCAACAAGCTGCTCGTATGGCGGCTGAGGGAGTACTCGTGCTGCTGGTGGTGGTAACACCCTCTCCCTCTCCCTCTTCCCCCCTTTCTCCCCCTGTTCCGATCCTCACCTCTGCCAGCAAGGAGGGCGTGCGGGTGGTGCTGAGCAACATGCCTGTCTTCAACCGCGCTTGTGTGTCAGTCAGTGGTATCATCTCGAGCTGACTTTTGAGTCGACTCAAAAGTCAGCTTGTGTGTCAGTCAGTGGTATCATCTCAACCTCCCTTCTTCAACCCCACTCTCTCCCAATCTCCCCTCCCCCAGCAAGAAGGAAGGGGTGCGGGTGGTGGTGCGAGTCGGCAACATTCCCAACCCCTACCGCACCACTCCCTCTTTCAACCCTTTTGAGTCGACTCAAAAGTCTGCGAGTCAGCAACATTCCCAACCCCTACCGCACCACTCCCTCTTTCAACCCGAGCTTCCCCTTCACATCATGTGTGCTTCCCCTTGCCCATATTAGCAAGAAGGAGGGCGTGCGGGTGGTGCGTGTGAGCAACATCCCCAACCCTTACCGCACCTCGTCCGCCTTCAACCCGCGCTTCCCCTTCGCCCTCAACATTTGAGGCGCCTCAAAAACTTTTGAGTTTTGACTTTTGAGGCGCGTCAAAAACTTTTGAGTTTTGACTTTTGAGGCGCCTCAAAAACTTTTGAGTTTTGACTTTTGAGGCGCCTCAAAAACTTTTGAGTTTTGACTTTTGAGGCGCCTCAAAAGTTCAACCCGCGCTTCCCCTTCGCCCTCAACAATCTGCTCGCGTGGCGCCTGAGGGAGTACAAGCGAGTCGTGCTGCTAGTGGTAACACCCCTCTTCCCCCGTCCCTCCTCTCTCCCTCTCCTCATCTCCCCCTGTTCAACAGCAAGAAGGAGGGTGTGCGGGTGGTGCGTGTGAGCAACATCCCCAACCCCTACCGCAGCACTGCTGCCTTCAACCCGCGCTTCCCCTTTGCCCTCAACAAGCTGCTCGCATGGCGGCTGAGGGAGTACAAGCGGGTGGTTCTGCTGGACGCTGATAACCTTGTGATGAAGAATATCGACGAGCTGTTCCAGTGTGGCAGCATGTGTGCCGTCTTTATTGACCCGTGCATCTTCCATACCGGGCTCATTGTGCTTAAGGTGAGTCAGCTTATATCAGGAATAAACGTGGGCGGCGCCTGAGAGAGTACAAACGAGTCGTGCTGCTGGATGCAGATAACATCGTAATGGAAGAACGTGGATGACCTGTTTCAAAGTGGCAGCATGTGCGCCGTGTTCATTGACCCGTGCACCTTCCACACCGGGCTGATCGTACTCAAGGTGAGTGCGTGTGTTGTGGGAGTCCAAGCGGGTCGTGGTGCTGGACGCAAATAACATCGTAATTGAAGAACGTGGACGAGCTGTTCCTCTGTGGCAGCATGTGCGCCATCTTCATAGACCCGTGCACCTTCGATACTGGGCTCGTTGTGCTTAAGGTGAGTCAGCTCATAAAGGGTATGTATGCTGACAACCTTGTGCTGAATAATGTGGACGAGCTCTTCCTCTGTGGCAGCATGTGCGCCATCTTCATAGACCCGTGCACCTTCCACACCGGGCTCATTGTGCTTAAGGTGGCTTACTTTACGTCCAACGACTGCGGCGGAGGAGGAGGGCGATTGCGTGGTGGTTAGTCCACCGACTGCGACGGTTGCTGTGATAGAGCTCCGTCGTAGGAGGAGGAGGACGACGACGTGGTGGAGTTTTTTGGAGGTGTCTCAGCCCGTCCTCCCGCATTAGGCTGGCATCCAGCCAGAGTGCCTCCAATGCTGTCAGTTGGACACGTGCACCATGCTGGCGGACGTGATCGACCCACAAGCATTTAAGGCCAGAAACAAGAGTGCGGTCAACCCTCGCAGCTTCGCTATTCCTGCGTCGGTCATTTTTGTCTCACCAAGATAAAGTGGTTTAAGTACCTTCAGGCTGCTAATACCTTCCAGAGAAGCGCTCGTTGCACACGTCCTCCTCCTCCACCTCATCGTCTGAGGGAGTACAAGTGTGTCGTGCTGCTGGACGCCAATAACTTGGTCTGAAGACAGTTCGTGGATGAGTTGTTCCTCTATGGAAGCGTGTGCGCTGTCGCATAGACCCATGCACCTTTCGTACGGGCCTGGTTGTTTTCAAGGATGCACCCTCCCTCTACTGACGGCTCACCAGGCCCCCTTCATGCTTTTCGCATTCCACCCTCCTTATCTTCCCCACAGCTCCCTTGCCCCCCCCCCCCCCCCCCTCAGCCGTCAGTGAAGGTGTTTAAGGACATGATGCAGCAGCTGTGTTCTCTCCCGTCACACACCCTTCTTTCCTACCCTTCCCTCCCCTCCCTCCTAACACCCCCGCCCTCCCTCCCCCCAGCCGTCAGTGAAGGTGTTGAAGGACATGATGCAGCAGCTGCGTTCCCTCCCCTCCTTCCCACCCACCCATGCCCTGCATCCTTATCCCCCCACAACCCCCACCCCTGCTCCAATCCCCCCCAGCCGTCAGTGAAGGTGTTTAAGGACATGATGCAGCAGCTGCGTTCCCTCCCGTCACACGATGCAGCGGACCAGGGCTTCCTCAACCGCTACTTCCCCACGCTGCTCGCCTCCCCGCTCTTTGTGCCGCCTGCTGATGGCTTGCTAGCCCCCCGTTCGTGCCTTCCCCCTTCACCCTCATTCTCTGCCCCACATCCCTCTTCCCTCCCCTCTTCCGTCCCTTTCTTCCCATCCCCAGCCGTCAGTGAAGGTGTTTAAGGACATGATGCAGCAGCTGCGGTCGCTCCCGTCACACGATGCAGCGGACCAGGGCTTCCTCAACCGCTACTTCCCCACGCTGCTCGCCTCCCCGCTCTTCGTGCCTCCCACCGATGGCTCGGCGCTCAAAGGGCAGTTCAGGCTGCCCATGGGGTACCAGATGGACGCCATCTTCTACAGTGAGTTTCTCGTTACTAGCACATCCTGTTATGCAAGAGAAAAAGTTGTTTCCCGCTCTGCTCTGCTCGCCTCCCCCCTCTTTGTGCCTCCCACCGATGGCTCGGCACTCAAAAGACAGTTCAGGCTGCCCATGGGGTATCAGATGGACGCCATCTTCTACAGTGAGTGTACTGGAGCACATCTCGTTACAGTCACATGGGCAAGGAAAACAATGCTCACAACAAACACCTCAAGTAATCACATCTTCTCCTCACCCTCTCCCTCCCACCAACACCCTCACCTCCCATCCCCCTCCCCTCTCCCCCCCGTCATTCCTCGCTTCCAGATCTCGAGTTAAAGTAAGAAGCACCTTGCTCCTCCAACACCTTTTGAAGCGCTTCAACTGACCTACCTCTCCCCCTCACCCTCCTCCCCTCCCCTCCTCCTTCCCAGTGATCCTCGCTTCCAGATCTCAAGCTCGAGCGGCAAGTGCCTTCCTCCAACACCTTCTGAATCCCCTCAACAAACTTAGCTCTCCTCCTAAACCTCCACCCTCAAATTCCTCCCCTTCCCCTCTTTCGTAGGCATTAACCTCCCTCTCCCCGTCACCATCCGCCCCCATCCAGATTTTAAGTCATCGCCCACTCCTCCCTCTTCCCTGCCTGCCTCTCCTCCCAACTCTCCTCCTCCACTTCCATCCCTCTTCCCCACTGCCCGTCTCTTGTCCTTACTCACCTCTCACCTCTCACCTGTCCCCTTCTACCCACTCCCCCACTTTCTTTCACTCCAGATCTCAAGTTCAAGTGGGAGGTGCCTTGCTCCGACAACAAGGTCATCACCTTCCCCATTATCTGCCTCTCTCCCTTACCCTTTTCACCCTTCTCCCCTCTTTCCCCGCTCCTCATCCACTCCAGATCTCAAGTACAAGCAGGAGGTGCCTTGCTCCGATCTGACAACAAGGTCACCACCTTGACAACCTACCTCTCCCTCTCACCCTTCCCCCCACCTCTCCCCTTCCATTCCGTCCCTTGCCTCCAGATCTCAAGTTCAGGTGGGAGGTGCCTTGCTCCGACAACAAGATCATCACCTTCCCCGGAATCGCGCACTTAAAGCCCTGGTTCTGGTGGTCCTACCCTCTCCTCGCCCTCTCCCTGCACTGGCACTCCTGGCGCCTCTCCACCATGGGCTACTCCTCCCACCTCCCCGCCTGCCTCTCGGCCGGCGTCTTTTGGCTCGTAGTGCTCGCGCTCAGCCACGTCATCGCCCGGGCGGCAGCCGACCCATCCTCGATCCTCTACCGCCTCACCCGTGGATACAGACACGTCGGCGCCGCCCCTGTTGTCTCAGGGATTGGGGGCAGCGCAGCGGGAGGGGGAGCGGGAGGAGGAGGAGGGGGAGTCGGGTCCACTTCTCCTTATTCTCGCCTAGGAGCGTTGGGGACAGGGTTGGGAACGCCAGGAGGGGGGTCGAATGGGGGTGTAGGTGGAGGGGGGGCAACGACAGGCGCAGGAGCAGCTGCAGCTGCTGCTGCTGCTGGGGGAGTATCAGGTCTCCTCTCCTACCTCTCTCCTCGCTTCCTCCTCACACTCGGCCTCACGGTTCTCTCCGCATTCGTCTCCTTCTGGCTCGTGCCGACCACAGTACACCCGTTTCTCGGCTGGTTGCTCTTCACGTTCGGCACCTTTTCCGGACTGTCGCTAGTTAAAGCCCTGGTTGGCGCCACAGCAGCGATTTTCTGGCTGCTACAGTACCTGGTGGTGGCGCTTATCGTCTTGGGATTGCCGGTTTACTCTGCTTTGGCATTTAAACTGTGTGCGATGCACCTGCTTGCGCTTGGAGCAGGAGCGGTGCTGGTGGTGCAGGTGCAAGCGCTGCAGTTTGGGTTTCTCACTGGTGCTGGTTTGGCCCCAAGGCCTACTAGCTCGTCAGGAGGCCGCTCCCTTTTGGATTAGAAAAGTGGTAGGGTAAAAGTGTTTCATTACAAATTGTTGTGGCAAATACTGAATCAGTAAATCCTACCTGATTTTGAGAATTAGGTGCACCAATGCGCTTCTGATGTCTTACCTAGATAAAACAATGTAATCTTGAGGTGGGTGATTTGGTTACCATCGTTTAGGCATCATATATCATGTCCCTTTTGGAGGGGATGAGAATGAATCATGACATATGCTGACCACGGAAAACAGCTCCGGTATAACTAAACGGGTAAAAAATTTCTTGTCGCGTCCGACGAGACCCTCCCTGACACACTGAAATTCTGGCGGGAAATTGAAACGACCGTTTGAAATTGCTTCAATCAGACGGCGTCAGCATGAGTTCTGACTCCACACATCGGCAGGTTTAGGAGAAAATAGTAGAGGCCGAAGAGAATACAGCCACTGTATCTAGATTTTATTTTGTTCAATTCCCAAGGTTAGCTGAGCAGGAGCATCTAGAAGCTGGGCCAAGCATCGTCTCGGTTTTTGGTCTTAGAGCATCAGCATTAGAAGTCTTAGTCGCTCGTTGACAATACAGTAGACTTAAGAGAAAGTCTGAGACGTCTTAGAGCCACTTTTTTTGGATAATACAAGATCCCTCTTTCCACGTTGCTTCCGTTTCGAAGCACGGAAATTGAAAGGCTATCATCGTTTTGAACCAAGAAGAGAAAGGGAAGCTTCCACGAGGATTCTGACAGTATCTAGACCTAAAATAAGGTTGTTTCGTAAGGCGATTGTTAGGAAAGGCCGCAGATGAAGCAGATTGGAAGCGTCGTGCCGTTACCAAAAAGCCTACTAGGGAGCTCCTGGTTCCCAGACCACCTAAGAAAAGCGTCTTGGATCAGTACCCTCGGAAACTCCTCTCAAACCACCCTGATTGGTGGAAAAAATAGCCTGCTAGTGACTCCCTTGTCTCCGGGTCACCTAAGAAAAGCGTCTTGGATCAGTCCCTTCAGAAATGCCTCTCGAACCACCCTGATTGGTGGAAACACAAGCCGCGTTTCCGCGCACCTGCGCGATGGCAGTGATGGCGCAGGCGAGAACGGAAGGACAGGCGGAAGGCGGAAGCCGGTTGGCGCAAGGACAGGTCGCATTGGCGGAAGGTCGACTGGCGGAAGGGCGACCGGGGGAAGGGTCATGGGCGCAAGGGGGGACGCTTTGACGGTGGAGTTTGGGGAAGGGCGGAGTGTTGTGCTGGAGGGAGGAAGGCGATTGGCGGAGGTGGGGACGTGGGGAATCGGCGGTCCTGCTGAGTGGCTGGCGGAGGTGACGACCGTTGATGAGATGGCGGCGGTACTTAGGTAAGTGCTTGTGGTAAGGCGCTCGACTTTCAATCAGGGTGGTTGCTTGACTTGAACAGGTCAGTGACAGGAAGTGGGGAGGACGTGGGGAATCGGCGGGCCTGCGGATTGGCTGGCGGAGGTGACGACAGTTGATGAGATGACGGCGGTGCTTAGGTAAGTGCTGGTTTCACTTTGAGAATTGTCAAAAGCGGATTGGCTGGCGGAGGTGACAACAGCTGATGAGATGACGGCGGCGCTTAAGTAAGTGCTTGTGGGAGAGCTCTCAAGTTTGATCAGGGTCTCCAACTACCTGTTCGTTTACGGTCAGAGTGCCCCGTAATGTTTCCGGCACCCTTTCCCTGTGGACTCAGGTTCTGCCTCAGAAACAGCAAAGCTATTTGCGCGGTAGTGACAGGCGAGGGCGCCAACTGCCTGTTTCTCAGTCAGGACTTCCCCCCACACATTCGCGCACTGTGTTCCTGTGCCTCCTCCCCTTCCCCCATCAAGCGCAGGTTCTGCCACAGCAACGCCATCCGCGCGCTGGTGATAGGCAAGGGCTCCAACTGCCTGTTTGTTAGTCGAGGCTATATCTCTTTCCTGTACCCCTTCCCTTCCCTCCGTTGTCTCTCAGGTTCTGCCACAGCAACGCCATCCGCGCGCTGGTGATAGGCAAGGGCTCCAACTGCCTGTTTGTTAGTCGAGGCTCTATCTCTTTCCTGTACCCCTTCCCTTCCCTCCGTTGTCTCTCAGGTTCTGCCACAGCAACGCCATCCGCGCGCTGGTGATAGGCAAGGGCTCCAACTGCCTGTTTGTTAGTCGAGGCTCTATCTCTTTCCTGTACCCCTTCCCTTCCCTCCGTTGTCTCTCAGGTTCTGCCACAGCAACGCCATCCGCGCGCTGGTGATAGGCAAGGGCTCCAACTGCCTGTTTGTTAGTCGAGGCTCTATCTCTTTCCTGTACCCCTTCCCTTCCCTCCGTTGTCTCTCAGGTTCTGCCACAGCAACGCCATCCGCGCGCTGGTGATAGGCAAGGGCTCCAACTGCCTGTTTGTTAGTCGAGGCTCTATCTCTTTCCTGTACCCCTTCCCTTCCCTCCGTTGTCTCTCAGGTTCTGCCACAGCAACGCCATCCGCGCGCTGGTGATAGGCAAGGGCTCCAACTGCCTGTTTGTTAGTCGAGGCTCTATCTCTTTTCTGTACCCCTTCCCTTCTCTCCGTTGTCTCTCAGGTTCTGCCACAGCAACGCCATCCGCGCGCTGGTGATAGGCAAGGGCTCCAACTGCCTGTTTGTTAGTCGAGGCTCTATCTCTTTCCTGTACCCCTTCCCTTCCCTCCGTTGTCTCTCAGGTTCTGCCACAGCAACGCCATCCGCGCGCTGGTGATAGGCAAGGGCTCCAACTGCCTGTTTGTTAGTCGAGGCTCTATCTCTTTCCTGTACCCCTTCCCTTCCCTCCGTTGTCTCTCAGGTTCTGCCACAGCAACGCCATCCGCGCGCTGGTGATAGGCAAGGGCTCCAACTGCCTGTTTGTAAGTTGGGGCGCTATCTCTTTCCTGTACAAAATCGTTGCCTGCAGGTTCTGCCACAGCAACAGCATCCGTGCAGTGGTGATAGGCAAGGGCGCCAACTGCCTGTTTATCCGTTGTCAGAGTTTCCCTCACACACTCCTGCTTCCCATTCCTTCCCTCCCACCCCCCTCCCATCTCAGGTTCTGCCACAGCAACAGCATCCGTGCGGTGGTGATAGGCAAGGGCTCCAACTGCCTGTTTGAGGACCGCGGGTTCAAGGGGTGTGTGATCGTCAACAGAATCGCGTACAAGCGAGTGGATAGAGTGGAGTGCACAGATACTGCTGCTCCTTCGCCTGTGCACCAATACAGCACCAGCAGCCATATCGACAGCAGTAACAGCAGCGGCAGCAATAACAGAAGCAGCAGCAGCAATAACAGAAGCACCAGCAGCACTGGTAGCAGCAGCAGCAGCAGCAGCAGCAGCAGCAGCAGCAGCAGCAGCAGCAGCAAGAGCAGCAACGATGACAATGACAGCAGTAGCAGCAAACAGACATCTGCTCAGTACGACACAGTGGTGCACGTAGGGGGAGGGTACCCGTTCAACCTGCTGGGCGTGGAGTGCTCTCGAGACGGGGATACTGATTCCATTACCAGCTGTCATGGTGCTGAGGGGTACGATGCGGTGGTGCAGGTGGGGGGAGGGTACCCGTTCAACCTGCTGGGCGTGGAGTGCTCGCGAGACGGCCTCTCAGGGCTGGAGTTTGCAGGCGGCATTCCCGGCACCGTGGGGGGCGCTGTCTTCATGAACGCTGGGGCGGACGGGCAGGTGAGACGCAATGGGGGAGTTGAGGGGAATACGGAGGAGCGAGAGTTGGGGCATTTTGGATGCTGTATTCATGAACGTGTAGAGAGGGTGTTTTTGAGACGTCTCAAAAACACCCTCTCTACACGAGGAGCGAGAGTTGGGGCATTTTAGATTCTGTATTCGTGAACGCATGTCCTGCCCTCTTCCTTCTTCCCTCCTGCCTGTTCCTGTCTCTGGAAACAGCGGACTGTCTGCTCTCAGTGGATGTGCGCTCTTCCACCGGCATTCTCCTCTCCTCCTCTCGCTCTGACCTCACCTTCACCTACCGTCACTCGTCCTTCCAGCACACGCCGTCCCTCCTTTCCCCTCCACCTCCCCTCCTTTCTCCATTCCTTTCCTCCCTCTTTTCCTCTGTTTCCCTCTCAGAACAGGCGACTGCTTGCTCTCCGTGGACGCCCTCTTTCCAACCGGCACTCTCTTTCTCCTTCTCTTGCGCCATCACTCCATCACTCCCTCAGGAAACAGGCGACTGCTTGCTCTCCGTGGACGCCCTCTTTCCAACCGGCACTCTCTTCTCCTTCTCTCGCGCCCACCTCACCTTTGCCTACCACCACTCGCCCTTCTAGCACAAGCCTTCCCCTGCCTTTTTCCCCTCCACCTTCCCCACTCCCTCCCGTTTCCTCCCTCAGGAATTATTGGACTGTCTACTCTCTGTGAATGTCCTCTCTTCAACCGGCAATCTTACCCCACTTTCCCCCTCCATCACTCCCTCAGGAAACAGCCGAATGTCTGCTCTCCAACCGGCAATCTCCTCTCCTTCCCTCACTCCCACCTCACATTCGCCTACCAACGCTCGCCCTTCCAGCAAATGCGCTCCCTCCTTCCCTTCCTCCCCCTCCCTCCCTCGCCCCGTTCCCTATGCAAGAAACAGCCGACTGTTTGCTCTCTGTGGACGTCCTCCCTCCCACCGGCACTCTCCTCTCCTTCTCTTGCTCCGATCTCACCTTCGCTTACCACCACTCGCTCTTCCAGCACAAGCCTTTTCCTCCCGCCCTCCCTCCGCTCCCCCCCCCCCCACCCTCCCTCACAGGAAACAGCCGACTGTTTGCTAGCTGTGGACGTGCTCTCTCCCACCGGCACCCACCTCACCTTCCCTCGCGCCCACCCCACTTTCGCCTACCGCCACTCGCCCTTCCAGCACATGCCCTCCCTCACCCCTTCCCCCCTCCCTCCTGCCCTCCATTTCCTCCTCCAGGAAACAGCTGACTCCTTGCTTTCTGTGGACGTCCTCTCTCCGACAGGCACCCTCCTCTCCTTCCCTCGCGCCGAACTCACCTTTGCCTACCGCCACTCGCCCTTCCAGCACATGCCCTCCCTCACCCCTTCCCCCCTCCCTCCCGCCCTCCATTTCTTCCCACAGGAAACAGCAGACTGTCTGCTCTCTGTGGACCCGCTCTCTCCGACGGGGACGTTTCAATCCTTCTCTCGCTCTGACCTTACCTTAGCGTACCGCCACTCGCCCTTCCAGCACATGCCCTCCCTCCTCCCATTCCCCCCTCCCTCCCGCCCTCCATTTCCTCCCCCAGGAAACAGCCGACTGTCTGCTCTCTGTGGACGTCCTCTCGTCAACTGGGGATCTCCTCTCCTTCCCTCGCACCGACCTCACTTTCGCCTACCGCCACTCGCCCTTCCAGCGCATGCCGGACTGTGCTGCCATAGTGGGAGCAACTTTCGGGCTGAAAAGGAGCAGTGAGGCGCGGGACAGGCAAAGACGATACATGGACAGGTGAGAGGCTGCTAGCCGTTGACTCCGTTGACTCGTTAACTCGGGAGCTCGTTGCTTCCCGCAACTCGCCCTTCCAGCGCATGCCGGACTGTGCTGCCATAGTGCAATAATACCATACATGGACAGGTGAGCTGCTTCCCAATATGCTTGCTGCTGGAGATTGTATTTTGTTTCTTACCGGATCCCATCCACATATGTACAGAAAAGAACAGTATTTGACGCAGAAACTCAACTTCTGTTGATGGCAGAATTATCTGGCTCCAAAGACACCTCGGGTATTGGGAAGGCAGTGGGACAATCTCACCCTGAGCATCAACCTGAGCATCAACCTGAGCATCACCTTGATCCAGGCTGTTGGAGACCTTGGTTGCTATTACCATAACATCAGCCTGCCAGACAGACACAACAGCCCCCTTTCTCCCCAACCTCTGTCCTTTGTCCACTTACTCCCAACAAGCCTTCTTTCTGACCTCCCTGCCAAATCCCTACGAATTCCCCACCCTATTTCTGTGCCAGGCGGCGACAGTCTCAGCCCATTGCTGATCGCTCTGTTGGGTGCATATTCCGCAACCCTGCACCTCCCCTTGGTTCTGCTCCCTGCTCTATCTCTTCTCCTCCTGTGGGTTCCTCACCTCCAGCCGGTTTAGCAGCAGCTGGTGCTTCCGCAGTTACTCTCCCTGCATCTGCAGGTGCTCTAATAGACCGGGCTGGGTTGAAAGGCCTGCATGTTGGAGATGCTTTTGTGTCGCCCATGCATGCTAATTTTCTGGTGAATGGTGGGGCGTGCAGTAGCGAGGATATGGAAGGGCTGATTGTGGAGGTGAAAAGGAGGGTGAGAGAGGAATTCGGGGTGGAACTTGTAGAAGAGGTTAGGCGGATCCCATATGAATGAATATTTACAGAATAAGGATTCCACTTCAGTGTTCTGCAGAAACTGGTATGTGTACCCCCACAAATGGTACTGCTCAAGATGGTGCAAGTAAAGGGCATATACTTAATCCGTGTAGAGAAGATTGTACAGTGCTGTATCGACGGTTGATAAGTGGTCCCTTATGGAGGACATTTGCTAAACATTCGGTGTCGGTTTGATATTCGTCCGCAGGCACACGGCGTCGGGATTGCTTCCACGAGACGCCATTGACGTGGCACGAGCACTAGGGAGTCGCGTCATCACCCTCGTGGATGATGCACACACACGAGCCCCTCGCACAGAGACATGTGGACGGAATCGCAGCAATCCCCGAAAATTTCAAGATTACCACGTCATACGAAAGTTTCACGCGCTTTGTCAGAAAAGAATATCGGCCTACCCTTCGAAACTCGAGGGGTGTGTTCGAGAACCATCAAGTAGCTGAAAGAAGCAAGCTTAAATACACGAACCAGCACATCGTCAGTATTAAGTAGCAATCAGCAGTTTCCAGTTTCCAACACTGGAACGACTTATAGAACAGGAATGCGCTCTACCATTTTCAGATTTAGTTTCAGCAGCCTATCTCTGAAATATCCAAACAGGCATTACAGGCAGATACCGTAGAAAGTTTATCAGACTCCTAACTGCTTCTCAGTCACGGCATTCTCGAGAGTCGTTCTAGGCTCAGTCATATTTTAGTGCTTGAGCTTGTCGTGCTGCTAACAGCATTTCAACCTTCGACCATGGCGTCTGCCGTCGCCCTTCAAGGGAGCACGTCGACCTCGAGTGGCCTGCTCGCCGCGCCTCGGGTGGGTTCCAGCAAGCCGCGCTGCGCCTCTCTCGCCTCAACCTTAGTACCGCTGCCACGCAAGCTTACCTCTTCTAGAATTACACCCGCGCAGCCCTTTTCCCGTCAAAGGTGCAGCGTCGTTGTAAATGCTCAGGCCCCTCCCTCGTCCACTGAAGACGAGTCAGCCCCGGCTTCGCAACAATCTACAAGCCTCCCATCATCATTCACCGAAGCGAAGACTTCTCTTCTCGACGCTCTTAAAGCCGCAGTTAAGCCAGCACTCGCCGCGCTCCTAATTTCCGCCGTCCTCGCCGCCGGCGCTCCGGACGCCGCACTCGCCGCGATGGGCGGCGGAAGAATCGGCGGAAGCGGCTTCGGCGCCTCCCGCATGCGCTCCTACGCCCCACCCCCCTCCGCGCCCCGCGGCGGCGGATACTCCTACAACGCTCCCCCCGTGATCGTCGGCCCGTCCGTCCCGTTCTTCGCGCCGTCCCCGTTCTTCTTCTTCGGCCCTTCCATCGCCTACGGCGGCGGCGGCGGCGGCGGGATCTTTAATCTCCTCGTTATCGGGATCGTAATCTGGTTCGTGTCGCAGTCAGTTATGGGGTTTCTGAGCTCCGCGCAGGAGGAGGGAGTGTGGCAGGAGACGCAGCGCAGCAGCGTGGTGAGGCTGCAGGTTGGGTTGCTAGGCTCTGCGAGGCGCCTGCAACGGGATCTGGACCGGATCGCGGATCGCGCGGATGCGAGCTCACCCGAGGGCCTTCATTACATCCTGCAAGGTACAGTATCTACTCTACAGTAGTTTACATTGTTGCAAGGTGTGTTAAGGTGTTTTGATGTGTCACTAAGGTAATCCCCCCTCACCTACCACACTTCAAGTGTTCTTCTGTTTCTGTTTTCTCTTGCGTCCTCTATCCTTTACGCGCTCTTCGTTTTTGTTTTTCTTCATCCCAACCTCCGTACACACTTATTTTTTTAGAAAGTAAAAATAACGAGAGACCATATTTCCGTTCGCTGCTTCTCTCTCCCTCGCTTCCTCTTTCCCACTCCCCTCGTCCCCATTCATCAGAGACGGTGCTCGCGCTGCTGCGCAATCCGGACTATTGCATCTACGGCTTCTCTTCTGTAAGTGCTGGGAGCCATGTGTGACCCGAGTTAGGTGCTTCCGTACTTGAGTGTTCTGGCTTAGGACCTAGTGGGTAGCAACCCGGACTGTTGCATCTACGGCTTCTCCTCCTTAATTACTGCAAAATTGAGTGGTCATTATGTGTGACCCGAGAAAATTATGTTGAGAGGGAAAAGGAGGCAGCGCGTTAGTTTCCATCCATGTGCTGCTTTTAAGTGTTACATGCTCCTTAACCATGCTCTTTTCTGCTTCACCCTTTGCTCCGTCCCCCTCTCCTTCCACCTACAGCAAGTTATGAGGCGCCTCAAATAATCATCTGCTTCACCCCAATCTCCATATCCCTCTCCTTCCACCCACAACAACCCTCCTCTCCCCTCCTCCACCTCTCCCTTCATTCCATGAGCCTTCAGTCACATGGCCATGGGGAGGAAGAGCATTTTGAAATCATTTGTTTTGCTCCCCCTTCCCTCTTCCCCCATCTCCCACATCAACAGTCAGAGGTGAATAACGACTCGTATGTGGGAGAGGCAGCATTCAACCGCATGAGCATGGAGGAGCGGAGCAGGTTCAAGGAGGAGACCCTGGTTTCCCTCACCCTCCTCCTCCCTTTCCATCATTCCCAACCCTTCAGTCAGAGGTGAACAATGACTCCTTCGCTGGCGAAGCAGCGTTTAACCGCATGAGCATGGAGGAGCGGAGCAAGTTCAAGGAGGAAATCTTGTTTCCCTCAACCTTCCTCTCCTGTTCCCCCGTCAACCCCTCATACCTACAGTCAGAGGTGAACAACGATTCATATGCGGGAGAGGCAGCGTTCAATCGCATGAGCATGGAGGAGCGGAGCAGGTTCAAGGAGGAGACACTTGTTTCTGTCGTTCAACCTCCCCCCTTCCCCCCTCCATACCATATCTCCCAACAATACAGTCAGAGGTGAACAACGACTCATATGCGGGAGAGGCAGCTTTCAACCGCATGAGCATGGAGGAGCGGAGCAAGTTCAAGGAGGAGACACTGGTCAACGTGGACGGCATCAGGCGGCGAATCACGCGCAAGCCCAGCCAGGACCGCATGAACTCCGAATACATTGTGGTATGTAGTGTTGTGGGATGCTGAGTGTATACTGTGGGGAGTTTGAGTGTATACTGTGGGGAGTTTGAGTGTATACTGTGGGGAGTTTGAGTGTAAACTGTGGGGAGTTTGAGTGTATACTGTGGGGAGTTTGAGTGTACGTTGTGGGGAGTTATAGTGTATATTGTGGGGAGTTTTAGTGTATATTGTGGGGAGTTTTAGTGTATATTGTGGGGAGTTTTTGTGTATATTGTGGGGAGTGTTAGTGTATATTGTGGGGAGTGTTAGTGTATATTGTGGGGAGTGTTAGTGTATATTGTGGGGAGTGTTAGTGTATATTGTGGGGAGTGTCAGTGTATATTGTGGGGAGTGTCAGTGTATATTGTGGGGAGTGTCAGTGTATATTGTGGGGAGTGTTAGTGTATATTGTGGGGAGTGTTAGTGTATATTGTGGGGAGTGTCAGTGTATATTGTGGGGAGTGTCAGTGTATATTGTGGGGAGTGTCAGTGTATATTGTGGGGAGTGTCAGTGTATATTGTGGGGAGTGTCAGTGTATATTGTGGGGAGTTTGAGTGTATATCGTGGGGAGTTTGAGTGTATATTGTGGGGAGTTTGAGTGTATATTGTGGGGAGTTTGAGTGTATATTGTGGGGAGTTTGAGTGTATATTGTGGGGAGTTTGAGTGTATATTGTGGGGAGTTTGAGTGTATATTGTGGGGAGTTTGAGTGTATATTGTGGGGAGTTTGAGTGTATATTGTGGGGAGTTTGAGTTTATATTGTGGGGAGTACGAGTGCACGCTGAGGTACGTAGAGTTGTGCCCGCGCACCCCACATGACAGTGCTGGCAGCACAGCAGAGGGCGCTTTTCGCTCTTTGCAGAGGGCACTTATGATGCATCCATTGCGCCAATTTTCACAGAATGTCCATACACACTCATCCTTGCCTTTCTGCTTATACACATTGCAGGTGACAGACAGCGCTGGCAGCAGCAGAGCACTTTGGTCCTTGTGGTTTCTCTGCGACCAATTCTGACTTTTTGCCAACCAAATCCATTCCTCCTCACATCATGTATGCACAAACTTGCAGGTGACAGTGCTGGCAGCAGCGGAGGGAACGTTTCGGCTACCGGAAATAAAATCTTCGAGTGATTTGAGGGAAGCCCTGACTCGCCTCGGCTCTGTCCCTGCTGATGAGCTTCAGGTGAGTTCTCATGAATTTCAGGCGTGTTCGAATGAGTTTCAGGGGTGCTCATTCTAGCTAAAGTGTGATTTGATGAGCTTCAGGTGAGTTTTCATGAATTCCAGGCGTGTTCAGGGTTTCATAAGCCCCAGGTGTGCCGATGACCTTCGGGTTTGTCTAGATAAGCTTCTAGTGGACTTCAGCGAGCATTAAATGTGTCATCTTCCACAGTATGAGGCAGAATTTCCTTCTTCTCTTCTCACATGTTGCCTCGTTCTACTCCCCTTTCCCTTTCCCTCAAACATGGGCCTTTTTTTCTACATCCTCCCTCCCTCCCTCCCTCTCCCTCACGCAAGTGACGTTATTCTGCTTCCTCCCTCCCTCCCTCTCTGCTCTTCTTGACTTCTACCTCCTCTCCTCCCCATCCAGGCGGTGGAGGTCGATTCTTGAGTCGACTCAAAAATCGCCTCATCCAGGCGGTGGAGGTGCTGTGGACGGCCCAGGACGATGAGGAAAGGCTCACGGAGCGCGACATCAGATGCTTGTTGGCTTCTCTCCTTCCCACTCCTGCTCCCTCCCACTTCGTTCCCTCCCCTCCTCTCCCACATCCAGGCGGTGGAGGTGCTCCGGATGCCTCAGGACGATGACGACACCCCCACGGAGCGCAGCATGCTTGTTGGCAACAACCCTTACCGCCACCTCTTACCCCACCTTGTTCTTAACCTTTGCCCTCTCTTCCTGTCTACCAGGCAGTGGAGGTGCTCTGGATGGCTCAGGAAGATGACGACTCCACCGTTTTTTAGTCGACTCAAGATGACTTTTGAGTCGACTCAAAAGTCACCTCAGGAAGATGACGTCTCCACCGTTTTTTAGTCGACTCAAAAACATCCCCACGGAGTGCAACATGCTTGCCGGTTTCCCTCCTTCCCATCCCTGTTCCCTCTCACTTCGTCCTCTCGCCCTTGCCAGGCGGTGGAGGAGGTGTGGACTCCACAGGACGATGAGGACACTCTCACAGAGCGCGACCTGCTTGTTGACTTCCCTCGCCTGCGGCCCTGCTCCCTCTCTCTTGCCGTACAACCTTCACTTCTTGTCCTCCAGGCTGTTGAAGTGCTCTGGACACCTCAAGATGACGAGGACACTCTCACAGAGCGCGACCTGCTTGTTGACTTCCCTCGCCTGCGGCCGCTGTGAAGGAGTTGATAGATACCCAGTTGATACTTCCAGCTATTGCCTTGTTCGTTGTGATGAGGTGGCAAGAATGAGCACAGCAACGCACCTACTATGTGAAAGGGGACCAGAATGAGTGGAGCAGAATCAGAGGGGCTTGTGCCCTGCCTGTACCGTACCTGTTGATCAGTGAATGGTGACTTCTAAAAGAAAAAACGTGGTCGGTCGAGTGGGTGGGCCATGTTTGCAGATTGTGCTGTGTTTGTGGTGTAGTAAAAGCTAGTTACAAGTGATGTACCAATTATAGTTATGCAACAAGGATTTCACTTGTTTGTATTGGTTCATGATGTCACTCATTACAGCGAAGGGAGACAGGGTTTCATTAGAATGAACTGAGCAATTTGCCATGTAGCAAGGCAAAAGACTAACTATTTAATTTTGTCACAGATCATTGCCAATTGTAGCCAAATGCAAAGGAGCACCAATGGAAACCACTGCTGGATGGTAAAATCGTACGCAATGGTTTTACTGCGTTCTAAAAGGTAAAGGCTAAATGTGGGTGGAAGCTTTTTGCCATAGAACAAGGCATTTACCAGTACATTACTGGCTAAACCCAACATCGTAAAACAAATAACCTTTAAATAAATATTCAATTATTGTACACAGATACAGCTATGCAGTGTCTATCTAATGTATCCCATTATTATCTCAATCCACCAGCCCTTATGGCCTCCAAGGAGGCCTTATTGCCACTACCCTTGTCATTCTTGAAGGATCCACCCTCCTCCCAACCCTCACACCCCCAGCTTGCTCCTGCTGCTTCTTCTTGCACTCTGATGCTGCGAACCCAACTTGCTGCTGCTTCTCCTTACTCTGTGATGCTGCCGAACCAACTTGCAGCTGCTTCTCCTTGCTCTGTGATGCTGCCGAACCAACTTGCTGCTGCTTCTCCTTGCTCTGTGATGCTGCCAACCCAGCTTGCTGCTGCTTCTCCTTGCTCTGTGATGCTGCCGAACCAACTTGCTGCTGCTGCTTCTTCTTGCTCTGTGATGCTGCCAAACCAACTTGCTGCTGCTTCTCCTTGCTCTGTGATGCTGCCAACCCAACTTGCTGCTGCTTCTCCTTGCTCTGTGATGCTGCCGAACCAACTTGCTGCTGCTGCTTCTTCTTGCTCTGTGATGCTGCCGAACCAACTTGCTTCTGCTGCTTCTCCTTGCTCTGTGATGCTGCCGAACCAACTTGCTTCTGCTGCTTCTTCTTGCTCTGTGATGCTGCCGAACCAACTTGCTTCTGCTGCTTTTCCTTGCTCTGTGATGCTGCCGAACCAACTTGCTGCTGCTTCTTCTTGCTCTGTGATGCTCCCGAACCAACTTGCTGCTGCTTCTTCTTGCTCTGTAAGGCTGCCGACGCTCCCTTGATACGTCCACCAGGAGGAGAGTCCACACGACCTGAAGGCGAGTTCTGTGCACCGAATGCCAAGCTTCCAACCCTCACGTGCTGCTGCATCTTACTTTCTGCTACTGCTGACCCCTTCTTGACACCTCCACCAGAAGGAATAACCAAAGCTCCTGAAGGCTGCTTCTTGTCCTCACACACCACACCTCCAGCCCTACCCGGCATCTTCATCCCAAGTGCTGCTGAAACTCCTTTGAGAGCCTGGAGAGCTCCAACAGAAACAGTCACCATCGTTTTCTCCACCATAGCTGGCTGAAGCACTGCTACTCGTGTGCTGCCAGGTCTGGGACGCCGTGTAGGGGGCAGTCTCCAACTGGCTGCAGGCGTTCCCCCGACCACGCTCTGGTCTGCACCCAGCAGACCCATCCGTGATGCAAGATGCACAGCAGTTACCACGTTCTTACTCACTATAAACGAAACCAGCAGAAGCACCAGGTCAAGCAGCAACGAACTGTCACTGTACTGCTTGCTGTAAGTGCTGTAGCAGTTGAACCTGTAGTTGCTGCAGCAGAGGCTGTTGACAGCAATGTCAGTGGAAGGCTCCTCCTGGGAGCTCTGGCCGCTGCTGCTGCTGTCACTGAAGCAGCTGCTCATGGTAGCGTCACTGCTGCTTGGATCAGAATCGCCCTCTGCAGCCATAAACAGTGAATAAACCTCCTCTGCAGCCTCTACTTCAGCTTGAGGCACTTCCTCGTCCTCAGGAGAAACGACCCACGAGTCCTCGTCCTCCTCAGCAGCCAGATTGCGAACTTGGGAGACCATCCAAGCATCATGTTGAGCCTGCAGCACAGCATGACGATGCGCCTGCATCCAAGCATGACGCTGCGCCTGCAGCAACGCTGCCTTTTTTTCCCACAAGGCCATAGCCTCGGCGAACGTGGGACCGTCAGTAGACGACCGAGCATAGCCCTTCATCCGGATCAGAAATCCGCGCTTCTCCCAGAGGGCCAAACGATCAGCAATGGACGGAAAGTCAGAAGAACAAGCCATCAAGCTAACCGAGCGTGAGTGCGAGTAAAAGCAAGGCTAAACGCTAAGCGAAGAGGTTCCGCGAGAACGATATTAAGAACGAATTAACGTTATGAGAGGTCTGAACTTGCTAGAAAAAGGACCAATCAACAGAACAAGAAGAAACTGGATTCTTAACTCTGAAACTAAGACTTCAGTGCGTTGGATTTGTAGATGAGACGAGCAGCAGGAGAGAGAGGGACGAACGTTGTGTGGAGGGGACACTCACAGGAAGGAGACAGGAAAAAGGTAGGATTCTTTCTCGGTTGCTGCCCGAGCACCTCCGGAAAATCGGAACCGTGCTCTGGCATGCTGCCCAGCGCGAAGTCTACTGAAACCGCGAAAATGGGAACGAATCGGCTGGTGAACCGATTCTCACCGAGGGTCTTCGCATAGGAGCGACGCGACAGAATCTATTTTTTGCTAACCCCGATTCTATCGTGTCCTCCCCCCTCCCAAAACGTTTTCCGCTGCGCGCTAGCGGAGCTTCTTTCCTACAAAGTCTACGGCATGAAATTATAAGTTTCGCCTGCCCGACCGCACTCGAAGCGCTGACGAACCTCTGAGGTACTCCCATTCTCGAAAATGTCTAAGGGCGGTGGTGTGGCGATGGGCCTCCCGCAATTGAAGGAAGACAGGCTTGGTGCGAAGTTCTGAATCTGTGAAGAGGGATGAGATCGAGGTCAGAATGGGTGGATTCGTACTCCCTAGGGAGCTCCTCGTCCTTAACTTTCTGCATTCTCAACCATCAACACCATTTTATCCATATTTGTACACCAATATCCTGAAAATCGGAAGGGCTGTAAGTATGCTGCGAAAACAAAATCAGCAAACCAAAACACCATGTTTGTTCCCTTTGATTAAAATGATTATTTTATGGATTGTGCACGGTTGCTGCTGTGTGAATTGTGAGGTTGAGTTGTGTTGGTGTTAAAATTTCAAATGCTGATATAACTAGTAAGAACTGTTTTGGCGCGTTGCACTCACTCAGCCGAACTGCACCACTGATTCTCCTTGGGCGCGGGCTCGCTTTCCTCACCCGCTGGTTCCGCATTGCGCGTTGCGCTCACTCGGCCGAACTGCACCACTTCATGTTCATCAGTCAACCTCTCCCAAATCTGGCATCACTCGCGCCTGCAATGCGAGGCACAACACCTAACTTTCCTTGCCTGCTCGTTCCCGTCACCTCCGAGTCGCGCTGACGCCGGTCAGCAGCCATTATCCAATGCTCGCGTGACGGTGCAATCGCTGTTCTCTCGAAATGGGTCGCGCATGGGTTTGCTGCAGCAGTCACGATCGCTGGAAATGTATTATCGAAGCAACGATCACGGCTTCATTGCAAGGCGGAAAAATCGGCGGAAGCGGCGGCTTTTGCGCCTCCCGCGAGCGCTCGTACGCTCCGCCGCCGCCTTTAGGATGGATTTCAGAGACGGCTAGCCGCTTTCAGCAGGTTCTGGATCGAATCGCGGATCGCGCGAATGCGAGCTCACGGAGGTCCTTTACGCATCCCGCAACGTACATCGTTTTGCGTTATTTTCCTTCCCGCGTAACTGTTTCTTTCGGTTTCGCGTGCCAGAAATCCTGTGATTGACATGAAGTGTTTCCCCTCACCTGCTGCACCCCAAGTGTTCAGCTGTTCCTCTTTCTCCTTTCCTGTGTATTCCCCGCCGCCAACTCGCTTCCTCGCTCGCTTCCTCGCTTTCTTCCTGATTACCTTCGTCTGTCCCTCTCATGTATTCACAATCCCCTACATCCTTTATTTCTCATCCTCATTCCCTTCCTCTTGTTTTCTCTTCATTCCAGACGCCATTATTCAACAAAAACGTGCTCGCGCTACTGCACGACCCCCATATTTCCCTCTGTTCATCCCGATGTTTCTCTCTCTCTTCCTCGCCCTCACTCCCCTCACGCCCATCCATGAGAAACGCTGGTCGGCTCGGGTGATCTCCCCAGCTGCCTGCCTCCCTGTCCCTTACAGCCTGCGGAGGAGAAGCTGTAGATGCAGTGGGGTGGGATGCGGTGTATGCTGAGGAAGGCATCAAGGTATGGGAGTGAGTTCGATGGAGAGGGGAGTGGGAGAGGGGAAAGCAGATATGGGATGGAGACGAAGGGGGAGAAATGGTTGAGAGAGGAGAGGGGGTAGGCTGTATGGGACAGTGAGACAGGCAGGTGAGGAGGATGTGGGATCGAATGAGTAGAAATGCTTCATCGTTTTAGTTTTATGTTTTACAAGCCACAGTGCTTTTGCGTTTGAAGATCAAGCCGCCTCATTTCTGTCTTGACTTGTCGCAGGTGAAAGTGCTGGCAGCAGCACAGCAGCGGGTGCTTTCCCTCACTTCCAGAGATCAGATCTTTCAATGACCTGAGGAGGCCCAGACTCGCCGTGGCTCCATTCCTGCTGAAAAGCCTTCAGGTGACTTTCTGGTGTGTTTTGATGAGCTTCATGAAATAAGATGAAATCATCTCTTTTTGCCAGTTGAACCTATGTTGTCTCGAATAGCACAGTGTTGGTACTACTTCCACAGAATGAGGCTTAGTGTCATCTTTCCCTCTCCCTCATCTTCCCCTTTCCCTCGGATGGACTGCCTTCGTGTACTGTTTTCCTTCCGCTCCCTCACACGCGTGGCCTGCTACTTCCTCCCTCCTTTTTTTCAAATGGTTGTCTGAACGCCTCACAACAGTGAAGCACCCTCTCAGGCAGGACTTGTCACGAATCCTCCCCCTCCCTTTTTTCCCCAATTCTCTCCCCTGCTCCTTTGTTCCACACCTCTCCTTCCCATTCATGCAGTCAAGGTGCTCTGGGCACCTCATGACAGCGACATACCTTCACCCAGAAAGACCTTTCGCAATACCTCTCGCCCTCCTTTTTTTTCATCTTCTCTCCCTTCTTCCCTCCCATCAAACGAGGAGAACACCTTCACCCAGCGGGATCAGCCATGATCTACCTCCCCCCTCCCCACAGTTCCTTGTTCCTCCGTCTAACTCCTCCTCACTCCCTCTGTCTGCCAAACGATATAGGTGCTCTGGACATTACAGGACGACGAGGACACTCTCTTAAAACGCGACATGCTTGTCAATTACCCTCCTTCCCGCCCCTGTTCCCTCTCACTTCCTCCCCCCTCCCCATCCAGGCAGTGGAGGTGCTGTCTCAGGACAATGAGGACACTCCCAGAGAACAGGACATACCTGTTCACTTTCCTCCTTCGCACACCTGTTCCCTCTCTCTTCATCCCCTCTCCCTTGCCAGTCGGTGGAGGTGTTGTGGACAGACACCATAAGTCGACGAGGACACTCTCACGGAGCGGTACCTGCTTGTTAATTTCCCTCGCCTGCGGCCGCTGTGAATTAATTGTCTCCAGTCGACGACTCCAGCCATTGCCTGGCGACTGGTTGTTGTGATGAAGCGGAAGGAATGAGCACGGGGCACCTACTACCGTATGTTAAGGACCAGAATGACTGGAGTGGAATCAATGGGGACCAGTGCTGCTGTCTCTGCCCGTTGACTTGTTGATGAATGAGTGGTGGAGTTTGGGTTAATGAAAGTGTTGGGCTGAGAATTTCAGCCTTAGGATCTTTGCAGAGAATAGGCTAGTAAGTGCTAGAGTAGCACAGCGGAAGTGTGTACTTGTGCTGGTATGTGAGAACAAGTAATTAATTAAAGCAAAGGGCATACAGGAATATATAGAAAAGATAGATTACAAGGAACGGTTATGTTTATCGAGACGCGTAACGCTTCGACTATCGAGGTGGTTACTGTTCACTGAAGCGTCGCTTGCTGTTACGTAACCTCCAGGCGGTTACAGCTCGCAACCTCTAGTTGCGGTTTGATGTGGTACGCGCCTTTTCGACTTCGTACTCCTTTTGTTGTGCTTCAGTATCGGGTGAGGTTCGATACTACAGAAACGCACTAAGTCATGCGTTTATTTTCCCAACAGAAAGGAATGAAACAATCCATGGTTGCATGCTTATGGTATGGTACAAGCTAATAATACGTGTTACAGTTTGTATTGGCTCAGGGAGTGACTTGTTACGATGGTTATGGAAAAGATGCTGTTCGTGTATAATGTGGCCGCGTTTTGTATCAATAATAGAATCCAAGCCATGGCATTTTGTAAGCAACTTCCAAAGCACATCCCTAGAGATTTCTGACACTTGTGCGTGTGTTGAGCTCCAATTGTCTCGAGTTCGCTGTATTGAGGACCGTTTTAGCGCGTTTCTCTCACTCGGCCGAAGTGCATGACTCATGCAGAAGCGGGATGTGACATTTTATTCGCAGATGGCTTTTTCTTGAACTAGTCCGGCTTTGTTGCTGACGACAGACGACAGGCAGTAGGTCGTTCCTGTCACCTCCAAGTCACGGTGACGCAAGTCGACAGCCATTTCCAATGCCCGCGTGTCGGCGTGGTCGCATTTATCTCGAAATGGGTCGCGCATGGGTTTGCAGCGGCAGTCACGATCGCTCGAGGGGTATTTTCGAAGGTAGGATGGCGTCTTCACTGCAAGGAGTTTTGCTGCTTTCAGAATCTTTTTACATCAGCGATTTGGAAGGGTTAGTGTTTGCAGGACTCGATAATGGGCCATCTAATGAGCTCTACTCGAAGAGTATCTGTCGTTTCACATAGGCCTGCGAGCTATTCTAGCCATTGTGCCGCGTCTGAAAGTACCGCTGCTGAAGATTCTGAAAGAAACGCTCCATGTGAGCCTACGAAAAACGATATCGACAACAAGACGAGCATCGTTCCGGTAGATTCCCCAAGATTTAACTTCTCGACCGTAGATACAGAGTTCCGGGTGTGGGAGTTTCCAGGTTTGCTGTCGGAAGACGAATGCAGAATTTTGATCGAATCAGGAAGCGGCCGATGGCAGCGGAGCCGAGTCCAGGTCAGCAATCTCTCCCGCATGTACTCCCATGTCGTGTTGCCGACTTCAGCTAGTACTTTTCAGATTCATTGCTTTCATCGCTTCACGCATATTTGATTTCGTTAGCTTAACCTGATCTCTGTCGTTTCTGCAGAAAGCAAACAAGGGGGATAGTGGACTAAGCGACTATAGAACCAGCAGGTTCGTATTTCATGTTGCTGCCTTTTCTTCTGTTTTGCTCTTGTTTTCCTCATGATCCGCCTTCTGATGACATACTTTCGCCTTGCAGCACGACTTGGATTGATCCCTCCAAAGACTTGAGTGCAGCTGGTAAGGTGTGCATGAAGATTCGAGGATGTGCCAAGCTCATAGCGGGAATCGTAGATTTTGAACGGCTTGCCACGTCAGAGCTCCAGCTGGTGAAATACGAAGTGGGCCAGGAGTATAAGGCTCACTATGACGGTCGCATGCTGCCAGACGGCACGCTTGAAGCTCGTGGGACGTTCCTTGTGTACCTGAATGATGGCTTCGAGGGTGGGGAGACGTACTTTCCAAACGTAGGCATCAAGGTATGTTCTGCTATTGAAGGGATTGTGACCACGGAGAGGGGACAGGGGAGAGAGATTGGAGAGAGGGATTGGAGAGAGAGGGATGGTTGAAGGAGGAGGGATGGGGTGACAGTTGAGGATGAAATGAGTGAAGGTGCTTCCTTGTCTGATTGTTAACAATCCACGTTTTCTCTCTGCAGGTGAAGCCAGAGAGAGGGAAAGCTATTCTCTGGTACACACATTTGACAGATCAAGGCATTGAAGATAATAGGTCCAAGCATGCAGGGTTACCAGTCAAGAGGGGAGAAAAATACTTATGCACACAGTGGTTCAGTCTCCCTGCTTAGGAACGAAGTAGAACTGTTCACGTAGCATACCATATCGGCATTTAGCTTTTTGAGTAGAGGCCCTATTGTTTTCCACCATGCAGTCAGCTTAGTATTTACAATGACTGCTATCATTACCTCTCAATTCTGCTGGCAGCGAGTATAATCAAAATTATTTTCTCACATGGAAAACACTGCAGATGAAATTTTCTCATATTCTCCTCAATATATAATAGCACGTAAGCAAATTAAGCTGAACATTTGTTCAGGACGTGGAGCACTCTAGGGAGTACAGATTCACCATTTTGACCTCGATTTCATTTCTCTGCAACCTCTCAGGCTCGGAAATCATCGCCCGAACCTCCCTTCCTTCAGTCGCGGGGGCCACAGCACTGCCAGCCTTACGCATTTTCGGGGATGGCGGTGCGCCAAATATTCGTCGTCGATCCGAGTGCGGTCGGGCAGGTGAAATCTATTATCTCATGCCTTCGAGTTTGTAGGAAAGCAACTCCGCTAGCGCGCAGCGGAGAACGTTTTGTCGGGCCCAGGAGACACGATAGGCTCGGGGGTAGTCAACGACGGATCCTTTCGCGTCTCTTCCTCAGGAGGACCCTCTGCGAGAATCCCTTCACCAGCAAAACCAGATTTCCCCGTGTTTGCGGTTTCAGTAGAGTTCGCGCAGTGCACCATACCAGCGCAGAGTTCCGATTTTTCGGAGCTGCTCGGGCAGCATCTGAGAAAACTTCTCTCCCTTTTCGTTCCTCCCTCCTGTGAGTGTTCCTCCACACAACCTCGTCCCTCTCCCTGCTGCTGTTGGTCCCCTCGCCTCGTCTCACCTACAAATCCGACGTCCAGCGGCAGTCTCATTTTCACAATAACAAAGCGAGTTTCTTACCGGTCTTATTGGTTTATCCGTTGTCCAGCATTTGGTCAGAGCTCTCGCAACCTTATTCTTTATCTAGTTCCCGCGGTAGCTCGACTCTCTAGTGTTCAGATTCTCTTCGCTTCTTCCCTCCCATGGCTTGTTATGATTATCCCTCATTTGCTCAGGCTGTGGCCATCTGGGAGAAGCGCGGTACGCTGCTGCGGATGAAGGATTATGCACCGATCCGTGCATCTGCTGAGTACCCTACGATCGCTGAAATCTTTTGCCTTTGGAGGAAACGGGCTGCAGAGGTGCAGGAGCAGCGTCGTGCTCTGTTCTTCTCCCCAACTCACTATCCCACTGTCGAGGAGGCGGTCTCGTGGAGCACATCTTATGCGGACCAGGAAGAGCAGCAATCGGAAGCAGAGGTCGTAGAGGAGGTGGACTCGTGGAGCACGTCTTATGCGGACCAGGAAGAGCAGCAATCGGAAGCAGAGGTCGTAGAGGAGGTGGACTCGTGGAGCACGTCTTATGCGGACCAGGAAGAGCAGCTAGCTGAAGCAAAGGTCGTAGAGTTGGTGCTCCCGCTGCTTGATGCTTCAGAGGGCGAGGGCTCGGGGGATGATTTCGATCTGAGCAGCAGTGACGCCAGGATCTTCGGTTCTGAAGCCTCTACCATGAGCAGCGGCTTCAGTGACAGCAGCAGCAGCGGCCAGAGCTCCCAGGAGGAGCCTTCCACTGCTAGTGCTGTCAACAGCCTCTGCTGCAGCAACTACAGGTTCAACTGCTACAACACTTACAGCAAGCAGTACAGTGACAGTTCGTTGCTGCTTGATCTGGTGCTTCTGCTGGTTTCGTTTACAGTGAGTAAGAACGTGGTAACTGCTGTGCATCTGGCATCACGGATGGGTCTACTAGGTGCAGACCAGAGGTTGGTCAGGGGAACGCCTGCAGCCAGTTGGAGACTGCTCCCTACTCGGCGTCTCCAGCCTGGCAGCACGCGAGCAGCGGATGTCAAGGCAGTTGTTGTCGGCGTCTCCAGCACGAGCAGCAGCTTCAGTGACAGCAGCAGCGGCGCCCAGAGCTCCCAGGAGGATGTCAAGGCAGGTGTTGTGGAAACAACGGTGCTGACTGCAGGAGTGAAGGCAGTTCTGGTGGAGAAAATGCTGGTGATTGCGTCTGGCGTGAGAGGTGGAGATAAGGCAGAGCCGTCAAGTGCATTGGCTGCTCCTGGTGAAGGTTTTAAGGTGTCAGGAGCAGCGGCACAGGACAAGAAGCAGAAGGAACAGGTTAGATGTGTGGGATGTGGAGAGAGAAATATGTCTTCAGGATCACTGGTCGCTCATCCTGGGCGGGGTCTCAGGAAAGAGACAGCTGCACCGCAGAGCAAGAGGCAGGCACGTCGGGTTGGGGATGCGAAATCTGGAGTGAGGGAAGCAGTTTCTAGATTGCCGGTTGCTCTTCCTGGTGGGGTTCTCAGGGCTGGGTCAGCTGCAGTTCAGGGCAAGAGGCAGGAAGGAAGAGTAAGAGGTGCGGAATATGGAGTGAGGGAAGTAGTTTCTGTAGCATTGGTTGCTCTTTCAGGTGGAGCTCTCAGTGAAGGCTCAGCAGCACTGAGAAAGAAGCAACAGGAAAAAGTCATATGCAGGAGAGTAGGAGCTTGCAGGGGTGCGTCAAGTATGGCAAGGGTGGCGGCAATAAGGCCTCCATGGAGGCCCTAAGGGATGCTGTAGGGACTTCAACTGGAAGGGAAACTGATTAGATGTACCGTAGCTCTGTACAATAAGTTTCATGTTCTATTTATTATAGCCATTGAGGTAATAGTTCATTTCAGTTACAATTGTACCTCACATACTTGGCATCATGGCAAGAAACTTGCAAGCTCTTTTTGGAAACAAGAAAATACAAGTTTAGATGCTGATATTCTGTTACTATGGTACATCTGACCAATGATTAGCTTTATGGCCTGTGTGAAACCTTTGGATTGGATGGTTCCTGACAGCACATTCCAATCAGCAATTTGTATGCATCTATGTCGACATTCGGTTTAATGGCAATTTTGTTGCCATGTGACCCTTTGCTGCCACAACAGATGAGACAAATCAGGTAGGTGGGTGAATAACAGGACTACTGGAGCAGGGCGCATGAACCTGCACATGGAAAGAAAATGGAAAGACAAGATGGGGATGAGGATGGTAAGGAACAGACCAACCTCAACAGACCTAGGTAAGCAGCAGACCAATGACAGAAAACGAGAGGAGGAGCGCAGGAACATGACAGAATATCAACCTCAAAACAAATTTTCCATTCTACTCCTTCAACCCCCAGCCAGCACTCCCGTTAACTCATTGCCACTTGACTAACATGGAGCAATGACATGGAGGGCTCAGCATGGTTGATGGCAATTCGGCCAGCAGGTGATGGAGCAATGACATGGAGGGTTCTGAAGGGTTCAGCATGGATGAGCATGGATGAGCATGGATGAGCATGTATATGACAGCCATCATGAGAGGTTATGACTTGGCTGATGCGCCCTCACTGGGCGGGTGAGACTGAGATGATGAGCAACCAGCAGCAGGGCAGCCGGTGCAGGCCTCTCTCAGATGATGACCTGCCAGCAGCAGGCCTGAAAGAATGGGTGGAAAGACGGGAGGGGAGGGAGGTGTGAGAAGAGAGAGGAGGGAAGCGGGGAGGTGGACAGGGAGAGAAGAGAACGACCTGAATCTCATCAGCTCAAGATTATCAGCGCATACCAGACGGTCTTCAATTCACACCTGAAGGTCTTCAGGTCACAGCTGAAGGTCTTCGAATTACACCTGAAGGTCTTCAAATGACACCTGACGGTCTTCAAGTCACACCTGAAGGCCTTCAGATCAAACCTGAAGCTCATCAGCAAGGAAGGAGCCGAGGCGAGTCAGGGCTAACCTCAGGTGACTCACAGATTTGATTTCCTCATTGTCCTGAGGGAAAGCAAGTGCGGGGTGGGGCTGGGATGCCAGGTACTGCCGGGTGGAAGTGTCGCAGCCCCTGAGGCTCAAAAGGTCACCTGAGGCTCAAAAGGTCACCTGAGGCTCAAAAGGTCACCTGAGGCTCATAAAAAAACAGACGGAAAGGACGCGCGGGAGCGGCTGGGAGGCCAGGTGCTGCTGGGTGAAAGTGTCCCAGCCCCTTCCTGAGGCTACCAGAGTACCTTCAATGCGTGGAAACGAGTAGAGGGGGACAAGTTACCTTCACTGTGTGGATGGGGAGCAGAAGGCAATAAGAGGGCAGAAACGAGTAGAATTAGGCCACTTGTATAGTGGAGATAAAAGGAGGAAGGAAGTGCCTAAGATACAATGACGTTGACCGTGAGAGCATTGAGAATCTTATGCTATCACGAGTTGAATGACACCGCTGAAGCTTATATGAACGCACCTGACCTGAGCACACCTGGAGCTGATCAGAGCACACCTGAAGTGTTTTGAAGCACACCTGGAGCTGATCAGAGCACACCTGAAGTGTTTTGAAGCACACCTGGAGCTGATCAGAGCACACCTGAAGTGTTTTGAAGCACACCTGGAGCTGATCGGAGCACACCTGAAGTGTTTTGAAGCACACCTGGAGCTGATCAGAGCACACCTGAAGTGTTTTGAAGCACACCTGGAGCTGATCAGAGCACACCTGAAGTGTTTTGAAGCACACCTGGAGCTGATCAGAGCACACCTGAAGTGTTTTGAAGCACACCTGGAGCTGATCAGAGCACACCTGAAGTGTTTTGAAGCATACCTGGAGCTGATCAGAGCACACCTGAAGTGTTTTGAAGCACACCTGGAGCTGATCAGAGCACACCCCAAAGCATGAACAGCTGAAGCTCATGGAAACTCATCTATGATTCATGAAACTCGCCTGAGGCTCATCGAAACTCAGCTGAGGCTCATGGAAAACTGACCTGCGGCTCATGACAACTCACCTGAAGCTCATGAAACTCTCGTGAAGCTCGTGAAACTCACCTGAAGCTCACGAAACTCACCTGATGCTCATGAAACACACCTGAAGCTAATGAAACTCACCTGAAGCGCACCAGCAGGAATGGAACCAAGGCGAGTCAGGGATTCCTTCGGGTCACTCGCACATTTGACAACCGACTCGTACTCTCTCCTGCTGCCAGCACAGTCACCTGCAATGCAACAAGTCACGACAAACATGAGGCGGATTGCAGGAGAATGTTACCCATCAGGAGTGATCATGCCACAATACAAGGACAAAAGGTGCCCTCCGCTTCTGCCAGCACTGCTGCTTGCGGCGAATAACCCGTGAAATAATGGTCTTGGGCAAAACACAAGAAAGAAACGCGCAGTCTGCTGCTGCCAGCACTGACTGTCATCTGCGGTGAATGTTCTGCTCTTCTTCCCTGAAGGAGTTACAAACAACGCATGCATGAAAACCAAAGCGCTCCCCTTTTTTTCCATCCTTCCGTCTACACACAAAGAGAAAATTTGACCTGCAGCACTCATAGATGCAATGCTTCAAAATGCTGCTTACCTTGTGAGTGAGAATCAGACTAGGCCCACCCTTGGACCAGTCCACTTGAATCAGTCTTGTAAGCTCGGTCGGCTTACGAGTCGACTCAGCTCACGATTCGACTCATTTCCACATGGGGCGAAGTTTCGCTGCACTTTCCACAGAGTAGCTACCCCTCTCTCTGGCTTGACCTCCAAATGGAATGCGCTGCGCCGTGGCTTCTTAGACCTTAAAACCAAGACAATGAAGCATGCCTATCCAACCATTTCATCCCACATTCTCCTCAGCTGCCTGCCTGCCTCCCTGTCCCATACCGCTCATGGAAAGATACCTCTGATGAGCCAATCAGAACAACTATGAGCTTAGCAAAGCACACCTGAAGCTCATCCGAACCGAACCCACCTCAAGATCATGAAAACTCACATGAAGCTCATGAAAACACAGCGATTTAGGGCTTCCCTCAGGTCACTCAAAGATTAGATTTGCCCTCTGCTACTGCCAGCTCGGTCGCCTGCGAAAATTCAAAACAGAAAAGAGGCGAATTGCTGTTAAGATTGATGTCGTAAGAAGGACGGAACCACTCTTTGCTGCTACCAGCAGTGTCACTCGCGGTGTGAGTTGGGACACTTGTGAGGGATGAGACTGGATAACACGTAAAGCAATACTCTTGGACATAATACACGGAACGGAAGAAACATGCAATCCGCTGCTGCCAGCACTGTCACCTGCGGTGAGTGAATCTGCTCTTCCTCCCTGAAGCACTTACAAAGAAACAAACCATGCAAGAAAACCGAAGTGCTGCCCATTTTTCCATCCCTATCACAAAGGCAAAGAATGTTACCAACCAGCAGCACTCGTAGACGCAGAAATCTGGGAATGCTTCTTACCAGGTCACGACGAATCTGACTTGCCTCACAATTCGACTCCGCTCCATATGGGAAGAAGTCTCGCTGCACTTTCCACAGAACAGCTAACCCTTACTCTCGCTTGACAAACAGAAAAGTAAGGTGGCTTATTCGCTCCTCTCACCATTCGATTGTTCTATCCCACATCCTCCTCAGCTGTCTGCCTCCCTGTCCCTCACAGCACCACTGTGAAGTACCCCCTCTCCTCTCTCAACCATTCCCCCCCCTTTTGACTCCATCCCATATCTCCTCTTCCCTCTCCCTCTCCCCTCTCCCTCTCCCCTCTACCTCTCCCTCTCCCCTCTCCCTCTCCCTCTCCCCTCGCCCTCTCCCCTCTCCCACTCCCCTCTCCCTCCCATCTCCCTATCCCCTCTCCCTCGTCCTCACTCCCATTGATCACAGAATGTACCTTGATGCCTGCCTGCCGGCCTCAGCGTACCTTGATGATGTACCTTCAATGCCTGCCTGCCGGCCTGCATTCCTCAGCATACACCGCATCCCACCCCACTGCATCTACAGCTTTTCTTCCGTAGGCTGTAAGGGCCATGACAGGGGGCAGGCAGCTGGGGAGAATATCCGAGCACCGTTTCTGATGGATGGGCGTGAGGGGAGTGAAAAGGAGGACATGGGAGAGAGAACAGCGAGGTGAACAAACAGCGGGAGCAACCTTTCCGTTCATTTATGGCGGCTGGAATCAAGAGAAAAGAAGACGAAGAGACGGAGGAAGGGAATGAGGAAGAAAACCGGAAGAGACGGAGGAAGGAAATGAGAAAACATCAGAAGAACGGAATGAGGAAGAAAGCGTGGAAGGAGAAAGCGGAAGTGAGTGAGCGGCAGGGAATAGATGGGAAAGGAGAAGAGGGACAGATGGACACTTGGGGTGCAGCCTGCGAGGAAAGCACTTCATGGAATATCCGAACAAACGAAAACAGCAACAACTGCGAGAATTACTTGTTCTAGTGCGTGAAATCGAGAATAACAACTAACGCGGGAGAAAGAATCAAACAACTGTTGGTCTCACAGAGTACAGCACTGTAGAGAAAACGCGGTACCTTGCAAGATGTAGTGAAGGCCCTTCGGGGAACTCGCATTTATTAGAATCCTCAAAAGCATCAACGCGATTCGCGACTCGGTCCAGATCCCGTTGAAACCGTCTAGCCGTCTAGAAGTGTGCTTTTTTAACGTCTATCCGTCTCTGGAATCTATCCTCAAGGCGGCGGCGGAGCGTACGAGCGCATGCGGGAGGCGCAAAAGCCGCCGCTTCCGCCGATTCTTCTGCCTCGCAATGAAGCCGTGATCGTTGCTTCGATAATACATTTCCAGCGATCGTGACTGCTGCAGCAAACCCATGCGCGACCCATTTCGAGAAAACAGCGATTGCACCGTCACGCGAGCATTGGAAAATGGCTGCTGACTGGCGTCAGCGCGACTCGGAGGTGACGGGAATGAGCAGGCAAGGAAAGCTAGGTGTTGTGCCACGCATGCAGGCAGCTTCTAGGCGCGAGCAATGAAGAACCACGTGTAATGAGGTTATTTTTGAGACGTCTCAAAAATAACCTCATTGGGCGAGGTGTTGTGCCTCGCATGTGGGCAGCTACTAGGCGCGAGCGGGTGAGGACAGTGAGCTGCTGCCTGTGGTATGCAGGCTGCTACTAGGAGCGAGTGATTCCAGACTTGGGAGAGTGTGTGTCTGATGAAAATGGTGGTGCAGTTCGGCTGAGTGAGCGCAACGCGCGCAATGTGCAACCAGCGGGTGAGGAAAGCAAGCTGGTGCCTGAGGAGAATCAGTGGTGCAGCTCGGCTGAGTGAGTACAACGCGCCATAACAGTTCTTTCTAGTTATATCAGCGTTTAGAATATTATACCAACACTGGTCAGCCTCACACAACACCAGTCGTGCACCATCCGTGAAAATAGGAATTCTTATTAAAAAGAAGAATTAACCTGGTGTTTTCGTTTTATCTTTTATTCTCTCGCAGCATATATACAACCCTTTTGATTTTCAAGAAAATATATTTGTGTACAGTTATGATTTTTCCCTACGACGAGGAGCTTCTTAGAGAGTACAAATTCGGCTGTTTGACCTCGATCTCGTACTGCTGGCGTTCTCAGCCTCGGAGCTTCCTTGTACGAACCTGACTTCCTTCGATTGCGGGAGGCACAGCGGCACCACCCTTAGACGTTTTCGGGAATGGGAGTACCCCAGAGGTTCGTCAGCGCTTCGAGTGCGTTCGGGCAGGCGAAATGTGTTATGTAGGCCGTCGAGTTTGTAGGAAAGAAGCTCCGCTAGCGCGCAGCGGAAAACGTTTTGGCGGGGGGAGAACACGATAGAATCGGGGTTAGCAGAAAACAGATCCTGTCGCGTCGCTCCCTTGCGAAGACCCTCGGTGAGAATCGGTTCACGAGCAGATTCTGTCCCCATTTCGCGGTTTCAGTAGGTTTCGCGTTAGGCAGCATGCCAGGCCCAGCAAACGGTTCCGAATTTTCGGAGGTGCTCGGGCAGTATCCGAGAAAAGTTCCTCCTGTGAGTGTCCCCTCCACACAACCTCCATCCCTCCCTCTCCTGCTGCTCGACTCATTTACATATCCAACGTACTGAAGTCTGGTTTCAGAGTTAAGAATCCAGTTTCTTCTTGTTCTCTTGAACGAGCCTTTGTCTAGCAAGTTCAGACCTCTCATAACGTTAACTCGTTCCTCATATCGTTCTCGCGGAACCTCTTTGCTCTCAGCGTTTAGCTTTACTTTTACTCCCACTCACGCTCAGTTAGCTCGATGGCTTGTTCTTTTGACTTTCCGTCCATTGCTGAGCGTTTGGCCCTCTGGGAGAAGCGCGGTTTTCTGATCCAGGTGAAGCGTTACGCTCGGTCGTCTACTGAGGGCCCCACGTTCGCCGAGGCTATGGCCTTGTTTGAAAAAAAGGCAGCGCTGCTGCAGGCGCAGCGTCATGCTATGCTGCAGGTGCAGCGTCATGCTGTGCTACAGGCGCAGCATGATGCTTGGATGGCCTCCCCAGCTCGCTCTCCGGCTGCTGAGGAGGAGGAGGACGCGGGGATCGTGTCTTCTGAGGACAGGGAAATGCCTCAAGCTGAAGCAGAGATTGCAGAGGAGGTCTTCTCACTGTTCATGGCTGCAGAGGGCTTTTGCTCTGAGAACGATTCGGGTCTGAGCAGCGCCTGCAGCAGCGACGTTGATTTCTTCGGTTCTGACACCTCTAGCAGGAGCAGCAGCTTCTGTGACAGCAGCAGCAGCGCCCAGAGCAGCTTCAGTGACAGCAGGAGCAGCGGCCAGAGCTCCCAGGAGGAGCCTTCCACTGCCATTGCTGTCAACAACTTCTGCCTTGGTGACTGCAAGCTCAACCGCTGTGACATTTACAACAAGCAGTACAGTGACAGCTCGTTGCTGCTTGATCTGGTGCTTCTGCTGGTTTCATTTACAGTGAGTAAGAACGTGGTTGCTGCTGTGCATCTCGCATCACGGATGGGTCTGCTAGGTGCAGACCAGACCTTGGTCAGGGGAATGGATGCAGCCAGTTGGAGAATGCTCCCTATTCAGCGTCCCAAGCCTGGCAGCACGCGACCAGCAGCAGTAGCGGTTGTGGAGAAAACGGCGGTGACTGCTTCTGGTCCAGGTGGGGGTCTCATGGATGGGTCAGCAGCTCAAGAGAGTCTGAGGCAGGAGGTTCGGGTTGTAGCAGCAGTAGCAGCTGTAGCTGTTGTGGATAAAACGGCGGTTACTGCTTCTGGTGGAGCCCTCAAGCCGCTTCAGGACGGGTCAGCAGGGAGCACAAGGCAGCTGTATCTGAGTGCAGGTGTGCTGTGTGGATGGAGGACAATGGTTGCTCCTTCCGGTGGAGGTTTGAAGGAAGCGGTAGTAGTACCACAGAAGAAGAGGCTGCTGGAGTGGGTAGTAGGTGGGATATGTGGATCAAGGGATGTCTCTTTAAAAGTATTAGGTGCTGGTTCTGGTGGGGGTCTCATGGAAGGGTCAACAGCTCAACGGAGTATGAGGCAGGAGGGGGGGTTTGCAGGTGCAAGGGAAATGGCGTCAAGAGCATTGGTTGCTGTTCCTGCTGGTTCAGCTGCACTTCAGAGCACAAGGCAGCAGCAGGGAAGACTTGGGGTTGCAACACCTGGAGTGAGGGAAGCAGCTTCACGAGTGTTGGCTGCTCTATTTCGTGGATCTTCCAGGGAAGGGCCAGCATCTGCAGCACTGAAAAAGAGGAAGCTGGAAAAAGTCATGGGTAGGACATTTGGAGCTTGGAAGGATGCTTTAGGGATGTCATGGGTAGCGGCAATAAGGCCTCTATGGAGGCCCTAAGGGATGCTGTAGGGACACTACGGGATACTGCTTAGTTCTAGCTTTGTACAATTATTCTAATGTTCTATTTTATTTGTTATAGCCATTGTTGTGTTATGAATCATAATAGAATAGTTCAGGATGGCATCACGGCAAGAAGCCTCTATCTGTTCTGGAAACAGGGATGGTAGATCTGGATGCTAGTATTCTGTTACAACATCAGGCCATGCACAGGCTTTGTCTTGTGTCCTGTATGAAGTGATCAGAGGCATACCAGTAGCACTATTACAAACCTTTAGGTTGGTTCCTGCCATCCAATCTCACATCACATTATATGGTAAGCGAATGAATCTGACATGACAAGTGCATACGTCCAGCCAGCACCTTTGACCGTATGTATCGTAGCCATTCTGTTTTGCTAGCTGGTAGAAGGATTCGCCATGCCACCCTTTGCTGGGAAAACTGACAAGACAGCTTCGGTAGGTAGGTGAATATCAGTAGGAATCTTGAAGGCGCAAACGTGAATCTGCATATGGAAAGAACAGATGCGGATGTGGTAAGGAAACTAGGTTAGCAGCAGACCAATGACACCAAAATGAGAGGAGAAACACAGCAATATGACTAATAAACCAACCTCAGCCATGTTCCATTCTTCTCCTTGCACCCTCAGCCAGCACCCCTCACATGGTTCATGAACTCTTGCCACGTGGCAAACACAGGCCAATGACATGCTGGCAGTGCCAAGCTGGAATCGAGCGACGAGGAGATGGATAATGGAGGTGAGGTGGACATTGAGTGGACTGAACAGCTTTTCGAGAATTCTAAAAAAACCGAGTGGACTGAACAGCCACCTCTGGTGCATCAGAGGGAAAGTCACCTCATTGCCGGTTCAGATGAGCAGGTACTGTTCAGGACGTGTTTTTTGGAAAATCTCAAAAAACATATTGCCGGTTCAGATGAGCAGGTACTGTTCAGGACGCAACCTGTGAATGAATGATCGACGATGAGATGAGATGGCCTTTGAGTCGACTCAAAAAGTCCCTTCAGGTGAGTAGGTACTTGGGACGTAACCTGTGCGTGAATGACCGACCATGAGATGAGATGGATGCAACCTGTGAACGGCCATGAGCTTGCTAATGAGCTCTCTCTTTAAGTGAACAGCCATGAGCTCATGCTTGCTCAAGTGCTCTCTCTGGCTGGCCATGATAGCATGATGGCAGTGTGAATGGGCCAATGTGCTTGCTCTGGCTGACCATGATAGGATGATGGCAGGTCAGAGGTGAGAAGGTGCTGTGATGATGCCAAGAGCACCTGTGAACGGCCAAGAGCTCGCTGCTGTGAGGCCTGGGTGATGGGCCACGCCACAAAGCTGCTTTTGAGTCGACTCATGTGTGAACGGCCAAGAGCTCGCTAATGTGCTCCCTTTGGGTGAGCAGCAGGCGATGATGGGTGAGTAGCGGACTTGGGAGTGTATGGATGATGACAGGAGGGGAGGGGGAGAGGGGGAGAGAGAGGTGGAGGGAAGAGGGAGGTGGAGAGGGAGAGGTGAAAAAGAAGAGTGGGAGTATGGCTGGCTGGCTGTGTGCACTTGTGAGAATTCTCAAGGGTGCTGGTTGGTTGGATTGAGTTGCACGCTGGCTAAGCATGTGGAATCGATGACTCACAGGGATTTGAGTGCGAAGGTTCAATGATTACCAAAAAACATGCCGTTTGAGTCAGCAAACACCAAGGCAACACAACACACGTGCACTGCACATCATTCCCCACCCACACCAAACCCGAACCTGACACACAAGGTTTAATGCCCTAGAAACGCCAAGACCTTGCCTGGATCCGGTGACCATCTGCTTTCTCGTGAGACAGAATGCAGACTGCAGCATCAGTAAGACACTTAAGAAACTACTGAACCTGACACACAAAGTATGATGCCCTAGATACGCCAAGACCATGCCTGGATCCAGACACCACATCTGTTTTCTCGTGAGACAGAATGCAGCACCACCAGTGAGACACTTGAAGTCATTTTGAGGCGCCTCAAAATACGCCTGGATGCAGTGACCATCTGCTTTTTCGTGAGATAGAATGCAGAATGCAGCACCAGTGAGATGAGACACTTGAAGAAGTTACTGGACCTTAACCGAACCAGGCACACAAGGTTCAATACGCCAACACGACATCAGCAATATATGCAAAATGCAGCACTAGTGAGACACTTCAAAAGTTACTGAACCTTTACCGAACCTGGCACACAGGGTTTAATACGCCAACACGACATCAGCAGCATTATATGCAGAATGCAGCACCAGTGAGACACTCACAAAAAACCTTTTCAAGAGGCTCAATTTGTGTTTGGGTACCTGTAAAAACCCTATGTAGCATGCATGCAGCACAGCGCCAACACCCATCTCAGAGACTCGTAATTTTGCACGCCAATAACCGTTACCTGTATCGATCGAGGGGACTCAGAAGATCATCATCATTGTCCTTCGACCTGAGACACCTCAACATACACTCTCCATGCAGCACGCAGCACCACTTAACCATCCATATCAGAGATGTCTGTATCAATAATCGAGGGGACTCAGAAGCTCATCATCACTGCCCTTCCACCTTGAGCTCATTTTGAGTTGATAGTGAAATATACGCAGCATGCGGGCATTGCTAGAACTAGAACACCCATATCAGAGACGTCTGTATGGAGGGGACTCAGAAACACATCATCACTGCCCTTCGACTTTCAGACGTCTCCACATCCCTATTTTAGCACCCATTTTTCTCTCCAAGCAAAGTTAGATTCCAAGTCTTTCCGAGCTTCCTTCTTCCCCCTCCTCCCCTCCACAACTGATGGCGGATTCCTCAACAGAATCCAACCACCAGCCAGCATTTCAATACTCTCTCCATGAGCCACTTCAGTGAATCAATGGAGAGGTTGGAGAATCTTTGTGCCAGCCTCTCTCTCTCTCTCTCTCTCTCTCTCTCTCTCTCTCTCTCTCTCTCTCTCTCTCTCTCTCTCTCTCTCTCTCTCTCTCTCTCTCTCTCTCTCTCTCTCTCTCCGTGTGTGGCTGTTCCTTAGCTCCGATTGACTTGGGATCCAACTCTGCTCGGAGAGAAAAATGGGTGCGCTCAGGATGATGGGTGCATGGCTCCAGGGGCCAACTTGATCGAAGCTGGGTTCTGAGACCCACCCAGCTTCATGGCTGCATAGCTCAAATCAGAGCCCAGCTTCATGGCTGCATAGCTCAAATCAGAGCCCAGCTTCATGGCTGCATAGCTCAAATCAGAGCCCAGCTTCATGGCTGCATAGCTCAAATCAGAGCCCAGCTTCATGGCTGCATAGCTCAAATCAGAGCCCAGCTTCATGGCTGCATAGCTCAAATCAGAGCCCAGCTTTTATCACGTGGGTGGGTGCATGGCTCCAGGAGCCAACTTGACGAAAGAACGAGCAGATGTGGGTGCGTTACCTAATCTACTCACCTCAGTTTTTTTGCTGAGGCGCGTCAGCTTAACAACTGTGGGTGCTTGAAGAGTCCTCATTCAGAACGACTTTTGAGACGTCTCAATACCAAGGGTGCTTGGGACGTCTCAATACCAAGGCGCCTCAGCTCAGGAACAAGCATGTGTGCGTGAAGAGCTCTGTTTCAGAACGACAGGTACGCTCTTGCCAATGTCATGAACGGTGGAGTTGCCACCTGAAAGAGTTGATTGTCCACCTGAAGCCACGAAGATCACACCTGAAGCAACAGAAAACCCACCTGACGTTATAGACAACCCTCCTGAATCCACAGGAAACCCACCCGAGGAACAACCACAGGTAACCCAAACAAAGTCATTAAACTATCCACCTGAAACCAGAGACAGTGGAAGACGAATCCACTGGGCGAATTTCGCGAATTCTCAAACACGCTTCAGAGAATTCTCGAAAGCTACCCACCTGAAGGCTGAAACCAGAGATAGTGGAACCCGAAGCCACTGGGTGACAGAATAGCAGCAGCGAAGACTCACCTAACACAACCGAACACAATACCACCTGAACCCATCTTCTCAAACTCATCCTCCTCCCCCACCTCCTCCTTTCCCTCTCTATCCCACCCACTCCTCTCTCACCCTTGTCTCGCCCTGCACTGCACTCACCCCTGTACTGTCGCACCTCCCACTCGCAAGGTCCGCTTTTCCCCAGTGGCTCTCGCGGCGCCGTCTGCTGCACCGTCCATCCCACTCATCCTCTTCATCCTCCTCCCCCACCTCCTACTAGCCTCTCTACCCCCCACCCGGCACCCACCCCTCTCTCACCCTTGTCTCGCCCTGCGCTGCACTCACCCCTGTGCTGTCGCGCCTCCCACTCGCAAGCTCCGTTTTTTCCTTAGAAGCTCTCGCTGCGCCGTCTGCTGCGCCTTCTGAGACGTCTCAATAGTCACCTCCCACTCGCAAGGTCCGCTTTTTCTCTAGAAGCTCTCCCTGCGCCATCTGCTGCGCCGCCTTCTGTCCGTCCGTTGCGCCGCGCGCTGCGCTTAGCGTGTCACTCGTAGCGTGCTGCATCTGCTATAGCGCCGCTTGACGCTGCCGCATCGCAGCCATTCAATGCCCACTTATCCATCTAATGCTGCGATCCTGCGTCGATGCCATCAGTAATCACCAACACCCGCGGCTCTACCGCAGCTGATTGTAGCGCTTCAGCACCTGCCGCATCGCTGCCGCATCGCTGCCATACAATGCCCCTACTGCTGCGATCCTGCGTCGACGCCATGATCAGCGGCAGCTCTACCGCCGCTCATTGTAGCGCTTCAGCACCTGCCGCATCGCTGCCATTCGGTGCCTTCTTAATCACCTACTAGCGCTACGATCCTGCGTCGACGCCATGATCAGCGGCAGCTCTACCGCCGCTCAACCCTGACCATCTGCAGCTCTACCATCAGTGATCACCACCGCAGCTGATTGTAGCGCTTCAGCACCTGCCGCATCGCTGCCATACAATGCCCCTAGCGCTACGATCCTGCGTCGACGCCATGATCAGCGGCAGCTCT